GCCAACCCTAACCAGCGTAGTATCGGACGCACTCCACTGCATGAGGCAATTATGGAAGGGCACAAAGAGGTCGTTGGCGCCCTTGTTGGTCTCCAAGGCGAGCAGGATGATGATGCCACCACAGATACAGCCTACGAAGGGGCGGGCGTCGAGTTTGAAGGCTTGGGGGGTTCCAGGGTAAACCCTGGCGCCGTCAACAGCTCGTCGGTCACTACCGGTCCCGTGCTGAAGTCGATGCCCAAAACCGACCTGGAGGCTGTACTGACTGGCACAAGAAGAACCCCCCTCATCGTGGCCGCCGAAAAAGGTGACGTTGAAGTTTGTACTATTCTGCTCACTGCTGGCGCCAATCCAAACGCCGGCGGCGGCGATTATGGCTTGCCACTCCACACTGCCTTGTGGAAGGGGAATGAGAAGCTGGTCAAGCTTCTCATGAAATATAAAGCCGATCCCAACGGCATGAGCCGTCCTTTTGGTACACCGCTGCATGTCGTGTGTGGTGGTTCAGAAGATGCCAAGTCACAACGACTTGGTCTCGTTGATCTTCTCCTCGGACAAGACGCGAAAATCGATGCACAAGATTACGAGGGTCGGACTCCGATTATGATTGCCAACATCTATAAACAGGAGAGCATCATCGATTTGCTTTTACGTTCGGGAGCTAATCTTGATATAGTTGACTACCTGGGATCCTCGGCCCTGCATCTTGCCGTCAGGGTTGGCTCGGACAAAATTATCCAACGGTTGCTAGAGGCTGGTGCTAATGCAGACATCAATGACAAATGCGGCCGAGGTTTGCTATATCTCGCATTCCTCTGCGGACGGTCACAGTTACTAGATACGGTGTCGACCGCCTTGCCCGAGGACCGCAGAGCCGCGCACATATCTGCAGCTATGCCGGCCTTATTCAAGTTGGACCAGGGCATTGAACTCTTTGATGGCGTCTTTGCCGAGACCGGGAACCAAGGCATTAACCTCAACGTCCCGGATCGGTGTGGCTGGACGAGCCTGGACCTTGCGAGAAGCTACGAATTGCCAGGTGCAGAGATTGAGCGGCTGCAACAATTAGGATGTACCGAGGGCATCACGAAGCGGGAACCGACCAGACTATCCCCCTATGATAGGAGCGACGCTATTACTGTCTCGGAAGGTGGAATGTGTGCTCAGGTGAAAGGTATCGTGCGACTAAATCAACATGGTTTGTAGCGAGACTAACAGATTGATAGCTACAGAAGACTATCCGTCACCACTCGACGAGAGAATCTTGGGCACCGTCCGAGCCGACTATTGTGTTCCAATTGACAAGGGTATCTTCTATTTTAAGGTTGACGTCCTTGAGTGTGGCCTAGGAAAGTATGACGCGTTGACCCCCTCTTCTTTATCAAGCCTGCTTTGCCTGTACTCGATCCTGCATGATATACATCTATTTCATATCAATTCATCTCTCACACGTTGCCATAGCATAATTGCCATCGGCCTAGCTGCGGAAAGCTGCCCAATGAACACGATGGTGGGCTGGGGGTCTAGCTGGGGCTACCGCAGCGACGACGGCGTCTTCCTAAGTAAAAACCATCCCGAAGGTGCCGGCCAGAAATATGGTCTTGGTCAGACCGTGGGTGTAGTGTACGACCCAACTCGGAAGCGGCTTTGGTTTACTCTAGATGGAAAAAAAGCCGGTAAGTCTAGCTTTATCCTGCATCACCAAGTCGAGTTTAGAAACTGTCATTATAAACGCAAACTAGTTGACGCTAATATTTTGATATTTTACAGGGGAGGCCTTGGACCATATAACCGGACAACTATTCCCGGCAATATCGCTGTTCACAAGTACAGAACCGGAAAGTGCTGGCCCGGCCGAGGTAGGGGTTACGTTTCCATCTGGACTTCGGGATGCTGCTCGATTCAGGTACAAAACTCAAAGTCTGCGCAGCATCTCACCTAGCACAGAGCTTTAAGTCTTATTCCTGAAGCTGCAAGGACTTGGCGCGATTGTTGGGACACTTGGTTTAGTATGAGAGTCTCTTGTATTTCTATCTGGTAGTAATAGACGGCTGGGTTCCTATAACATATTAAGCGACCAGACTATTTACTAAAATTGCCCTAGTACGTAGTTGCCTATCCATTGATCTATTTTTAGCGCATCATAATGATGGCGGTTGCGATGATTGAATACCTGTTGCTAGGTTAGTTGATAACACATCATTGTGAAACAAGGTACCTACAGTTGCTGTAGCTAATATGATTCGTGACGTTATAGGCAAAAGTTACAGACAGCCGCCTTAGAAGCCATTAGTCGTCAATTGCTGCATGTGCCATGCCCTCTCTCCAGGATAAGCGAAGCCCTGGCAACGGCAATTACGCGATGGTTGTGCATGTCAATACGCCCAACTCTTGCCTCTATCCCATGGAAAATGATTGGCATTTGGATGACGGCTAGGCGAATAAAATGTAAATCAGGCAGCGGACTTGACCAGCTCATACGTTGTGCTTCTACAAGTAGCCAAGTACTTTACCGTAAACTACACCTGGTCTCTATATGTTCGACTCGGCATATCTACTTGGTAAGTACTAGCTGTCTCTGTTTGGCTATCTGGAGATGAATTCTTGCTGTCTAGTTTCTCAAGCTGTGACAAGGGCAAGTGATATTGGGCTTGGAACAATGTTCGATATTCAGCTAATAATTCGCTTTGATATCGAAGGTCCTTGGTTTTCTCAAGGCCTAGGAGGGCAGATGACCCGTATTTATATCAAGAGGCGGTCAAGGGCTGTCCTGGGTGCCTGAGGCCCCCGTTAGGTCTCGCGCCCTTGTGTAACTATCGTCATGTTCAAGGTCCGGCCCGCGCCTTTATGGCAACGTGACATCCGTGTAACACAAGCCAACTCCATATCATCAAGATCACGTAACCGAGGGCTAGAGCGAAAAGCGAAGTCGCGAGCTCGCACACAACTACTTGAATCAGGAACGCCAGGTTTCGCGCGAGGAGAAAATCACAGACATAATGATTTGTTCTGTGCCGTGAAGAGGCGAGATATTGCGCTTTGGTGGGAGGTGTTTGGCATTGTGCTACGATGGCGCCTCAGGGGAATGAATGACAGCGGATCGGGAAGCAAAAAGAGAGAAAAAAACATACAACACTAGGTATTCGCTGGTCGTCACCGACCCAACTACTAATCCAGCGCTCACTAGGTTATCGTACGAGATCGGACGGGATCGTGAGCTCTGCTAGTGGCTGTGGTCGTATGTGTTTGACAGTGAGGCATTTTTCATCTATAAAGCCCACTTGTGAGTGGATGCTATTACCGAGTCAAGTATTTGCTTGACAGGGCTGTGTACTCCCAGAGCCCACGCGCCGTTTATAAATCCCGGTCAAGGAGGGTTGCGCACTTGTCGTAATAAAGTCGCCGGATTAAGTGTGGGTCAACTAGTATACCCGTGCTACTATATGGAATTACTATACAGCCACTTTATAGCTATGTAGCTCACTAAGATCCACTCTGTCTAATACGGACGGCAGACTGAGGTTGTCGCTCTGACACGCATCGTCCGAGGTAGCAGGAATATGCAGTGAATAAGCATTGAGTACTGATTGCACCAGGCCATTACTCGTCCCTCACACTACCTACCCTTACTCCCGCGTTGATACATGTACTATCAGCGCATGCTTGGGAAGGCACCATGCGTTAAGGACACATTTTGTCTTCTAGGATAGCTTGTCAAGCACCTAATTGCCCTTTGGCTGACACCTCGAACCTTATCGCCGCATAATATCTGCAAACCTTCTTGTAATTACAAATCATCCCGCCTGGCGGGAAAACTGACTTTTGGAATCTGACGTCTTAGTCATATAATATCATCTATAGCTCCGCAACCTCGGCATGTTCTTGATACCTGATGTTTGATTCCAGGAGGACCGACGGTATTCAACAGCTGCGGGCCATTCTGAGGCTTACCAGTGGCGAAATACATCACGATCTGAGAGAACCGTCGACGAATATGAATAAAAAACGAATAATTGCGCCAGGCAAGTGAGTTGACAAATCATGGAGCACAGCTCCCAGGGCGTTTTACATAAAGCTAATGCTGTTGACGCAATACGCAACTGTTCTCCGGCGATGCGGCAGTCAGTCATTTCCTGCCATGCACGCCTAAGCAGGGATAGTAACACCTGCTATCCATACCGTGGTTGAATGCAAAACCTCAGTCTGACATCCATCCCGGCCAGAAGGGGGCTAGCCACCGCCGCCGGTGGTCATCCGCTCCGCTGTTGCCGTGTGTCCCGGTTTTGATGACTGTAATCCGGGGCTCTAATTGGCATTCGTTCTAGGCCGTGGGCCACGTCTTCGATCTGGGTTCGAAACGGCGACACAAATCTAACGTCCGCTGGAGGTTCAGCGGGCACGTTTCCTATCCTCAAACGCCGACGCCAGCGAAATAGGGGCTGTGCCGGATTCTAACTCCAGATGTTGTCATAGGGCGACACAAACCAAAGTCTACCAGGGTTACTCCACTTCTGCCGTGTCGGTATATTCATGACCTAAGTGGAGATATAAGTGGCTTGGGAACTTGTATCTTACTAGTTGGTTAACGTAATACTCAACCCCTAATGGAGAAGTGATCAACGGACGGGATGGCCCCTTACAATGTTACACAGGCTCACTTATTCACGAGGACGCGTTGTGTTTCTTTCCTTGAATCAAGTATTTCTGTGGACGAAGGGGACTTGAACAATATCCCATTCCAATGGCCCAGCACTGAACCAACACAACTGCCATTACTGTCTATGGATAGCAGCAGCACTATGCCAAACGCAAATATAGGCATGAAAGATGCCTGTGATAGGTGCCACAATCTCAAATCTCGATGCATCAAGCTCCGCAACTCTTCAGCGTGTTCAAGATGCCAAAAGCATGGATCTAGCTGCACATACAGTCCGCCTCTGCCGGTAGGCAGGCCCAGAGGGAAATCGTATAGGAGCCGTGAATCGAGAGAAATCGAGAGCATGCTCCGGCATTCAAGCTACAGCACCGAGGGAACACCCGAGGAGCCACAGAGCTCATCATCACCTGATCACAGTCTCAGTCAAGAAAATGCCGACTTTGCCACGGTAGAGATGGAGCCAGAAAAGGGCATCGAGGACAGAGAAATCATCTTGCCGCCTTCGCCACAATCGCAACTTCATTCACTGCCCACCTTGTATGGGACGACGCTAGGCAATATCGAATCAGATACACGCGACAAGGACACCAGCGGCTCAGAGCGGCATAAAATGCCGAGTCATCGACCCATCTCTTTGTCTGCTGCCGAGCCAGACCTACACGCGGGTTATTTAAATTTGAGCATTGGACAAGGACTTTGTACGTTACTGAACATTGATTCAAAACTGCTCTATGTATTCTGGAATGGCATATACTGACCTTTGACTTGTTTGCCTTTAGCCTCTTCTGGGGGCCAGGATGAAGAAGATATGCAATGGCAGTCTATTCTCGGAACTAATACACCCCCGCCGTCGGATGGCCACTTGGTGGGATTCTTGTCGATGCCTGAATGGACCATATCGCCAGAGCTCGACAGCCAGTGGAAGGACTTGGCCCCGGATAGACGACTTGATGCCGCAGACGGGGACGGGGAGGCGGGCGACACACAACCAACATCTCCCTCTTCTGCCTTTCACACACGTACGTGCATAGATGATCTCCTTATTATTCAGCGAGATTTGTACTCGTTGTCCGAATCGATTTGCACTGTCAACACGAGACAAACTGTGAGTAAAGCAGCTCCCAGCCATCGACAGTCCTGCGCCGGCAACATAGAGAAGATGTTCTCAGCGACGGAGAGCCTCATGCACGTCATCCACACGATGAATCAGAGTGATGGCAACACGTGCAGCCAGGGTTCCGGTGCCTGTAGATGCTCTTCGGGGGCCGACAGAGACTGCCGCTCCGAATCGATCCCAAACACGTGGCGATTAGCAGACAACTCTACCGTGCTGCTGATTTTGAGCTGCTATCTCCGGCTGCTGGACATGTACGAGTCTCTTGCGCAATTCCTGCGCCATAGTCACCAGACCGGGTCTCCAAACTCCACCGTCAACGCACCTGGTATTCCCATTTTTGCCCTCGGCAACTTCAACCTGGGGACGTCTCCGGATGCCAACATTGGCGTGATCCTGCACATGGTGCTAGACATGGTGGATCGTCTTCAAACGGCAGTCAGTCACTGCGCCGTCAAGGCCACGGGCGACCTCAATTGGGAATCGGAGACGGCATTCCGCCGAGGCCATGCCGGCTCCTGGGGCGCCGGGTCGTCCAGGCCCTCGGGCAGAGCAGGATACCAGGTTGACGAAGCACACGGGTGCTCTACGGGCAGGGCAACGGAAACGTTTCTCAGAGCGATGCTCTCTGATGTCCGCGGGCACGAGTTGGGGCTCATCAGGAACCTTCAGGATCTGAGACGGTCCATCAGGGGAAGATGGCTCGGTGCCTTGCCGTTTACTTGAGAACAGAGTAGAGACAACTATGTAGATACGTAATAGTCATGCCATTCATCACCTTGCGCAAGATACTCTAGTGCTGGACAATGTGCCCGCCGAACACGGTTATACATGTGCCTGCACGTCCCGGAGGCCTGCATCGGCCGCCGCGTCAGGACTCGACGACGACTCTGACGCCCCGCGAGTCGGGCTTCACAAACGGCACCAGGACCTCCCCCGTCATCCTGATGTCGCTCTCGTCGGTTTCGAACAAGACCAGCTGGCCTATGTCCCCTGGCCGCCGGACACGGCCTGACCCAAACAGCCGAAATACCTTGGCCAGCGTCAGGTACAGCTCTGCCATGGCGAGGTTCATGCCGACGCAGTGCCTGGAGCCCTTTCCAAACGACACCAGATACCTGTCCAGCCCGGGATCGTCGGCCCACCGCTCCGGACGGAACGCAAACGAGTCTGGGAAGACGGCCTCGTCATGGTGCACGTCGTACGAGGTCATGCTGACAGGTGTGCCCCGGGGGATGATCCATTCGCGAAACACGATTTCCTCGTCGGGCCAGATGCGCTGCAGGCGGCCGACCACGCCGTACGACAGGCGCAGGGACTCCTTGACGACGCCGGTCAGATACGGCAGCCGCTGGACCTGGTCGAGGCGGAGGCCGGGCTCGAGGCCGAAGGAGGGCAGCGCCGTTTCCAGCTCGTCTCTCAGCCTGGCCAGCACGGCCGGGTGGGTGAGCAGCTTGAAGCACGCCACCGTCAGTGCCTTGGCGGTTGTTTCGCTGCCGGCGCTGACGAGGACCTGCGCCTCGGCCGAGAGTCTGGCCGGCGTCTTCTCCTCGGGCGGGAGCTTGCTGCCCAGCAACTCGCGGAACACGGTCAGGTGGGAGGCGTCTTGGCCTACGGCCTTGGACTCGAGCGTCAGCTCCTCGATCTGGCGATGGAGACGCTGTCGACGACGGCGCACGGGTTAGTTGCAGGAGGCGCGCGGAGGGGGAGAAGGGAAGGCGTACCTTGCGCTCGGTGAGGAACATTTCAAACGCCGGGCCGCATCGGACGAGGATGGACTCGGGCAGCGCCAGCATCGCCGTGACGAGCCAGCCCAACAGGCGGATGTGCTTTGCAATCTGCGCGAGCCGCACGCCTCTGTGGCTCGCGTGCTTGTAGCTGGGGTCAAAGTCTGGAGCTGCCAGTCGGTCGTAGGAGCGAGCAAAGCAGTACTCCATGATGACATCTGCGCGGCGCGTTAGCCATGGATGGTGGTCTCGGCGAAGGCCAAATCGGCAATCCTTACCGTTGGTCAGTGCAGAGAAGGCATGGTTGAGATTGGTGACGACGGTGCGCCGGCCACGACGCTCGGCCAGCCGACGCACCAGCAGGTCCGCCTTGGACTGGATGACGGGCTGCAGCTTGTCGACGTTCTGGGCCGAGAAGAACTGGGCAATGGCCGACCTCCTCACGCGGTGAAGATCGTGGGCGACGGTGGACAAGGCCGAGTCGCGGACGCCGCCGGCGCCGACTGAGTCCCAGCTCCATTTGTCGCGCTTCCGATGGATGCCCCCCGAGACGTAGAGCGTGTTGTAAAACTGCGACTCGCAGATGTGAAGCTCGCTCGGGTTGATGCGCACAATGGGGCCGTATCGCGCGTGCATGTCCCGGACAACCCATATGTAGCGGCCGCGCCGGACAACATCGTGGTAGAACTGGTACCTGGAGGCAGCGTGTAAGTACTTGACAGTTGACGGCATCGAAGCCGAAAGCCGAGTCACGGCAAGGCCTGCTCACCACCATGTTGCCGCGGCGATTCTTGGTCCGGGGAACCGGGACAGGGGGCTGAAGTACAGACGAAAGACGGCCAAGAGGAGTCCATATAACGGGATAAGCAGCAATATGGTATATGGCCCGAGCCACAATGATCTTGTCACGTCTGAGAGCATGTTTTTTCTTTATTCTTGTCTTGATACTTTTTTATTCTCTTTATTTGGTGGCTGACCGGCTTGGGTTATGGGCTGTAATTTTGTAAATCTCCCAAGTAAGCACTCAGGTAGCTGGAATGTAGCCTTGATACCAAGTACGTCACATACGAGACAAAACCATAAGCCAACAAGTCACCCCGGACTCTGGCTGAAATCCTTTTCCCGGACTCCGTACACGTGGCTTGGAGTCCGGCGAGTTCGACTGGGGGAACAGAGAGAAAACCCGCCGGAGTTCATGTTGGCATGCATCAGCCCCCGGACCAGCCTCTGCGTCGAGCCGTGTGATTTCGTCGCAATTTCTATTCATCGACGGCAGCCACCAAACGCCAAATCCACATTCGCTTCTATCCTTGCTGCGGAAACTACTATAGCCTCTTGGCGACATATTGACACTACTCCAGCCCTATCTATCGACCCGATCCGCTCGCCGTCATGAGCCTCTCGGCCGACAACGAGACTGTTGCTGCGACACGCGCGACCCAAGACACAGCAACACCTCGCCGTCACGCCGTCACGGTCGCCGAGGAGCACCATGGCCACCTCCACGGGCTGCAGCTGTACAACCTGCTGGGGGCGTTGATGCTGGCCATGCTCCTATTAGGTCTCGACATCAACATCGTCGCCACGGTCAGTATTGTCGCTCGTCTTCACCCTCCGTTCGCTGACGGCATGCTTCCGTCTTCTCTACCCAGGCCGTCCCCTCCATCACCGACCACTTCCATAGCCTCGCCGACATCAACTGGTATGGCTCGGCCTTCCTGCTCGCCCTGTAAGTCGGAGTTTTGGCGTCCTCAGGCCCCCCTGGACACAACATTCACGTTGAAGCAGCCCGGCACCAGCTAACTAAGAAACCAGGTGCGCGCTGCAGCCCCTGGCCGGCAAGACGTACGTGCTCTTCCCGTCAAAGGTAGGTCGGCCCCGATGCGTGCGTCGGCGAGCCTTTGTTTCCCGGGGCTGACTTTGAACCGTCCAACGCAGCCTGCTTACCTGCTCTTCAACGCCGTCTTTGCGCTCGGCAATCTCATCTGCGCCCTGTCCATCTCGAGCCACATGGTCATCGCCGGACGCGCCCTGGCCGGCGTGGGCGCGTCCGGCCTGACCAACGGCGCCCTCGTCATCCTGACGGCAGCGACGCCGCCGCGCATCCGGCCACTGGCGACGGGCTTTGGCATCTCCATGATCTCAATTGGCGGCATCATCGGCCCCCTGATCGGAGGCGCCCTCACCCAACACGCCGGCTGGCGCTGGTGTATGTCGGCCGCCCGAACCGCCCGTGCTTGCCGCCCCTGGCTGACCCGACTCTTGCAGGTTTCTGGATATTCCTCCCCTCGTCGGGCGTCGTGATTGCCGTCACGGCCCTCTGCCGCGTCGCCGACTCGGCGTCGAAGCCGACTCTCGGGGAGGCGCTGAGAAGGATGCCCGTCAAGCTGGACCTGGTGGGCTTCCTCCTGTTCGCCCCGGCCTGCACGCTCTTCCTCGTCGCCATCAGCTGGGGCGGATCGGCGCACCCGTGGAACTCTGGCCTCGTCATTGGCTTCTTGTGCGGCGCCGCCGGATTTCTTGCCCTTTTCTGCGCGTGGTGTAAGTTCCGGGGTGACGAGGCCCTGCTGCCCCCGGGGCTCCATGGCAAACGCGTCGTGTACATTGGGTGTTTGATATCCGGCCTGCAGGGCGGAACGACCATCATGACGGGCTACTTTCTGCCTCTGTGGTTCCAGTCCGTCAAGCAGGCCAGCCCTACCGACAGTGGGTTGATGATGCTGCCGTCCACCATCAGCCAGATATGCGGTGCTATATTTTGCGGCGCGCTAGGTACGCCTTGAACGTGTGGTGCTTTTGAAGCCGTATTCATATTGAAGTGTCAATGCTGACCGTTTCTTGTCTGAGAAACATTGCAGTTCGCAAATTACACTACATCCCCCCCTGGGCCATTTTGGGCAGCATGGTGACGGCCATCGGGTCCGGCCTCATGGTCACTTTTGAGAAGGACACCAGTGAGGGAAAATGGATCGGGTACCAGATCCTGGCAGGTTTTGGGCGTGGGACGGCGCTCAACATGGTGAGAAGCCTCTTCCCTCGCTTCGCCTTGTTCCCATTCCAAGGCACCAGCCTGCTTCCAAGGACTGACGCCAGCAATCTATCCAGCCCGTCATCGCGGCCCAGGAGGTCCTTGTGGCGGAAGAATTCGCCATCGTGTCCGCCAGCATACCCCTTTCGCAATACCTGGCCGGCTCCATTGCCATCTCCGTCGGCAACGCGATATTCCAAAACGGCCTCCCGTCCGCGCTGAGGAAATACGCCCCTGACGTGGACCCGAAACTTATCTCAGCCACGGGAGCAACAGAGATCGACAAGGCTGTGTCGCCGTCGCAGCTGCCGGCGGTCCTCACGGCCTACAACGACGCCCTTGTCAAGGTCTTTGTGAGTATATTCCAAGCCCTCGGGTCTCCTTCCGCCCCGGGTCCCCCCGGAATCACTTGTCGTCCTACCGTTTCGCATTCATGGATCGTGTCTAGTAGAGTACTAACTGTCTCGATACAAAGTACGTTCCCGCCATAGCGGTTGCGCTGGCCACTTTATTGAGTTTTGGCTTTAGTTGGGACAAGATCGGGATGAATGACAAGAAGGGGAGGGAGGGGGCCACGCCCTTGGCCGCCTCAACAGACAAGTCTTGAACGGCTCCTACGACTTTCACATCATATGAAATGACGTCGAGAGAGGGGAGGCTGGGCGCGCAACCCCGGCTGGAGAAATGAATCGAGAGGGGAGATTGTATTCCACTCCTCGTACAAGTCAAGTCCCGGACGGACTCTGACGGCCTGTATCTGAGTCTAATCTAGAATACTAGAATTCTATCTAGGCCACCAATGTCATTGGCATTCTTTCTTGTATAGAGACGTCAACTGCCCACCCGCGCACCGTCTCCCATCACATCGCCCGATCCTACACGGCGCCATCTTTTCCCTTTCTCCCAACAACCATGGCCAGTGGTAGCGTCGGCACCACGCCCGCATCGATATCCCTCACGTAGTCGTCCAAGAGCGTGTCGGCCGTTTCCTGACCCCCGTCCTGCCCGGATCTCGCCAGCGCAACGCGCAGGCCAGCCCTGGCGCCAGCCTTTGTCCACTCCCTCGCCGGAACCGTGAACTCGTCTCTGCCGGCGCTGCTGTAGTCCTCGACAGTGAGGTCAGTAAAGGAGAGGGCCTCGAGGGCGGCTCTGATGTCGACCGACGGAGTGGTGGCCAGTCCCTTGGCAACCGAGTTGGCGCGCATGGCGGCCCTGGCGGCCGTGATGGCCGGCGTGGTCGGGGTGAATTCGAGCTTGGCCGGCTCGACTTCCGACCATTGCACATATCCGCCTGGTTCTGAGGCCGTGGTTAGTCTGCGTCCTGCTGTGCGGAAACGTCTTCTGCGCCTGGTACCAACTCAACAGCGCGGCTGCATTCTTCGCCGCCGTGGCGATCTGGTCCTTCTTGAGAGCCAAGACCATCAGCCTCAGGTGCACAAGATCAAATGTCCCGCGGTATTCCTGGGGGAACGGCTTCAGCATGTCGTGCTTGACAAAGGTCATGTTCTCGCGGGGCGCACTGGGAAAGTGAGCGTCGGAAATGTCAAATCCGACGCATGCCACAGGAGGAGCTTCTGAATCCGCCGTCGCGGCGGTAGTCAGGGATCGTGATGCCTGTTGCAGCCAGATTCTACAGTATATCAGCGTTTTGTTGAAGCATGTACGGAAGTAGAGACGGCCATGGCATGGTAATGGCATCAGACCTTACCCAGTTCCGGTACCGACATCGGCAATTCTTTTCATTTGAGCTCGAGGTATGCTGGGGTGAAGAAGATGGTCGTGGCATAGGCGGACAAGAAGCGCATGCTGCTGGTTCAATCTTTTGGGTCATGCGGTCAACTTTGGCTCTGCTGTCGGCAGCGTCTTGCCCTTGCTTACCTCTGTCTTTCCAGCTCAGTACGCTCGAAAAGATACACGGCGTCACTGTCATTGGTGGTCATTGTTGAGACTCTGATACTTGCGCAACCTCGCCGCCCAGGCAATAAGCAACGTCACAAACTCTTTATGCGTCGCGTCTGCCAAATCCCGCCGGTACAAAGTCAAAGCGGTTGCTTTTACCTTTTGCTTACGAAACAACAAGCCGGCTATTTCTTCATTGAGCAAGAGCTCTTCTGGAGTACTACTTATACGCCTGCTACGTCATCCGGTTATTAGAATTTGACGTGCCCGGTAGAACAAGACGGTGGGTTTTCAAGGAGAGTAAACCAGCCGTTGACTGGAATAAGGCTGTTTTAAAAGTCGCCGGCCTTGCATTGGCTGCTCTGTCAGATTCCACCAGCCCATCTGCGTGGCACATCTCCCATGGGCAGCACAATTGACATACTTGCGCTGCATCTCTACTATTGGCTTGATTATTATGCCTAATTTTGATACGCGGCAGAAGATGATGAAAGTCACGATAATATACATCATTATGTGTATTATTTATTAACCCGTTTTAAAGCTTGTTAATACGTAATATATAGTGGTTATATGTGACTCCGTGTAACACATTTTAACTTTTCCGCCTCCACATCTATATAGGAGGCGTTTATTTTGCAATACAGCCTCGTCAAGGCTAATACACAGAGAACCACTTGATTATCATCATGACTGCGACGGAAAAAATACACGAGACAAAACCAAGATTCAGGGTTCTCATCAGCGGCGGTGGCGTGGCAGGTCTCACATTAGCCAACGCCCTTCAACATGCCCGGATCAATTACCTCTTGCTTGAGGCAAGATCAAATATCGCTCCGCAACTCGGCGCGTCAATAGGCCTGGGCCCTAACGGGAGCCGCATCCTAGACCAGCTGGGGTGTTATGATGAGATCATGGCATTGACGCAACCAATTCATTATACTGGGAGCCACTATGGCAACACTGGCGATTACATTCGGCCAAAAACCGACGCATTCCAGCTGGTGCAGGCACGGTCAAATTATTGCATGTGCTTTCTTGACCGGCAATCTATCCTCGCTGTCCTAGCAAAGCGTATTATAGACAAGAGGGTATTGCTTAATAAAAAGATCACCGTGGTAGACCACTATAAACATGGAGTAAGGGTCACATGCCAGGATGGGACATGCTACGAAGGCGACGTTCTCGTTGGGGCAGACGGAAATTACAGCATCACGAGGCGGGAAATGTGGCGGGCTGCCGATCAAGAGTCGCCGGGAACGATTCCAGAATCTGAAAAGCACAAAATGTCTGCCGAATACAAGTGTATGTTTGGCATCTCGGCTCCCATACCGGAGCTGACTCCGCGGTCCTTTGACGTCACCTACAACAAAGACATGTCTCCCATTGTCATTGTTGGCAAACACGGACGCGTATACTGGTTCTTGATCGCGCGGATGCCGCAGGTCTTCAAAGCAGGAAACATCCCCCGATTCTCCGACGAAGAAGCACGAGCCTTTGCGGAGGAACATCTGGACCAGCCTCTGATGCCGGGCGCACTTGTCAAAGTAAGAGACTTGTGGGAGAGACGCGAGGCGTACAACATGGTGGCCCTGGAGGAAGCCTACTACGACCACTGGACATATGGAAACTTTGCTCTTGTCGGCGACAGCGCCCACAAGATGACTCCGAATATGGGGTCTGGGGGCAACTCAGCCATCGAAAGCGCCGCCGCCCTGGCCAACTCCCTGGTACAAACCCTCGACGGGTGTAAAGGCACTCGCCCGACCCGTGACGAGATTCAGAGTGCCCTCCAGAGGTACCAGAACGCGAGGAGACTGAGGGCATCTCGCACCGTCATTGCCTCCAACCTCGTCACAAGACTCCATGCCGTCAAGGACTACTTGCATCACTTCGCCGCCCATCACATCTTGCCAAACGCCGGCGATCTACTTGTCGACCTGGCCTCTGAGAACTGGATCGGTGCCGTCAAGCTCGAGTACATGGCAGTTCCAAAACGATCTCTGGCGGGCACGATGCCCTTTAACCCCCAGCAGGGGATGGGCAACAACGAGAACATCCTCTTCCGAGCGCTGGCTGCCTTGCCCCTGCTTTTCCCCGTGGCCCTGCGCTACTGTCTTCCCCTCTACACACCCAAAACACTCTTGCCATGGCAGAAGTTGCTCGACGAGTCGTTTGATGTGCCATGTTTGAACGTCGAGGTGGCGGATTTCGGCACGGTATATGCCGTGATATTGATCGAGGCCGCTCGACGTGCCAACCTCATGACGCCTCTCGCGTTGTAAGTGAACCCCGCTGCACAAGACAACCCTGTTCCTTTTCAAAAATACTCACCTGATTTTACATCTCTATAGGCCATTATTGTTTGGAATGGGCTGCCAGCTTGCCCCCGCGGAGACGTTCTTGTCCCTGTACTTTTTCACATATGCCGCTCTTGTGCCCATATCCCGGTTCAAAGCAGGCGACCTCCGGCTTACGGATCTGAGCTACACACGCTCGGTCCTCCCTGCCACCTTGCTATGCTATTATCTTCCATACATCCTATCGATATCGGGTCCCAGCCGGGAAATTCGACAAGCTTCCATCTGGGCGTTCCGCTTGTCGCCCCTCCTGACCAGTCTCGCGCAGCGAATGGCGAGCAAGTTCATCTTCCCGTCAACGATCCAGCAAGATCGTCTGACCAATGTACGACGTGACATGGGAACTATTCGGCTTGGAATCGGAGGCCTGGCTCTCTTGTCTGCCTCATCGTGGCTGCGTCTTTTTCGCCACACTCCCTCCTTGATGAGCGGCAATTTGGCATCGAGTAGCCACGCCTGGTTCGCGGGTGTATCTATTCTCTGGATTACATATCTGTACAATGACCTCAAGGGGGCGGGCATGGTGCGGCATGGCTGGCTGTCAATAGTATCAGCACTCGCCGTTTCTACCTGTTCCGTTGGCCCGGGGGCTACTGTGGCCATGGCATGGCTCTATCGCGAACATGTCCTGGCCACCAAAAGGCACAAGGGCGCTATAGTCTGAAGGAATCACGGTCTTGTGGGCTAGGTGCAATATAATCTCCATTCTTGGTTGTTAAATCTTCTTCATCAATCCATCAGATGTAATAGCCGTGGCTGCTGTAGAAAAGCAACTCACACAACTCTTGTTTTATTCATGTGTTTCAACTACAGGATAAACTAGTTTCTGTCCAGAAATAAGCTTCTTCTTTAGCATCTGGAGCCCATCTGTCACGGCTGACAGACCGCCATCCATGACCTTGAGCGGGTGCGTCTTCAGCTTCCCCTGGTCCAGTAATTCTTGCACCGTTGTAAACCACCTTTTGGCAAACTCGCGAAGTTCAGGATTAGCATCTCTCTCCATGGGAGGCGGCCAGCCAATCGGTTTCCCGTGCAGTGCAGGACCCAATACCCAGTTTACTGTGACAGTCCTCTCCCTCGCGTTGAGATACTTGGGCGGAGGCTCCAGCGTTGCCAGTTTGCCGCCGGTTCGACCGATGCACTTGTAGCAGAATTCCATGGTGTCAGGCTCGGAGACGCAGTCAATGACGAACTTGAGAGCGTTCTTGGTGAGCTTCTTGATGTCATCTATGCAATTTTCAGACCGGTAGTCGAAACATTGTACCGCGCCGTAGGATTTGACCAGGTCAAAGTTGGATGGCGAACAGGTTGCGATTGGCAGCAGTCCGGATCTTGGCAACATCAGTATTCTATACATGACTCAAAGCAACCGGGGGATTTGAGCATGGGTGTTATACGTACAGCTTGAGAAGTTGAATGGCCATGGTTCCGCTGGCTGTGCTGCCGCCATATACAAGAACCACTTTGGGCGTGGCTGCTGGCCCAGTGGGATATCCTGGGACCTGCAAGGTATGGAAGAGCGCCATTCCCATGGTTCCTATGCCTGTCCCAAGCGAGGCGGCTTCCTCCATGGACATGGACTCTGGAACTTTGATGACGGCGACGTCAGACGCGCCGACATATTCCGCATAAGCTCCCACGTCGGGTGCTAGGGGGTTCAGTCCCTTTCGAGGTAGATTATACTTGTTAGTTTCTATAGTCTGGACAGCTCGCTCGGATGCGCCGTTCAACGTTGGCATACCTGGACAGCACCGCAGACCCGATCGCCAATCTCGATCGGCGCTGCGGTCCACGTCTTCGCTCCGATGGCTGCAACTGTGCCCGCAAAATCATGGCCGGCGAGGGCCCCGGCAGTTACGAGGTTCGGCGCAGACATCTTTGCGTCCACGGGGTTGACCGCGATGGCGGCGGTTTTTACAAGGACCATGTCCTCCTCCAGAGCAGGGACGTTTGCATTCTCCACGAGCGCGAGGCCGCCTCCTTCGACTCCTACAATGGCCCTTTGTGTCTGGGGGTGTGTAATAGTCATCCTGATACTCTCGTTGTCTTGACTCTAGTTTCTTGGCTTTCTTGTCAGCACTTTTGATTGTTACTTCACCAATGAGTAGAATTTCTTCAAACCAAATAAGTCAATACCAAAAAGATCAATAAGAAATCACTCATAAATTAGCCTGATTGCCGAGCACAAAGTAGTGGTGAGTCAGCGTCGCAAAACCCGCCGGCTGATGAGGCTTGTTTGGCATCAAGCCTGCCGGCCGGACCGTGTCAGAATGTTACCGGCGGTTGATGATTCCACGGCGAGATTTGACATCCGGGACATAATAGGCCATAGTATGTAGAGAAAAGTAAGTAGTCGACCTCGTGGTCCCAGAGAGGAGTAGAAACCCAAAGTTGCCGCTGATACGATTCTGGGGAATTGCGTTATCCACCCGTACTTAAAGGGGCAACATGATATCGTCTTGTTAGAGAGCATGACCATACGTACGTACCAGACGATTTTAGACAGGACTGAGCCCCAAAACTTTGTATTCTACCATCTCTACTAGGCGGTATATTCTTAGTTTCTCCTTTAGACTGGCAGTATTCTTCTCCGGACTAGGTTCGACCTCAAACAGCCGTTCAGAACTCTACCTGGGCTGCATCACATAGTAGATAGTATGGACGCCGGACTTGTGCGAGAGCAGCCAGAACCGATCGCCATTGTTGGCATTGGATGTCGGTTTCCCGGCGGAGCAAGTACTCCGTCCAAGTTGTGGGATGTCTTGAAGGAGGCCCCAAACACCGCAAAGGTGATCCCTCAAGAACGCTTCAACCTTGACAGATTCTACCACCCGGTGGGCACCCATCACGGTACAAGCAACGTCAAGGAGACCTACTTCCTGGACGAAGACGTCAGGCGATTCGATGCAGGCTTCTTCAATATCCCCCCTCCTGGTACGGCCAACCCTCCCTCCACTCTCGCAACTAAGCGTCAACGTGGCTAATCATGTCTTGTATTCAGAGGCCGGTGCCATGGACCCTCAACATCGTCTTCTCATGGAGACGGTCTACGAAGCCATGGAGACCTCTGGCACGACCATTGAGAAACTTCAAGGGTCGAACACGTCCGTGTTTGTCGGAGTCATGTGCAGCGACTACTATATCCTTTCTGCACAAGACTTGGATAGCGTCTCGACGTACAACTCCACGGGCATCGCAAACAGCAACGCCTCCGCTCGTCTTTCCTACTTCTTTGACTGGCACGGGCCGTGCATGACAATCGACACGGCATGCTCTTCTAGCTTGGTGGCTGTCCACCAGGCCGTTCAAGCTCTCCGGGCTGGCACCTCCCGCGTAGCTGTGGCCGCAGGCACCAATCTCCTGCTTTGTCCCCTCGGGTACATATCTGAGAGTCTGCTGGGCATGCTTTCGCCGAATGGGCGATGCCAAATGTGGGATGAGAAGGCGGACGGCTACGCCCGAGGAGAGGGTGTTGCTTGTGTGCTGCTGAAGAAATTAAGCGATGCCATTGCGGATGGTGACCATATTGACTGTGTTATTCGTGAAACGGGAGTTAATCAGGACGGCAAGACTAAAGGCATTACTATGCCGAGCGCCGTCTCTCAAGCCTCCCTGATCCAGAGAACCTACCACCAAGCTGGACTGGACCCGAGGAACAAGAAGCATCGTTGTCAGTACTTTGAAGCCCATGGAACCGGTACTCCTGCAGGTGATCCGCAAGAAGCCGAAGCTTTGGGTAAGTGAATGACCTTGTCTAGGACTTGGGTATTCGTGACAAATACTGAAAGTTTCATGGTCAGATACGGCCTTCTTCGGGGATTCAGAACGAGATGCCAATGACATTCTTTACGTGGGATCCGTAAAGACCGTAGTTGGCCACACCGAAGGCACCGCTGGTCTGGCGGGCATCATAAAAGCATGTCTCTCCATCAAGCATGGGATTATTTCTCCCAATCTGCATCTAGACAGCCTGAGCCCATCGGTGAAGCCTTTCTGCAAGAATCTCGAGGTGGTGACATCCATTATGCCGTGGCCAGAGTTGCCTGCCGGTCAAGTTCGGCGAGCCAGCGTCAATAGCTTTGGATTTGGAGGAACCAATGCCCACGCCATCTTGGAGAGTCCCTGGCCTTCGGACGACTTACAAGCTCAGGTTGAGGACCGCACTCCTGTATCGGCAGACAAGGAAGCTCTTCATCTTCCATTTCTCTTCTCCGCCACGTCAGAAAAGTCCCTTATAGCCTTAGTGGATGCCTACTCCGAGTATCTTGAGAGCAACTCCGATGTTGACCTTCATAGACTCGCTTACACGTTGGGGTGCCGGAGATCGGCCTTCGCCTTCAAGACGTGCTTCTCAGCCGCATCACAAGAGGAACTGTGTAGCAAATTAAGCGAGAGCACCAGCGATCAAGGGAACCTGTCCTTTGTGCGTTCCACGACAACAAATCCGTCTCTCCTCGGCGTCTTCACTGGCCAAGGTGCGCAGTGGCCGAGGATGGGTGCTTCACTCCTTCAGTCATCAAATCGCGCCATGGATATCATCAACGAGCTGGATGCCTCATTGGCAGCGCTGCCGGCTTCTGACCGTCCTTCGTGGACTCTCCGTGACGAGCTTCTGGCTGATGCGTCGGCTTCCCGTGTGGGTGAGGCCACCATTGCACAACCTCTAGTATGTGCTGTTCAGATCCTGCTGGTTACGTTATTGCGGGATGCTGGGGTTCAGTTCAAGTCCGTTGTTGGGCATAGCTCTGGAGAGATTGCAGCTGCCTTTGCCGCAGGCTTCATTAACCATCATGATGCCATCCGCATTGCGTATTATAGAGGTTTACATTCGAAGCTGGCCCGGAGTGCGAGTGGTGACATAGGCGGAATGCTAGCGACCGGCCTTTCATACGACGAGGGCATAGAGCTGTGTGATCACGAAGACTTCACCGGCCGTATCACCGTGGCTGCGTCCAACTCCCCGACTAGTGTTACTATTTCTGGTGACTTGGACGCTCTTGAACAGCTGCAGTTGGTTCTTGAGGATGAGGAAACCTTTGTCCGGGCTCTGCGCGTCGACAAGGCCTATCATTCTCACCACATGAAGCCTGCATCTGGACCGTTCCTGGAGAGCGTCAGGAACTGTGCTATCAACATCATGACTCCTCCAAACAACGCGCCAACCTGGTTCTCCAGTGTGTACGGGGGTCAAGTCATGGAGGCAAGTGATATTATCAAGGGATCGTACTGGGTAGAAAACTTGTTGAATCCCGTGCTGTTCTCCCATGCTCTCGAGACGGCTCTGTTGTCAGGCGATGCTTTCGACGCCGCTGTGGAAATTGGCCCCCATCCCGCCCTCAAAGGACCGGCAACAGATGTGATGAAGGCCGTGACTGGGAAAATCATCCCTTACAGCGGAACCCTAACCCGCGGCAAGCACGACGTCGAATCCTTCAGCGATGCCTTGGGGCATCTTTGGGCCAACGCAGGTCCTTCTTCTATCAATCTTGACAGTTATGGACAAGCCATGTATCAAGACTGGAAGACAATCAAGATATTGCGGGATCTTCCAGCCTATCCGTGGAACCGCGATCGGATCTTATGGACCGAGTCGAGGGGAACCAAGCTATGGCGCCAGCAAGAAGGAAAGTTTCACGACATCCTCGGCTCTCGCTGTGCCGATGGAACGGAGGAAGAATGGCGCTGGAAGAATCTTCTGCATCCCAAGGAGCTTCCGTGGGTGTTGGACCACGCTCTGCAAGGGCAAACCGTCTTCCCTGGAACTGGATACCTCTGCCTCGCCTTGGAGGCGGCCATGCAGATTGCCGGTAACAATTCTGTCCAGCTGCTCGAGCTGACGGACCTGAGTATCCGCAAAGCTATTGCGATTGATGAGAGCGCTGGCACAGAGACGCTTGTATCCATGACCAAGATAATCCGTACAGAAGAGGACATCACCATGGCGTTTGCCTGCTTCTCGACGGTTGGCAAGGAAGGTTCCGGTCTTGCCTTGAATGCCATGGGCAATGTCCGAGTACAACTCGGACAACCCATGCCGGATATCCTCGCGCCGCGGCCACCTCCTGCCCACGGCATGAGGCCGGTTTCGACGGATCACTTCTACAGCGAGGTGGCCAAGCTCGGGTACAACTACGGCCCAACTTTCCGCGGCATCTGCAATTTGGAGCGAAGGCTGGGCGGTTCCAGGGGTGATATTGTCGGACCGCCTAATGATGAGACGGGCACGACGTTGCTTTTCCACCCCGGCATGCTCGATGCAGCCCTTCAGGGCATGTTGGTTGGATTCAGCTCTCCCGGGGACGGCCGCCTCTGGTCTCTCCATGCACCATCGAGCATCAGGAGAGTGACCCTGGTGCCTAGTTTGTGCGGTGCAAACATGACCCCGAAAGTGTCGTTTGACTGCGCCGTTACCGATATCGAGTTCAACGAGCTGACGGGGGATGTTGAAGTGTTCCAAGACGAGACCGGTTACAAGTCCATCTCTGTGGAAGGCGTTGCTTTTATCCCCTTTACTGCAGCTACTGCCTCGGACGACCGCGGTCTCTTTGCGCATAATGTCTACGGCATCGAGTCTCCCAATGGGCAAGCTGCCCTGGGGTCGTATAGAGCCACCAAGAGTGAGATTCAGAAAGGTGTCGACTGCGAACGCGTGGCTTTCTACTACCTGAGGAGACTTCACGAGGACTTCTCCCAAGCTGAGCGCACTACACTTCATCTGCCACGCCATCATCAGGCTCTCTTTGACTATGCTGAATACATATATAATATAGTCCAACGCGGAGAGCATGCCTACGTGAAGAAGGAATGGATGGAGGACACATATGAGCAAATATGCAGCATTATGAAGAGGCAAGTCTACATCTATGGCGAGGGCTTTGTTGAACTCGGTCCAGGACGAAGAGAAGTGAGATGCTGACAATCCTCCAGTTATGGTCCAAACGATCCGGACTTCCAGCTAACAGCCGCATCTGGAGAGAACCTGCCGGCGGTAGTACGGGGAGAAACGACGATTCTCGAACACTTGACCAAGGACAACAAGCTGAACAACTACTACCAGCACGCTCTTGGCTTCCACGCCCTCAACGACCTCATCGCCGCCACTGTCAAGCAAATCGCCCACCGGTACCCGCGGATGAACATCTGCGAAGTTGGAGCCGGCACCGGCGGTGCGTCGAGGCGCATTTTCGCCGAGCTGGGCACCGCCTACTCATCTTACACGTACACCGACATCTCGAGCGGCTTCTTCAGCAAGGCTCAGGAGGACTTTGCTGCCTACAAGGACCGAATGATCTACAAGACGCTGGACATCACCGTCGACCCTGCCGAGCAAGGATTTGAACACGGGGCCTACGACCTTGTCGTGGCCGCCAACGTGCTCCATGCCACGCCCGACCTGGTTGCCACGCTGTCCAACGCGCGCAAGCTGCTCCGTCCAGGCGGGTTCTTGGTCATGATGGAATTCACCGACAAGAGCGTGTTGCGCCTCGGCGTCATCATCGGCGGTCTTCCGGGGTGGTGGATCGGAGCAGACACTGGCCGCAAACACTCGCCCTGCGTTTCGCTGCCCGAGTGGAACGACATCCTGCTCGGTTCCGGATTCGCGGGTATCGAGACGTCGACGCCCGTCTTGGATCCGGTTGTCATGCCAGCCTCCATCATCGTCGGCCAGGCTTTCGACAGCGACCTCTCGCTGCTGAGGGAGCCTACGGCCGTCTCGCCGGGGCTCGGCATGGCGAAAAACGCGGAGCTTCTCATCGTGGGTGGTGCCGGGGCCGCTTCTGCCAAGGTCGTCGAGAACGTTGCGGCTGCTGTGCGGCCGCATTACCAAAATATTGTCCATGTTCGGAGCTGGGACGACCCGAGCGCGGATCATGGTTTGAAGAATCCCACTGTGCTGAGCTTGCAGGATCTCGATGGTGCTTTCTGGAGGGACATGACGGTCCGGCGATTTGAAAGGCTCAAGGCTGTCTTTTTGACGGCGGCAAACGTGCTCTGGGTGAGTTGGGGCACGGATTGCGACAATGGCGACGGCGCCATGACGGTCGGCTTCTTCCGATCTCTGGCGTACGAGCTGCCGCAGGCCATTCTGCAGGTGATGGACTTGGAAGACGTATCCAAGGCTGACGGATCTGTCATTGCCCAAAGGCTTCTGCGGCTGGACATGTCGTCGTACATGAACAAGACTGGCTCCCTTGGCCGCACCATGTTCAGCAATGAGCCGGAACTCAGGTTTCGAGACGGAAAGGTCTTGATCCCGCGGTGTCTTCCCCATGTGGACCAGAATCACCGCTACGACTCCCTCAAGCGCGTCATTGACAAGGAGATTTGCCTCGACGAATCCATCGCCACGCTCAACTGGTCACGGTCCGAGTACACCCTGCGGGAGGACGAGTGCGCAGTTTTGCCTTGTTTGGCAGACCACCGGCGGGTTCGTGTCGATTCGTCTCTGGCATCGTCAATCGTCACCCCTGCCGGTCGATTATTCTTCAGTCTGGGCACTGACATGGACACGGGCCGGCGAGTCGTGTCGGCCTCTGGCAAGAACTCTTCGGCCATTTCGGTCCCTCACAAGTGGTCAGTCCATGTTGACGTCGGCAGAAGCATCGACTCTCAGTACCTCTCTTTCCTCTCGGGCTATCTGTTGAGTCGGCACCTCTCGTCTAGGATGCCTGCCGGGGGGACTGTCGTCGTCCACGAGCCAGACCCGGGCTTGGCCTCGATGATGTCACGGCAGCTAGCCACCATGGGATGCAGGGTCTTGTTCACAACCGCTGCGACTGGCGTGGTGAGGAGGAACTGGCTAGCCATGCATCCTCGCATTCCCGATCGTCAGCTCATACGGGCGTTGCCAACGACGTGTGACTTGTATCTCGACCTCTCTGCCACCACGCCCTGCCCGGAGGGGTCATCATTCCTCAGTCAGAGAATTTCTAAAATGCTTCCTCCTTTGTGCGAGAGACATGATGCGGGCGTTGTCATTGCGCGTCAATCAACCGTGTTCGCAGGTGCTCACGACGACGCCATCCATGAGCTGCTCAACCGAGTCAACTTGTTTGCTGCGGCGCAGCTCAACGGAGTGCCCGACGGCATGCCTTTGCCCATGATTCCCCTGAGTCAAATCCTGAGCAGCGGCGCCTCCGCGACAAGCAATGCGCTCAGGGGCATTATCCAGTGGCACGGCGAGGACAGCGTCCCAGCCCGCGTGGAGCCAGTCGTGAACAGAAACGACTTGTTCGCAGCCGACAAGACGTACTGGCTCGTCGGCCTCGCAGGTGACTTGGGTAGATCCATTTGCGACTTCATGGTTGCTCAGGGCGCTCGCTACATCGTGCTGTCCAGCCGAAACCCCGAGATCAACCACGAGTGGGTGAAGGATCATGCCGCGCGCGGCGCGACCGTTGTCTACATCGCTGCAGACATCACGAGCGAGAGCAGCCTCAGGGCATCCTATGATCAGATCCGGGCGAATCTGCCTCCAGTGAGCGGCGTGGCCAACGGCACCCTCGTCTTGAAGGACCGAGGGTTGGTCAACATGGATCTCGAGACATTCCACGCCAACACCAGGTGCAAGGTAGAGGGCACTGAGCACCTCGACGCCCTGTTCCCGGACAACACGCTGGACTGGTTTATTGCCTTTTCATCCATCTCTGCAACCGTGGGCAACATGGGCCAAATGGCCTACACGGCTGCCAACATGTTCATGAAGGCCATCATTTCCCAGCGCCGCAGGCGCGGTGTAGCCGGCTCCGTCATCGACATATCCCAAGTCTTTGGCGTCGGGTACGTCGAGCGCGAGCTCAATCGGCAGGCCAGGAGCGACCGCGAGCAGGCCATGAGGCTGATGGGCAAATCCGGGACGCTCGTCATGTCGGAGCCCGACCTGCATCAGCTCTTTGCCGAGGCCGTCATCTCGGGCCGTGCCGGGTCGGGCCACGACCCCGAAATCATCTCGGGTCTCCGGATCATGACGCCCGCCGAGTCCAAGGATGCCCTATGGGGCGGCAACGTTCGCTTCGGCCACATGATCCAGGAGACGGGCACGGCCAAGCCGCCCAGCGCCACCAAGACGGCTGCGATCCCGATCAGGGCGCAGCTGGAGGCGGCCAAGGACGCCGAGCAAATATCCGCCATGCTCGGCGCCGCCTTCAAGGCCAAATTGAAGGCTGCTCTGCAGGTGGGCGAGGAAACGCTCAGCGTGACGACCCCCCTGGTCGACATGGGGGTCGACTCCCTCGTGGCTGTCGAGATTCGGACGTGGTTGGCGAACGAGGTCGGTGCGGATGTTGCGGTCCTCAAGATCCTGGGCGGGCCGTCGATTCAAGACTTGGTCGAGGATATCGCCGTGGCCATCAAAGGCCAAGAGAGCTCGAGTGACAGTGCCGAGTCGGAGACCAGCTCCAACTCGGAGGATAAGACGAGTACCCCTGCGACGGAGGGGAGCAGTGACGGATCCGGTCAGGAAAAGACGGAATAGGCGACGGGTTTACCGTGTTCTACGGGTAGAGGTCTGTCGATGTTTATCAAGTTTGTTATTGTGTGGCCGTGTTTCTGCGTACAGAATCCGTTGAATCGTAGCTTTTCTCGTACTATAAGAAGCCTTGTGCCTGTCAATGAATTGAACCGAATTTCGCTCTTTCTCGTATTCTACGGGCATCTTCACTTGTAATCTACGAATTTATTTATGCGCCCCGGGTTCGCGCCTTTAGCCATCTTGAACGCCAAGATTTGCGAGGCCATTCATGTGAAAGGGGGGTGTGTTGGACTTGAAGAACTAGAAACATGGCATTCTTGACAAGGAAAAGACATTGCGTTTCCGCAGGATGAATAACAGTCACACCATAATGCTCCAGGCCCTTGTCACACTTGCGCAGAGTTAATGAACTTCATACATAGCTTTCTAATGGCAGCTAGTCCTGCCTTTAACCAAAAACTTAAACTTGGACACAGACGTCATCATTCTATCCGGCCCATAAAGAATACGACTTTCACGCTGCCACTCAGGGTGATGTAAGGCGTCTGGCCAGTCCATCATCTGCATTGAGATGGCCGCATTCTTGCCGACTTTGGCCCCCCCCTGGGCTGCCTTTAACGCCAAGTTTGCTAAAGAGAATTTATTAGCGGCCGTGAGATAATATAACATAAATCTCATCGTGGCGGAATAAATGTGCTTACAGTAGGGCTTATCCCACGTCACCAGGCGCACTGCCGCTTGATCGGTATACATGTTGAGTGTAATGCCTGATTTTACCGATGAGAGCGAAGCGACAGGGTTGCTATCCATTTCCCATGGCTGGTGCCGATTGACTAGAAAGAGGTCATCGTAAGACCCTTTCCGTGCCAGCCCTACGTCTAAGGATCTTGGTAGTGACCAGAAATCATATTCGCTGTCTTTTGTATTTCCTTTAATATTACCTGTTGGAATTTGGTCTTGGTCCTCTTCAAGTCGTAATCCTGAAAATGGTAGGTGTAACCGATGTTCCTTGATAGTCTCTGATCCCTCTCTAAATCCATCTAGGTTCCAAAATGTCTTATGGCTAAGGTTAATAGGCACCGGGTCGCTAGTCCTGGTGGGTGTGACGCCGTACGAGATCCGCCATTCATACGGGTATACCGAGTGTGTTAAAGCAGACCCTGAATTTCCTGGAAATCCGTTCTTACCAGCGCGGTCGAAAACCACAAAGGTGATGCTATTGCTTGTGCGGGAGCCAACGTCAAACGTTGTTCGCTCCCAACCACCGACTCCTCCGTTATATGTGCTGGTTCCGTTATTCCCGTTTGCAGAGGTATGGTATTTCTTGTCATTAATGACGAAGCTAGCATTGCTTATGTGGCCGGCCATTCGACCTAAATAGAAGTTTGCTTTAGCCCAGTACATCTGACTCCTGTGGCCGACACGAACGCACCTATTGTCCCTCCAAGCTGGCCCACGTAGTTTGCGTATTCCTTCGGGTTATCTAGGCCTAGAATGAGGTCGATTTCGTTCCCGTTTGTGTCGTTTATGAATAGGTTTGTTGGAGCGCCTCCATTCGCATTGGTAAAAACAAGCCGGATGCCTTCTGCCTGGATGCTCCATTTGCCATCCGCGTCCGTCGGCCACAGGGCTGTAAACCCGGCAAACGGGCTTCCGCCGTACCAGAGGGACTTGATGGTAGCTGCAAAGCTTACCAGGAGAGCAGCTGCCTTTACCATGTCGCCGCGCTTATTGCCCACGGCTGCTCTATTCCTGATGTCTGCGCAAGTTCAGACGAATTATGTTGAGTCGACACTATGGCTAGGAAAATCCGGGTCTGAATACGTGCATGTCTAGCAGGTTAGTTTCGACAGTAAGCAAGGTTTGAGTTTCTGTACAATTCAGCCGTGTTTAGCAGAGAGGACTTGTTTTTACCGGCGGGTTTTTTAGAAATGCGCCGCCGGTACCGTGAGACGCACGAAGACGCCGTGTGATGGGCCAGTCAATCGGTACAAGATACACGTCGAAATACACCGGTACGAATAGAAAGATCTAGAACAAAAAAATTGACACCGCGTTGTTGTTATACCTTTTGCCAATAGGTAATCCCCAGCACAGCATGTCATTGTATTCGGCGAGACGAAGGATACCCGAACCAAACCGACCAGTCTCTTCATAGCACCCCCAGAAATGACTACAACAACAGCTGATGATATTGGGTTTATTCCTGACACTAATTCCGGCGTATAACTTGACTTTTAGAGAGGGAAACCCGTCGTCACTCGACGAAGCAGCAGTGCAGCTATAGGAACAGGACCTTTAGTACTATTAAATTAATGCTGCACGAGGCAGCAAGTTTAAAATGATTACTATCAATATCACAGGCGTGACAAGAGCTATAGGCTTGGAGCAATGACTCAATTCATCTAATAACACTCTGTGGTTTTCCTCAAGATCGCTCTTTAAATACAACAAGCCAGTGAGGGTCTTTGCCCCATGTCCCGTGATCGTAGCCCTCGTGTACCCGTGTGACATACAAGCGCATTCTTCAGCCGTGGTTTATAGTTATAACACTTAAATGTCTTCGGTGGCATTTGCGGATAACCGGCGTATTGCACTTACGACCTCATCTACATCGTCCTTTGCCAGTGGAAGCTGATGCTTGCCGGTAAATCCAGCAACCTTCGCACAAGACAAATCAAAAAACTCGGCTAACATGTGCTCCGACTCTGGCCTCCATGGATCGTTTGACCCGTGGATATGCAAGGTAGGAATCAGGACTCTTTCCGGAGCTGCAGTCATTTCATCGTTGAGATATAGAGGGGGGTAGGTAGCGTTATTTATAATGGCAAACTTGATGTCATAAAAGTCGTCGGTACGGCCTCGTCGACGCATTTGCGCCAGATGCATGAGAAGCCCCGTGGCGACTCGCGCTCCCTGAGAGAATGCCATGATGCCCACAAACAGCGCTTGCCCGTCGTCCTTTTTCAGCAAATGGTCTTCGAGCAGTGCCCTGACCTTGTCCCTCTCTGCGTTGACCTCGTCCGTCGTAATGTCGAACGACAGCGATGCGCCCATGTCGCATTGCCATCGGTAAAAGGGGCCCGAGTCTGCAAACAGCTCCATCCCAGGCCCGGGCGTCGAGAGAAACGGAGCTTCGATGAAAACAAACTGGAAATCTTTGCCAAGAGCTGAGAAGATCTTGCGCCCTTGCACTCGAAAAATTGCGCCGTTGGACCCGGCGCCGTGGAGGCAAAGGATTCGGGGGAGGAGGCTTTCTTGCTTCGCCATGCTCGGTGTCTGGTTGATATCAAGTTTACAAATTATTCTATGCCAGAGAAATAATGTAAACTTCTACCTAGAATCTTCATGGTTGCGAGTTTCCAGAGGTGGACGGATTCATGGCCACCGGCGAGTTTTGCGGGCGGCGAATTCTCTCTGGGGAACGCCCATGTATCAAGAATGGCAAGCCGGCCACCTCGACAGTGAATTGGACGTGTATTGCAAAGGCTCATGTTTGTGTGTTTAAAGTTTGTAAAGTCTCAAGCAATCTTTCTGCCTTGTTCTAACGGCCACGAAGGCATGCATGATGGGAAGCGAATTGGACTTGTTTATACTGACAGGGTTGCCGGCCACTGTCGTAGCTGTGATTTTGGCTTCAGCTATTGCCGTGCTATACTCTAAGAAATCAGCATCCTTGGAAAATTCCATACAAGAGTGGAAGTTTCCCCACGTCACTGTGGAAAACGGCAATGTTATCGCTGCCATCACACAAGGAACCACGGCGGTATGATCCCACTCCCACGCCTTCTGCTGTCACAGCATGTTTCAATAGGCGAATTTTGCTAAACCTGGTGTGTTTTTCGGTATTCAAAGTACCCCGACGAGCCTTTTGTTCTTGCCACGGAACAGCCCAAGATCATACTTCCGAATCGCTTTCTGAACGAGCTCAAACCGCTGTCGCAAGATGTCCTCTCTTTGCGCAGGGAGGTCTACGACAAGATGCACGGCAGGTACACCACCCTGGGGACCGACCATCCTATTGGAATCCAAGCCATCCGAACCGACTTGACCGCGAACATTGGTCGAATGCTGCCGGAGCTGCAAGAAGAGTCGGTGTATGCCCTGGAGCGGGAATTCGGCCACATCTCAACATGGACGCAAATGGGCGTCTACGACAAGCTTCTGCAGCTCAGTGCTTTGGTGAATGGACGCATGTTTGTCGGTCTTCCCTTGTCTCGCGACCAGGACTGGATCGACATCTCCATCGGATATACTATGGCCATGGTGCAAGGAATCCGAGCGATTCAGCGAACCAAGCCACTCCTACGTCCTATTCTCGTCCCCTTCTTGCCAGAGATGAAAGCGCTCAGAGACCTCCAGAGACGTGCGGCCAAGATTCTGAGACCGCACTACGAGTTCATTATCGGTACTCACCAAGGAGCTGGCACAGAAAAGAAACCGGCCAGGAACCAGTATAACCTCATCTCTTGGATGCTCAAGCAGATGGATCTCCAGCGCACGGGTACAGACTTTGACCATTTGGTGCACGAGCAACTCTTTGCCGGTAAGTCTTTCTGCTGAGGTATAAATGGGATGGGTGTTGCCCTGGTTTATAATTTGGCTAAATCGATTCATTAATCAGGCTTCGGATCGATCCACGCAACCTCCATCACAGTTACCAACGCAATTTTTGATCTCGCTGCTAGACCTGAGTATATACTGGCCCTTCAAGAAGAAATTCAAACCGTCTTAGACCAAGAACAAGGGCATGTTCTCCGGAAGGAAAGCTTACCCAAGTTTCGTAAGATAGATAGTCTATTACGTGAGAGTCAGCGAATGAATCCAGGTGAGAGCGCTACGCTTCGTCCCTATCTCACGGATTAAATGATCTTAAATTAATAGTCTAAAACAGGAAATATCGGTAAGTTTAAACTTGATACATTTAACGGCATTGTTTACAACCGTTGACGAAAGTCTGGTCTGCTTCTCAGTCGCCTGGGGACGCCGCGTAGTCGCCAAAGACGGCATCAAGTTGTCCAACGGCCAGACAATGCCGCCAAATGCCACCATCGGCTTCGTGCACCCCCTCGCGCCATATGTGAAAACCCCAGCAACCCTCAAGTCGCCTCTCGACTATGACCCTAATCAACCGCCGCTCGGCGAATTTTATCCGTTTCGCTCCTACGAGCTGCGCCGCCTACCGGGCCAAGAAAATGCGCACCAGTTCACCCAGACCGGCAACGACAACCTCAACTTTGGGCATGGCGCCATGTCCTGTCCGGGACGGTTCTTTGCGTCTGCAGAAGCGAAATGTATCTTGATTGAGTTCTTGAGGCGGTACACTGTTGCGCTTGGTCCCGGCGGCGAGGGTGAGGGCGGTATAAATGACCTGAAGCGGCCGAAAAACATCGTGATCCCTGGCAACATGCAGGTGGTGCCCAACTTTACTCAGCCCATTTACTTGAAGGAGCTTCCTGAAGTACTGCCTGCCGCTAGAGATGGTGCTAGAGAGATTTGATGAGGACTGGAACGAGCTTGGGTAGTAGTATGATTAAGAAGGGGAGTTTATGGGGTGGATAAATACCGTCGCTAGAAAGCCTTGATAAGTTTATATGCCATTGCCTAGTGTCTTTATTATTTTCCATCTCGATTCTTCCCTATACTTTAATCCAAGTCGAGGGCTTTAATTTAGTGGCAGGATTTGCGGGACACCCTTTGGGGTCTAGCGCGGTGGGGCCGGTTCTCGGCCCGCAAGGCCCTCTTCCACTGTTTGATGTGCCGGGAAGTAGCGAGGCATATTCTGGACCAGTAGGAAAATGACCGAGATCAGTGCAATACGTGGACGCCCCGGGTGTAAAACGTTTTCAGCGCCAAAACACCAAGATGCTTGATAACTAAGATGGTCCTGGGTTTGGTTTTGGGTTCAGTAGTGACTGGCAGCCTCCTCGCGCTAGGTGGTGATTCTCTTCAAGGGATGCACTTGGACAGGTGCGTATCTACGCCAGTGAGATTCCGGGAGGTTGCAATGACCCGAGCTGAATAGTATGGCAACTAGAATAATGCCACATGAGGAGACGTCGTTTTCAGCACAGTTAAGCCATTTTTACCAAAGAGATGCAGGGTTGGACTGGCGAGGTTCAGCCTTGGAAGATGTCACAGGGGAGATTGGCATGGCCAAAGAAAGAAGCCATCAGAGCCATTTATCCCTACCCTATAAGTCCGCAACTTCAACAGTTACATGTCACGGCACTTTGGAGAGACTTTGCGTCCAGGGAAAATGTTCTCATGATGGAAAGTGTACAAAGGAGGTACGAGCGAGGACAATAAAGAAAGGGGCGCAAATATTCTCATCATCAGTATTCATCATTTTGGGTTTAAGGACATTAAACGCTGCCAAAGGCGCTCCATCAATATGTTGAATGTTCCGGTCTACCTTTACCCGATGGCCAGATGGATGTTTCAATGTGTGCCGTAAGTTCGTGGTTGCGAACTGGGCGGAACGCAAGTAGCAGAAGACGAATGCGAACGCGAAGAGCCGTCAAATGAATGACTTGCAATGCAATGGACCCCATCTGACTGGATTGTGCGCGGAAATGATACAGCAACAAGAGCTGACAACAAGTTTTTCGCCTACGTCGCTTTGGATCCTTTGCGATTGCGGATCTCGCACCGAAATAATGCGGGTCGATGCGAATACGAGCCTACTTGGTACTCTCATGCTGCAAAATCCGAATACGAGGCGGCCTTGACATATCACACAAGGCCGTGTCCAGGCACGCGTCTAAGGATTGTATGTAAACGGCTCCTTTTGTATGCAATCACCTCGTAAAGACTAAGATATAAATGTGCAAAGTGTCATGGGCAAGGCTATTTCGGTAGCTGTACGTTTTGCTCTCTGGCAAACCCCATTCATTCCTCTACCATGGAGTTTCGTCCATTCACTGAGCACTTGAAGCGCATGGCTTATGTCTCCCCGATACTGTTTCTTGGAAGTTGTTTACTCCTGCTCGTGCTTCTGTTGATTGTTGTCAACCTCATCCGCCAACAGCTTCCTGCTAGTAAATCAGAACCGCCATTGGTATTTCACTGGATACCCTTCATAGGCAATGCCGTTTCGTACGGTCTGGATCCATTTGCTTTCTACTCGCAATGCCAGAAAAAGGTACGAGAATGCCTCCATCATTCAATCATTTCACATCATGTGTCATGTCCAAAGCAAGCTCTGCCAAGACAAAAAGATGTATTAATATAGTACCTCTGCTAACTCTCTTGTTCTTCCTTCGGTGGTAGCATGGCAACATCTTCACTTTTGTCCTTTTCGGCCGAAAAATGACCGTGTATCTGGGCCTGCAAGGGAACGACTTCATCCTCAATGGCAAACTGCAAGACGTCAACGCCGAGGAAATCTACGCCCCGCTTACAACGCCCGTGTTCGGCAGCGACATCATCTACGACTGCCCAAACGCAAAGTTGATGGAGCAGAAGAAATTCGTCAAGGTTGGCCTCACACATGATGCGTTGTGCTCCTACGTGCCTCTGATCGAGAAAGAAGTCGTCGATTACCTCAAAGTGGCTCCTGCATTCAGGGGCCAATCTGGCACAGTCAACATCCCTGCTGCCATGGCTGAAATCACCATCTTCACAGCAAGCAGGACGTTACAGGGCAGGGAGGTCCGGGGAAAGCTGTCGGCTGAATTCGCGGAGCTATACCACGATCTCGATCTTGGCTTCCGGCCCATCAACTTCCTGATGCCGTGGGCACCGTTGCCACAAAACAGACGCCGAGACGCTGCCCATGCAAAGATGAGATCAATATACATCGATATCATCAACGATCGTCGAGTATCCGGCAAGGTACCCGACCAAGATGCAGATATGATTTGGCATCTGATGACTTGCGTCTACAAGGATGGAACGCCTCTTCCAGACAAGGAAATTGCGCATATGATGATCACGCTGCTCATGGCGGGTCAGCACTCGTCTTCCTCCTCAAGCTCCTGGATCATGCTCCGCCTCGCGTCTCGGCCCGACATTGTCGAAGAGCTGTATCAGGAACAAGTGAGGAATCTTGGCTATACCGGCTCTGAGCCCCTACAGTACTCAGACATTGATAAGTTGCCTCTTCTGCAGAACGTCATCAAAGAGACTCTGCGGGTTCATTCCTCGATTCACTCCATCATGCGAAAGGTCATGCGGCCGATTCCGGTACCCAAGACCGACTACGTTATCGGGCCGGATAAAGTGCTTGTGTCATCGCCAATCATGTCACACATGAGCGAGGAGCACTTTGCCAATGCGCACGTCTGGGATCCGCATCGATGGGAAAACATGTCGACCGAGGAAAAGGGGGACATGGTTGATTACGGATATGGACAAGTCTCCAAGGGAACCAAGAGTCCGTATCTGCCGTTTGGTGCCGGCCGGCATCGCTGCATCGGCGAGAAGTTTGCCTATATGAACCTGTGCACCATTATTGCCACGCTTGTGCGAAATATGAAGTTTACCACCGTGGATGGTTCGTCTGCCGTGCCGCCGACAGACTACACGTCTCTGTTTTCCAGGCCCATGCAGCCATCTACGATCCGCTGGGAAAGACGCGCAAATGTCCCTAGCCAAGCCTAGGACCGTGGATCCAGTATACACGTATATAGTCTGCAAAAACTTGGTGTCATCGGATGTCCTTGGTAGCTAGACTACTCGCTGTATACACCTGTTGCGAAACCACTCGGAATCCAGGAATTTGCAAAACCGTCCTGGGACCGACATGTTAGATAGTGTCCTACGTGAGATCCGTGTAGTTCCTTGCATTCACCTAGATGGATGAGGTTTGTATTAATATACAGATTCACATCAATTAAAACCAAGGTGCCCTTCGTACGTGATAGAAGCCCCAGGAACATTTCCAGGGTTAGGGTTACCCCACCACACGCTGACCCGCAAACGCCACAGCGGCTCCTTATCGCTAGCTTGCCTGCATATCCCGCCAAAACTTATCGCGGGGGCGGTCAGAAAAAAATATATCCAGCCAGACCGGTACTCGACTTCAAACATTCACATCGTCCACACAAACCCGCCGCCCACCATGGCTAAAAGCAAAGGTACGCACCATTGTCACCCTAGCCGTCCATGAATCTCGCCACTAACAAGAACGGTCCCAGGGCCCTCGAAACACTCCCGCGCCGCGCGCCGCGCCACATCCCCCTCCATCGACACGGACAAGTCCCTCAAGGACATACCGCTGCCCAAGCGCAGCACCTCGAGCGCGCCGCGGCCCTCGGTCCTCGCCGTCCACCGCGCGGCGGGCATTTCGAAAAAGAGCAAGCCCGTGCGCAAGTCCCGCCTGACGAGCAAGATGCGCAAGCGCCACGAGAAGGGGCTCGAGATGGCCGAGGCCGTCACGGAGCGGACCGGCAAGAAGATTGAGCAGAGCATCGGACGGGCCAAGAACGTGCAGAGGAGGAGCAGGACCTGGGAGGACATCAACAAGGACGCTGTCGAGGGAGGCGCGGGCGATGAGCAGACGGGCGGGAGTCGCTTTGGCGCGCTGATGGAGGAGGCGGATGACGACGACGACGGCGATGCTGTCGAGGATGAGGATGGGTTCAATCCCGCGAATCCGGGGGCAAGTAAGCCGGCTGCTATTACGGACGATGACGACGACGAGATTCTGTGAAGGGGGCTGTGCGGGGTTCTGGCCCAGAGGGAAACGACTTGGCTGGCGGGTTCATCTTTGGCGTTTGGCGGGTACGAAAAGAAGAGGAAGCACGTTCACGACTTTGACGACTTGGCTTTAAATAGACGGATACAACTAGGAAACCCGGATCAAGTGTACTCTTGTACCATGCGCTCATGCGTCCCCTGCCACGTGCACCTTGAAGAAACTCCCCATGCCACGACATGCCAGCTCAACCTCCGTAGTTACAACAGAACCAGCAGCCCCTTCAGTCGCCTCAAGCTTGATTCTGCTTCCCCTCCAAATACAGGCGATACGTCCCCCCAACCGCCCCGGACGCACTCTTGCCCTCCCTGCCGCCGACCTTGTCCACCTCGTCCCGGATCCGCCTCACCACGCCCTCGGCCTCCTTCCCATCAACCTGCTTGCCGCCCTTCTTCCTCGCCACCAGAACCTCCACCTTCATCCCCTTGTCCAAGAACTGCCCCATCTGCCGCATCTTGGTCGCCAAATCATGCTCCCCAATCGCCCACGTCAGCTCCAGCTCCTTGGTCTTGGGCTTGCCCACGCCCGCCTTCTTCTTCTCCTTGAGCTGCTTCTGGCGCTCGTACTCGTCGCGCTTGTTGACGATTTTGCACACGGCCCACTGGGCGCCGGGCCGGCCGTTCTTGGGATCCGCGGGCACGTACGGCTGCACCATGCGCAGGGACTCGTGCGGCTCGAGCCTCGTGAGGACAAAGGGCGTGGCGAGGGGCCCTTCGGTGGCGCCGTTGTCAATGACCATGATCTGCGGGTCGGTGATCTCGTGGTCCTGCGGCGGGCGGTCGCGTCCCGAGCGCGCAATGTCCTGCTGCGTCGTGTAGCGCTTGTCGAAGCCGCGGTTGTCGTGGGCGAGCTGCTCTGCGGCGGCGACGGAGGTCTGGCCGCGAGGCCCGCGGGCCGGCGGCTTGGCCGCGTACCTCCGGACCTGGCTTGCTGCGAGGGCGTTCCTGTGCGGTGCCGGAAGAGGGGAGAGCTGAAGTCGCGAGACGATGGACAGAGCCGGTGCCTCAGACGGGGAGACAAAGACCCGGTAGAGAGCGCGCCGAGAATTGTATACGCATTGTGGCATTGGTCTCATTGTGGTGCTCGTCGAAAGGTCTGCCACAGCCCCTCGTCTGCAGGCCAATTGAGTCTTTTGGGGGTTGCAAGTGAGGAAACAGGAGGGAGATGGAGCTTTAAAGCTTGGAGTTGGGAGGTCAATCTGCAGCGGGTGGTGAAAACGTCATGTCACACGAGCGCTCCGCCCAGCCAATAGCAACCCCGGCCAGCGGGTTCACCTCCACATCCACCAGACATTGGCGATCCTTCAACGTCCAGATCGCGCATCCCCCAGCCGGGTCATCACCGTTCATCAGCTCAATTATCCCTCCCCTCTTCCCCAGGAGAAAACCCGTCTACCCAACTCCAATGTAACCGCCGCGCCTCACCCGGTCCTCAATCATGTTCACCCACCTCCTCGGCCACCCCATCCGCTTCGCCCTGTCAACCCTCAAAATGACTTGCCTCGCCCACCTCACCCTCACGCAGCTCGTCCAAATATCCCCTGCCCAAGGGCCCTCCATGCTACCCACCTTCACAGTAGACGGGGACTGGATCGCCGCGGACATGCGTCACCGCCTGGGCCGCGGCATAACCACAGGAGACCTGGTTCTCTACAAGATCCCCATCTTCGCGAGCCAGAACGGCGTCAAGAGGGTAGTCGGCATGCCAGGCGACTACGTGTCGCTGGGTACACCTGGGGAGAATGGGGAGGACCAGATGATACAGGTACTATGATTTGTTGACACCGAGTTTCGTTGTTTCTTGGTGCAAGAGTTGACTTGGCCGTTGACAGGTTCCCCAGGGCCATTGTTGGATAGTAGGTGATAACCTGCCGGCTTCGAGAGACTCGAGACAGTTTGGGCCACTGCCGCTGGCTCTTATTCAAGGCAAGGTCGTTGCCAAGATTTTGCCCTGGCGAGAGAGAAAATGGTTTGATAGCGGATTCGAGCGAATGAACCATGATTAAAGTCTGTTTTTCACATCATGATACTCTCTGGTAATATTGACACTGTAAACTATGGCGTTACGGGTTCATCTACAAGGAGCCCCACGTCACTGCAGGATACATACGGGCAAATTAGGTTAACTGGGTATAATAAAACAAGGCTTGTAAACTTTATCTAATTACAGCTGCCGCCTGAATGCTTTGCCTCCGCATATTCATCCCCTGTAAAAGGAAAATTGCAAATTAGAAAAAAAAACTCAATGCTAGGCTAATAAACGTCCTTCGCCAAACCAAATATGCTTTGTACAAAAGAAGAGTGACCCCGAGATGCCTCCCAATCACATGACTACCTTGCGCCCACGAATACTCTGGCAAACGTGACAACGCCCTTCTCGCCAGATGTCGCCAGGCGGTTGTAGCGCAAAGAGGCAGAGAGAAAATGATGGATGCAACAAAACGGGACTTGATCATATCAAAGGTTGGATGTGAGGGGGGAACAGTAGTTGGTGAGAGAAACCCTTCTCTCTCGGTAGTAATTGGATATAACAGCCCCAGACGCCTTGGGAAATCACTTATGCCTTTTACAATATTATCAGCCATACTGATCCAGTAACAGTGGTGTACATAGCCGCCAGAGTCAGAAGTTGCTTCGTCTGCCGGTGGACCCAGGAATGCGCTGTCGCTTGGCAGGCAATGCTGTGCCAGCTGCGAGATTTAGCCCTCGATGTGGGCTTTAGACATGCTCTGACCCAACAGTTCCAGGCAACGTTGAGCCAAATTCACCACTTCGCCCTCATCTTCGTCTTCAAACTCGGGCTCAGCTTCGACTTGTCGGTTTGCAATAGCTCGGATGTTCTCGATAATGTCGTCGGCTTTGCCAATATGACCAATCAAAGTCTTATCTTCAGACTCGAATAATTGCAACAAGGTCCAGACGGCAATATGCTGGAATGTGGCGTCACCTGATTGCAGGAATCGGCTAAGATATCCGTGTATTCCTCCATTTGGATCGTTCCAATTTTGAACAAAGATTGAATAGTCGCCGACTAAACATGATGCATGAGCACAGGGCCGGTAGAATACTAAAGCACTTATGAAACATACCTTTGGAGGACAAGTTACCCAAGGCAGCAGCACTGTTGCCTTGAACCTCGATGCTGGGCGAATGAGTCAAGGGTATGAGGACATCGCACACTCCGAGATTGAGAAGATGTGACTTGAGATCGTCGCTAAGAGCCAAAACTGCAATGGCAGCCGTCATTTCCGACTGTACCGTCACCGGCACATCAAGCACCAGCTGTTTACACTTCTGGACAGCGCCGGCGTCCAATACCAGAGCCTTGTTTCGGTCTGAGCTGGCTGCCAGGTTGCGCAAAGTCGAAATGGCGTGGCATTGAATCTCTTCGTTGTCGGTGGATCCGAGCAAGTCGACCAGTGGCTTGAGGAAGTTGGCGTCAATGATGGGCGATTCATTCATTGGGTGTATGGAGATGTTTCGTATACAAGCAACAGCCGACAGTATCAAGGGAAGGTAAGATGACTGAAGGAGACGAAGGAGCGGGGGTAAGCCTTGGACTCGGACAATCTCAATTTGGTACTTTTCATCGGACGCAAGGTTTCGCAGGGCCAACGCAGCCTGACATTGGACCTTTGGGGACGAGGAGTCCATGAGATGGACCAGGGATTGGACGAGTTTTGGTTCAGTGGACGACAGCTTTCGTCGGTTATTGGCGTCAACGGCAATGTTACTGAGGGCGGTAGTGCAGTAGTACTGTACATCAACATCGGGAGAAGAGAGGAGCTGGACTAGGACGGGAATAGCGCCGGCATTAACGAGCTGCTGTCGGTTCTCATCTATAGCATTCGTCCGCGTTAGCGAATTGTCCAGAAGAGAGTAGAAAGGTCTGGTGACATACCAGAATGTGTCATGTTGAGGAGAGCACCGGTAGCGTTCCGCTGCACACGCATATCTCGGGATTTGGCAAGCCTCGTCAGGGGGCCCAGGGCACCAGACCGTGCAATCTTGGCCTTGTTTTCTTCATGTGTAGCCAAGTTGGTGATGCATCCTACGGCATTGCACTGGACCTCAACATTTGGCGATAGCATCTGTCGGATGAGCGGTGTTAATCCTCCAAGCTGGACGATTATGACCTTGTTCTCAGCTGTAGGTAGGTGGTTAATCGTAGGCCATGCAGATGAGGTCTTTGTCAAGGCACATACTGTTGACGGCAAGGTTGCCTAGGGCGGCACTAGCGGCTCTCTGAACTTCGATATCGGGGCTTTGTAACAGGAAGAGAATGGGTTCCAGCGTGTCTCGATCAACCTCTCGTACATCTAGGGCGCGGGGGTATTAGCATCATGGAGCGTGGACAGACAGGCATGATTCAACGGGTCTGGCTTTGCAGACCTACCTCTCTCAGTGATTTCGGCAAAGGTAAGACTTGCACTGCGTTGCAAGTCTATATTTTCTGAAAAGACCAAGGTACTAAGAGCCCTGAGTGGTTCTCCGGAGAAGAAGTTGGTCTCTCCACGCTGCAACTTCAGTCAGCATGGCAAGACAAGAGCGGTGTCGCGGTGCCATTACGGCGGTCTAGACACGAACGTTTTCGAGATATTGTAACAGGTCGGCGACGGCCTCGCGCTCGCTATCGGCCAAAACAGGCTCGTACAGACCTTCGCGGGAGCGGCCTGGGATGAGTCGCGTCAGTTCTTGTTACCGTAAACACCTTGGCAGACGGGTCGGGAGAAGGGAAAACAGCGTACCTCCACAGCATGATGAGCAGCAGTTACCCATGACTGGGATGGCAAACAATGTGCAGCTTGTCCGGATGGCAGCGGATGGAGCGGTGTTGTGGATGAGAAGATGTTGATGACGATGATGCGGGCTGGTGATGTGCCTCGAGGTCGGAGCAACAGCGGATTGTTCCTAGCGTTAGGTTCCGTCACAGCTCAGCAACCGGCTGCTTACCCAGGAACCCCGGCAGCTTATGGGTCAGGCTGGGCTGAAGTCGATCGCAAGCGCGGCGTGATGAAGTCGAGGGGACAAGACCAGCGAGCTCTGGTGATTGTTGGCAAGCTTCCAAAGTGAAGCAGGTTGGCGGGGGGGTGAGGATGGTATGTGTGCATGTGGACGAGGCGAGTCTGGTGTTGAGTCCTGGGACTGGAACTGAGCCTGGGACCAGAGGACCAGGCGACGGGCGCGGCGTGGCATTCAAGGCTGGGGCTGTGAGTGCCGGCAACTTTAGAAGGGAGCACTGGCTTGGAGCACTTGGCGTCAATCGCCATCTGGACATCCATGTCTGGAGCAAGGCTACACTCCATGTGGGTAACTGTAGGCGGTAGTACGGACGACCAGCTAGTAGCAAGGGACATTGAGTCTGGTCGTCCTTAATACGGTCGGTTGCAATTGGACCGCCCGAGTCGCCAGTCTGGTTGATGGCACGCAATGCATTCGAGGTAACTTCATTAGTCGCCCCCGGCCTCGAGGGACCAGTTGGCCCCTTGGACATGACATCTGGACATTCATCCATCCATGTCTGAACCTCAATCTGCCCTTGGAGGCCTTGGCTTGCGCGCCAGGCCTTCAATGTTCTTTTCTCTACTCCGTACGTCACGTCTAGCCCTCTCAAAATCAGGCATGTACATGTCAACGGCCAGCGTCAACGTCGTCTCAACTCAATCTTCGACCGTCTCTCATTGTCCATGCGCCACACTGCAGCTTGCTCGCTCCGCATTACGTGCCGCACATTGAAGCCTGCCCACGAGAGCACTCACAACTCGTCCTCCACCCAGCCCGTACTCTGGCATGTAAATTCCACTCAAGTGCCAAGTGCTTGCCTGGGAGGACATGCGGGAAAGCAAGGGCTGGATAGGCCCCCTGCTCACTTGCCTGAACCCCAGCCGGCTAACAATAAATATGACGCCTGGCAGAGCTCCGTACAATCAATACCATGCATGTGTACTCCGTGCTCCGTACCGCGATAGATTGTCAAGGGTTGCTCCGACTTGGCGCCTGCTCATCTCCGTGTCCAAGTCTGAAGGCTCGCAAGCAACTCCGACCACGGTGGTTTTTGTCGCTTGAATGCGTCTCTGCAACCTCTTGTGTTTTCGGTGGCATGCTATGCCCCCGTACATTCAAAGCGCTTCAGGCAAGCAATAGAACGAAAAGAAACAAAAAAAACGCACGTGTGCCGGGAGCGCGCGTGAGATGGATCACTTAACCGTGCATGCGTCCATGTACTTCTGCACTGGGTATGCTTCGGCGCGCGTGTCGGTGCAATGCACTAGAATCTCGGGAAAATACGAATGCCTCCTGGCGTCAGACTGTACTTGCTTCATTGATAGCACTGCCGAGAAGTGCATTTCTTTATTTTTGTCCAGGAGCCACCAGCGAGGAGATCGTGGCACTACTACTCCGTACCTCCAAGTACCTTGTGTTGGGGGAAACTTGACGCAGGCCGCAAGGCGCAGTCATCGTGCCCCAAGACGGCCCTCGTCTGTGATCATGTAGTGCACAGCATTGCATTTCTACTGCCGATTACACCCTCTCATTGTCATCGCGCGCCACCACTACGACAACAAAGCCCCGAGCACATGCCAGGTTGGATATATTTCCCATGGATCGTCTTCGCCAAGGTTATGAATGTTGCTTGGAGCGTACACATTGGTCCTCGCCTCTCGTCAACCCCACAGGGACTATCCGAGCTGTCTAAACGTTAAAACGCCCCGCCCTGCTATGCGTACAATTGGCATTCCGACCAAAGCATTCAATGTTTGCCCCAGACTTGCACTATCGATGGCCAGGGGACCATCCCGTCTGGTAATTATTTGATTACCAGTGTTGTGCTAGTCCACAATCAAGTCGCCAGTGCCCGCTGGGTGAGACGCACGTACAAACTGTGGCGCCATCTTTACATGATTGGGTGGTCCATGTGACGCTGTGTGATCAAGGGTGTATCCTTGAGCGCGGGTGATGTTCCACCACTGTACAGTACTCGGCAGGTCTGGGATACTCTTGTCCCAGATGGCTACATAGTCCGTATTTACAAGGTACACTATACACCTGAATGCCTACCCCAGGATGGTGTGAAATTGACATTTGAGGGTATTTGCCAGCTGGGGCAGAAAATCAATCGCAGCCTCGCTCTAGGGTAGGGCATCGTAGCCTCAGGCGAGATGGCTTCGCAACTCGCACCCACATAATATGCATGCACATGGTGCTCGATAATCGCTAGCCCTGTGAATTAAGCTATTTGAACCGCATGCCCTTAAACTCTCCTAGCACGGCCCTAGAACGCTGGGAAGAATCGCATGATGCCTTTCCGAAATTTCTACCCAGGTACTACCGCGATAACGGGCGACGTCTGAAGCCATTTGAAGTGCCAGATGTCAACGGTTGGTTTCCCCACCATGGTACGAAGTAGATGTTGAGAAGCTTGCTTGCAACTGTCTCGGTGTCTTGGGTCCGGTGCCCCCTCCCCCTCCCCCTCCACCATTCGACCATCACCATAATCACCCAGGTGCCGGGCCAACTACTACAAACCGTCCAAAACCACCTGTGACGCGCGAGGCCACACAACGATACGCCATACACCGGACACACAGCTGCCCGATACCTCGAATGGACGAAAGAGATGCCGCAGCGGCGCCCCCCAGCGTCCAACCTGCCGCCGACCCCACGCAGACCAATGTCGAAGCCCAGATTGCGTCCCGTGAGCAGGTCACTGGCGCCATGTCTGGGCTGGCACCGGGACTTGGGTCTGGACCATCCGCTGAGGAACCACCTCCATCAGCACAACCACCAACGGCAGCCAGAGCACAAGCACAAGCATCAAATCCTGCGACTCGGTCAATTACTACGGCGCCGGTTCCTGGACGAGCTCCCGCTACCGCAACAGCTCCCCGTTCAGCTCCCGCTCCCGTTGCCGCTCCCAGTCACGGCCACGGCCACGGCCACGAGCAACCCGCCCTCCGTGTGCCTCGATTTGTCGCTCCCTCGTCCTATCTCCGTTTCAAGACCTCGCACGGCAGCGCCATGGCAGCAGCTGCATCTGAGCCGACCTCGAACCCGAGCACACTGAGCCCGCCGAGCCCGCTTGACAAGGAACAACGTCAAGGACTGGTATGGACCATTCGCTTTGTGCCTCCTTCTCGGCAATTCCTCTCGTGACCCTAGCGAGGCCCTTTCCGACGTCGCACAAAGGCTAACTGTCTCTTCCAGAAAGCGATTCGGGATTTTCTCAAGGTTCGCACTAGCTACGATGTCCTGCCGCTATCCTTCCGTCTCATTGTCTTGGACACCGACCTCCTCATCAAGAAGACGCTTAATATCTTAATACAAAATAGTGAGTCTGCCTTTGCACCGTTTGTTACCCATGGCCGCCCAAGACAGCCCAAACAACTGCTCGCTCTTTGGCTAATCTGCTTCGCATCAGCAATCGTTTCTGCGCCGCTATGGGACTCACAGAGAGGACGTTTTGCCGGCATACTGACGGCCACGGATTATATCAACGTCATTCAATATTACTGCCAATTTCCAGACGAGATGAGCAAGCTTGACCAGTTTCGGTTGAGTAGTCTGCGAGGTGAGACTATTTTGCATCAAGCAACAGTGGAAAAAGCCGTCGGACCCGCCGTATGCATGCTAAGACAGGTTGGCTTAGATATCGAAAAGGCAATAGGTGCCACTCCCATCGAAACGGTATCTGTGCATCCATCTCGACCGCTTTACGAGGCGTGCCGACGCATGCTTAAGACTCGTGCGCGACGTATTCCCCTTGTGGATATAGACGACGAGACAGGCAGAGAGACGGTCATATCCGTTATTACTCAATATCGTATCCTCAAGTTCATCGCTGTCAACAACGAACACAACACTGTAATGCTCAAAAAGACGGTTCGAGAGATTGGCCTGGGCACCTATTCCAACCTGGCCACCATGCACATGGATAATACGGTTCTGGATGCCATCCACCTGATGGTCGATAGAAACATTAGCTGTATCCCGATTGTGGACTCTGAAAACCGGGTCCTGAATGCCTTTGAGGCGGTCGACGTCATTCCCTGCATTAGAGGGGGTGCATACGAGGAACTGGATGGATCGATCGGGGAGGCACTGTGCAAACGGCCAGACGACAGCCCAGGTATCTACACATGCGGGGAGGGGGATCGACTGGATTCATTGTTTGACACGATCCGAAAGAGCCGAGTACACAGACTGATTGTTATCGACGACGACAACAAACTGAAGGGTGTCATTTCACTATCTGATATCCTCAAATACGTGCTCATCCAAGGGGAAGAGGACTCGCCTCAAAGCTAGCCGAGATATGGTGGAGGATGTTTGGAAACACTACATGATGGCATGACATGTCTCTGTTTAGCCCTAGAGGCCGCAATAGAGAAAGCAAGGATCAAGGAATTCGACGGCATTTTCCCCGCTTTTTTTTTTTTGGCTCGGCGCATTGGTTGGAATCGAATGGTGATACAACGTTGATATATGGAGGGAAAGAAAAATTGTTTTACACATTATGATAGATGGTAGCTTGAGGAGGTGCTCACATGTTATCAACTGGTTTGCTGACATTTGTCTGTGTGGTACTTACCTATACCAGGTAGGTAGGGATTTGGTAGCTGTTGCTTGAATACCATACCCATCAATACGCGATGTCGAATAACAACCCATCCACTTTTCTATCACATTTTGTGAACAATATGCATCAGGGGTGAACTGGAGAGCTCCCCCGAGCTTTTCCCGTTTACTGCCTGAATCAATCCGGTGCTTGCTTGACTCGATAACTTGGCCTTGCAAAGTGATGGGAATTGCTCGGCAGGCTTACTCTTTTTGCTAAGTAAGGGCGCTCACGCCTCCCCAGGAACCTGGCTATTTGGCTTTATATTATAAATAATATATTATATATTAGTATATCTTTATGATAAGTAAGTATATTCTACTATAATTGTTAAAGTATATATATATATATAATAGTATTTTATTATAATACTTCACATATAAAGAGAGTTTAAACATAGTAAATAATAGGGGGGTAAGCGCACGTAGTAAAAAGAGCAAGCCCGCCGAGCAATTCACCAAGTAATGGAGTACCTACTAGGAAGGAAGGAAGGATAGACGGTGCTTTGCGTTTGGCATTGAGAGCGACTGGACGTTGCCGGTCACCCGACAACCATGCCAGCTGGCAACGCTTCGCAAGGGCATTGGCATACAAGGCAAACACGGCATCAACACGCGAGTATGCAATCATCACAACTCTGGTATTCATTCCAATTTCCAACAAATTACCAAGTATTCCATGGCTCACCCACTCGGGACGTCGCATTCATCTCAGAATCTCCGTGCCTGGTCTGCATACCACCCACGTCGACTACCCCATTCCGCCAGCTCAGTCTCTCTCTTGCTACCTCAGAGCGCTAGCTATCAGAGCTTCGGTCATGGTAGTAGGGTACGGAGCAGTGGTACTTGGACCACGAGTAGTGGCGAGCTCGGCCTTCTCAGCAATGCGGATGAGGTGGATGACAGAGATGTGTTTGTCCAGGAATATAATAGGCTTGCTAAAAAGGTGAGCTCTTTACTGCTACCCGAGAGAACAGAACAGTGTCCAAGCTCACAAAATCACATAGCATGGCGTAAGACAGTTGATGAGTGATGACTTTGATGTCCATCAACAGGTAGGTCATCGATACATCCCTAGACCTTGTTCGTCGTGTCTGATCGGTAGCACTAGGGAGATGCGGCACGATACCGAGAAAAGAGAGGCTGGTTGTCGAGACTTCTTCGGCCGAGCCCTAGCACATTCCCTCATAATGCTTCGACGTCGCCGCCGCCTCCACAGATACGACACAAACGAAGTGTTTCCGAACTGGCACATATAATACACTGCAGAAGAGAGGCCCCCAGAATCATCGAGATCCAAGACATGGTGCGACTCAGTGGTAAAAGCATGCTTTACCTTCCCCAAGAGTACTCGCCGTGCTCTCTCATTTTGCCGACTTGCATTAGAGCAACGGCGCAGCATTTGGCTCAAAACGTTGCAACTCGAGGGTTATTTCGCGTTCCCGGATCTTCAAAAGTCATCAGCGCTTTGTTTGACTACTACTGTTTTGAGAGTGCACATGTTAACATTGCGAGCACTGTGCGCTGCGCTACCTTGCCTCTGCACATTCAGTACTCTGTCCACGACGTGGCATCTACCTTCAAGCGTTTACTTTCTGTGTTGCCCGGGGGCATTCTGGGATCATTGACTCTCCTGGACGCATTGATAGCTATTCACTCTCAGCTTAATGGAGAGCCAGAATATCCCCGAACAAAGCAAACCAAGGTCAGGGCACGATTGATTGCTTTGGCGATAGGTACCATCAAATCGCAGTATCGCAGAGAAATGATATGCGCTGTATTTGGCCTGTTAAGCCTCATTGGGCGGGTTGCGGAAGTTGCTCCCCGGGAAGATGAAGATAGTAGACCTCTTCCCACGGCTGATTTGATGGGTTACAATGCACTGGGTATTGTCTTTGGTCCATTGCTGGTCGGAAACCTGCTAGACCAATACACCATGAAAGTTGCGACCCCGAGCACGGGATTGCTACTGTTTCCACTGAGTCCTCCTCGATTCCGAAGGGACCGACGAAAGTCGACTCAAGTCGATACCAAGACTTTAGGGCCACCCACTGTTGACAAGATACTGGTAGCCAACAGCATAACAGAAATGTTGATCGCCAACTGGAGAGACGTGGTCCGCCAGATGAAGTCCCTTGGTACACACTGTCGGAAGGATACGTCGGTGGTGGACCTGGTTAGCAAGGATGAGAAGTTTCCGTCTCCGCCGGGCTTCAACTTAAGAGTTCCTAAGAATTTTGATAAAGCAGATGGTGAAATGATGAGAAACGAAGAGAATGAGCGGCACGAAGAGTTCGAATCGCCGATACATGGACAAAGGAAGCGACGAGTGAAAGGTCTAAGGCGAACAACCTCTCAAAGGCTAAAACCCAAAATTAGCATTGCCACGTTGAGTCCCACTAAAGAAGAGAGCATGGGAGACGATGAGTCCACTGACGGAAACGAAACCCATCATAACAAGGAGAGTGTCATTCAGCGATTACAAAAGGCGGAAGAAAACCGCAAATACAATGAGGCTGCAACCATAGCCAATGCTGATGATAAACCCCAAGGAGCTGTGGAAGGCGAGCCGGGTTCTGGTCCTGCTCCAACAGCCGAGGAAGGCAATGTTGCTGGTGAAGTTGATTCAAGTGCAGAGCCCGCACAGGTATATCTTGAGAGTGTTCCACCCAGAGAATCATCGAGAAATGTGGCATCACACGATGGTATTGATAGACCTTTGCGACGACCGACTTCACAGGGAAGCGTAAACTCGCCAAGATTGTTGGATGACATTGTGTTGGATTCAAGTCGCTCTGGGCAAACACCAAGAACAAGACGGCTGTCACTGGCGTCTACCGTGCAAAGCGGATCCGCGAAGCCATCACCAGGTCGCATGAGTCCTGCTTCACCATCGCTTATGAGCACAATAGAGATGCCTGAAGGGGGTATTCGGCTTGTTCAAAAAAGCCCTCCTCTAAACGCCAAGGTGGAGGACGTCCAAGATAGGTCTGCCACTCTTGGCATTGGGACATCGTACACGTCTCAAGACCAAGGTGTCCAGTGCGATATGTTTCGGGAGAGTGAGGCCCGGCGCTCGATTGACGTTACTCCTGAACGCTTCTATGCGTATGGGAAGGCGCTGGAAAATGAGCCCAGGATGTATCTCGATGGCATTCGACAGTTCGCGATTACACAGAAGCGGCCTACTGTAATACACAAGCCGAGACTATCCAAGTCACATGAGAATTTGAGAAGTCATACCACAATTACCCTGGAATCACCAACAGAGTCCACCGAGTCCAAGGGACTAAGCAAACGCGGGTCCGTTAAAACAATGGCAGCAATGTTCGAAAACCAAAGCACTGGCCGACAATCACCAATCTTTAGGGAAGACTCAATTGCAGCACAGAAAGGAAGCAAAATGCACTCCCGAGATAGGCATTCGAAGTCAGATTCGGCGTGGACGCATCACGTCTTTGATCCGTTGATTGAACCACCGCAAAGAAACTCTGAGGGAAGTGCGACAAGAGGACAGGGAGTTGAGCTCCACCAAGTTGTCAGAGGTATACTTAATGACAGGCTCAAAGGACCAGGTTTGGAGAGGGACATGGATGGAGGTTTTCAGGATGCCACCTTCTACAGTCCTTCAAGGTTTCTCGGAAAGACGGGGACCAGCGCGGTAGACGAGAAGACACTGAAGGCAGTCCCAAGCCTGGGCACCATGTTGCCTTGCCGCGAACAGCCGCCCATCGCACATCATCTGAATTTGGCTCGGCCGCTCTCGTCGCCAATTCCAATGCAGGAACCGGATCCTAGCGCAGTTCTGGACATAGTTTCCACGACGCAGACTCCTCGACCTCGAAGTGCTACGATTCTATATTCTCAGATTCGCAATCTTCAGCGCCAGCTATCTTCAAAGACGGATGAAGCGGCACAACTGAGAAGGCAACTCGATGCACAAAAGGACTCTGACGTTGGAACAGTCAGTGAACAACTGAGGCAGGCGAAGAGAGATGTTGCCACGTGGAAAGACAGAGCCGAGACTGCGGAACGGAGAGTCAAAGTGTTTGAGAAGTTTGTTGAGAAGTTGAAGGAAATCCGAGACGCCATCGCGGAATCATATCCCCACAAGACGGGGGGTGAAGAAGACAACGACTCGAACCAGCCGTCTGGTGAAGGAAGCCTCGGGATTAGAAGGGCGATTAATGCCCTGCATATCGCCCATGCGACAGAAGGTAAGGAAAATGGCGGGCAAGGAGACAATGCTACGATGGTGGCGGCCAAAACTCAAAAGTGTTTGCATGGTCTGTCGGCTACACAAGATGGGACGCTAGATTCGGATCGGGTGAGCAGCACGGCAGGTGACGGACGTGTCCAAAATAGTCCATGCAACTGTTTGGCAACGCGTATGAGAAAGAGCTCAGAGCAGATTTTGGCGGTAGCTGAGGAACTTTTGCGGATTCACGAGGATGGTGTAGCGTGATTCGTAGAGGGGTGGAGGGTGGTAGAAATGGACGAATAGGAGTAATGTATGATAGTAGCACGGGTTATGATAGTGGTAATTTTATGGCTTGCTAGAGATTTTGTTAGGAACGTCTGCGCCTCACAACACATTTCCCTAGAGCACGATGTATCTACGGCATCTCGGCACTTGGGAAATGGCTGATTGTAATGATATATCAGCCTGGATTGTCGCGGCGCCCGAGGACCCCGAAGAGACCGAGATGGCCGATGAGGAATTGACTCCAGTTAGGTCAGTGCCGGTGGGTTCGCCGGAGGACTTGGCGCCGTGTCTATTACTTTTCTACTCCGTAAGAAGCCGCTACGTAGGGGTAATTGGCTACACATGAAAGGGCGCTTTGGCTATGGGTGGAGCGATGGACGGATAGATGGACAGATCTGGGCGGAGCAAGCGGCGGAGCAGCGACAGTCGAGCGACGGGCTCGAGTGGTGACGTCGAGGGTTTTTGTAGTTGCGAATGATGCCGTACATGTCGACGCTGATTGTACGGGCTAACAGCGTTACCGAGGGGCCCCTGAAATGGATATAAGGAGGCGTGAACAGCCGCCGCAATGTCGTGCTGAACAGAGACGACTCGGCACACATACATTGGATAGACACGGGACCAACGATGCAGTTTCTTTCCGTGGCGGCGCTCCTGGCGGCGCTGGGCACGGCGACGGGCCTGCCAAACTCCAACTTCAACGTCACGCCCGAGTACGCGGCCGCGCATGGCTGCGGCTCCAAGTGTCAGCAGATACTGCGTCTCGGCAACGCGGCGGACCTAGATGCCGTCGGGCACGACTTCGCGTTTGACTTCTTCGCGACGGCGGGCAACTTTTCCGAGGCGACGCGGCCGGGCGACGTGCTCAAGGTGCAGGTCCTGGATGGGCGAACGCTCAACGTCGACTCGGGCACGACCGTGTTCCGGATCCAGTACGCGACCAGGGACCTGGATGGGAGGACGGTGCCGGCGACGGGGTTCGTCGCGTTCCCGTTCACGCCGGACTTTTCGTATGCGCACAACGGCACGGCGCGGTATCGGCTCGCGGCGTTTGCGCACGGCACCATCGGCCTGTTCGCCGGGTGCGCGCCGTCCAACAGTCCCGACCTGTACGACTACAGTACGTGGCAGGCGGCGGTGCAGAGGGGGTACGCCGTCGTCGCGACCGACTACGCTGGGCTCGGCAACAACTACACGACGCACAAGTACCTGACGCTGCCGGCGCATGTACACGACGTTTACTACTCGGTCGTGGCGGCACGCAAGCTGTTTGGCCGTGTGCTGACGAGGGAGTGGGTGTCGTTTGGGCACTCACAGGGCGGCGGCGCCGTGTGGAAGCTCGCCGAGAGCGAGTATGTTCGCAACGACACTGATTATCTGGGCACCGTGGCCATGGCGCCGGCCACCTACATCATCGACATGTTGCGCGGGCCTGGCGTCGACTTTACGGGGTACTTGTCCTTTCTGCCGTTTGCGGCCAAGAGGGCGCTGCCGGGGTACCAGCCGGCGTTTCTGAGCGATGTGATGAGCAGGCGCCTCGAGTTGGCGGAGACGGCCCAGCTGTGCATCAGCGGCATGCTGGGCCTGACCCTGGACCTGGAGAAGGAACAGCTCTTCTCGGCGGCAGGGCTGGCGAAGGACATGGAAACGCTGGAGGCGTGGCAGAGGATGCTGGCGCCCGCGCAGGGGGACAGGTCGCCTGCGCCGGTGCTGGTGGTGCAGGGCCTCAACGACACCTCGGTGCTGGCGCCTACCACAGAGGCCGCCTGGAGGAATGCCTGTCGGTACGGCAACGAGGTGCACCTGAGGAAGTATCGGGGCCAGGACCACTCGCCGCTCATGCAGGCTTCGGCTCCCGAGTGGCTGGCCTGGATGGACGACCTGTTCGCGAGCAGGAGGGACGGCCGTAGTCGGCCTGCGCGTCGCTGCACCGCGGAGACGAGGACCCCGTTTAGCCCTGAGTTTGTGAAGCAGCCGCCCGAGGCGGGCGATGAGTTGATGGCCGTCTTGGAGGGTATACTAGGTGAGTAGACTGGTGTTGGGGCTCGGCGTGTCGAGCGTCTATCAGCGTGCAGATGAACCAACTGGTGGTAGAAAGAATTAGCGCCGCATCAGACGAGCAATGTATTTTTAGAACACCAGACAGCTAATGCAGAATCGCACCCCCAATTCCAAGCGCATGTTGAATCGTGGGGGTCAAAAAGTGCATGAGGTCAGCATGATTGCACGCCTACGTGCGTCTCGTGATGGCCGCATTCAAGGCCGATTCCAAGGTACTACCTAGATAACTGGTACATATGTAGCTTCCATTCTGGGTTCGCAAGGTGGCGTTATCCAGTGAGTTTGTAGCGTGAAATAGTATTCCGGGGAGGAGGCTTACTCGAGTCCAAGTATTCTAGATCATGTACCGGGCCACGCGGACAGTTGGCTTCGTCGCGAGAATAGTGCCAAGGTGGATGCGAATGCCGAGCTGCCATTCTGAGTAAGAGCGAGAAAGACCAAGACCAAGATGATGCAGCGTCTAATTAGAAGCTGTGACAAAAACCAAAACCCAGGCTACCATCTAACAGGAAGTTGAGGAGCATTATGTAGTAATGGGACGGCTGTGAAAGCGTCGATGGTGGTTGCAGAAGATACGGCCTGGATGCTGGTTTGACTTGGTACGCAGGCATGGATGCTAGTTTGCCCTTTGTCCAGATGAAGGATACGATCTTGCTTCTATTTCTGGCACAACAAGAACTGAAGCACTTCTGTACTCGCCCATGTTTCTCGACCACGTATGGGTGGCTTGTTGCGCTGAGCCAGATATGGCAGGTCTACCAGGACCAGGTTTCTTGAAAACAAGCTTAAAATTGCTCGGGGCCTTGGCTTTTCTTGGTCGGTATTTGTGTCGCTGACTAGAACTTGTCACTGCCGCTGCACGATGAGTTCCCTAGAGAATTGAACATGGAACCCATTTCGCGGTCGCAATGCAAGCGTTATCTTGATGTCGCTTCGAGCACTCTAGAATCCATGCTAGATGATCAAATGTCGGGGTGCATGAGCTGACGCCAAACACGAAGCCACATGCCGAGTCCAGTCAATGCTACGGTCACCTTCTCCGCAAACTGGATGCCTACCTGCATATTCTGGGTCGAGCATTTACTGCTTGGTTCAGAGGGTACATTGGGATCAGCTCTGCATCGCGCACGTTCTTTTGTGAATCTCGTCCTGGGTTGGCCTGCCACATCATCGCGGCTTTGCTAGAAAGGGCAGGTTGCCTGACTTGTTGACCTGCCTATCTGGGAACATTTTAAGCCTTTTCCAGCCAATATCCAGATTGCGTGAAAGTCTGGATTGAGTCGGTTCTGAACAAGCAGCTGTGCATGCCTGAATGGCGAGGTATTCTGACGAGTGCTTATGCGTGTCCTTGGTACCGTGATTCATGCTAGTTTATGGATATATACAAGTACACAGAGAAATAAATAGGGACGGGCGCGGCCTCATTCTTGGCCTATGGATACGGCGCAACACGTTTCAAAACGTGACTTCTGTTTCCTGATATCGTTCTGCTATTGTGAATAGTCCTTCCAACATGAGAGTGGTTGCTTTCTTCGCGTGTTTAGTAGCCACGGCGGCCACAATGCCGGCTGAGAGCCCTGTGTCTTACGACGGGCACAAGGTCTTTCGAGTCCCGATCGTGGACGATGGCACGCACATCCAGAGTCTTATTGATCATTTGAATCTGAATGTCTGGCAGCCGCCCTCCAAAAAGGGTGCTTTTGCCGACATTCAGGTGGCCCCAAGCCAGTTGGCAGCCTTCGAGAACGCAATGAAAGGGCGCAGCTTCGAGATTATGCATGAGGATCTCGGAGACTCCATTACCAGAGAAGGCACCATCCAGGCATATGCGGGTGAGTGACGACTCGTTCCTGTCCAGACCATGACCGCAATATCAGAGTGCAACGCTTAACACCCTCGTGTGAGTGATAGCCGGCTCGGCTAATGCCTCCTGGTTCACATCGTACCATCCATACAATGACCATCTTCAATGGATGAAGGACATTGCCTCTCAATACCCGAGCAATGTTAAGAGTGTCACGTCTGGAACCACGGGTGATGGCAATACCATAACGGGCCTGCATATTTTCGGCAGCAGCGGTGGCGGCAAGAAACCCGCCGTCGTTTTTCATGGCACCGTCCATGCGCGCGAATGGATCGTTGCTATGGTACGTTTCGTATTGTCAAGGCCAACGGGGATGAGAAAGCCAGCTAAGGACATGTCCCGGGCAGACTCTCGAGTATATAACCAACGAGCTCGTCGCCAAGTACGCTACCGATAGCGCCGTAAAGGCTGTTGTGGACAAGTACGACTTCTACATGTTCCCCATTGTCAATGTTGACGGTGAGTAGTCTATTGTACACCCACGGAACAGTCGTCTTGTCCTCTCTTCTACTCTACAAGAGCCGAAGGTCGGGATGGCTGATGTAATTTGATGCAGGCTTCAAGTACACGCAGTCGTCAGACCGCATGTGGAGGAAGAACCGGTCTCGCAACCAGGGCTCGAGCTGTCTCGGAACGGATCCCAATCGCAACTGGCCATACAAGTGGGATGGTCCTGGGTCATCAACGAACCCTTGTACTGAGACGTATCGGGGTGCATCTGCGGGCAACAGCCCAGAAGTCCAGTCGTACATCGCCTTCCTCGACAAGATCAAGAAGAGCCAAGGCGTCAAGCTATACATCGACTGGCACTCGTATTCTCAGCTGTTCATGACACGTAAGTCGTACAGTGCTTCTAGGAAACGTGCAAACTGGGACTAAATCACAAATACTAACGCGAGTTATCATTCCCTCGAATAGCATACGGGTACTCGTGCAGCGCAAGGACGCCCAACAATGCTGCCTTGCAAGCTCTGGCAAAGGGTGCTTCCGACGCTATGAGGAGTGTCCACGGAACCACCTTCGCATATGGTCCAGTTTGCAATGTCATCTACCAAGTTGCCGGTGGCTCTATTGATTGGGTCCAGGACGTTCTTAAAGCCGACAATGTCTTCACAATCGAACTGCGTGACAAAGGTAGGTATGGGTTTGTCCTGCCACCGGACCAGATCATACCGTCTGGAGAGGAGAGCTTCGCTGGTGCCATGCATCTCTTCCAGCAGATGAGTTAGGGGGGCATTCCAAACAACAGCTGGGAATTGCCCAATGCCGTTTGTCGTAACACTGGCTTGCATATAGGACGGCGCAAGGTGTTTAGCGCGGGTGATGAGCATGTAGGGGCCATAAAAGAAAGGCAATTCACGTCGAACTTGCGGTAGCTGAGATTCCATATGCAGTGCGAACTGTACTCTAAGTGTGCCGAGTCTGTGATGTATATCTTGTGAACACAGGCATCCTAGTAACAAACAATTCATCCACTGCAGGTGAGTATGGTATGACATTAGCATCGAAGGATTACCGACCGAATGATGAACAGCTCCTGCATGGTTCCGTGACGAGAATCTATAGGGATTGCGTTTCGTGACGATTGGACGGCCGGTTAGTGGGAAGGCAGAAATCCCAGGTTCCTCGGTGTGACAAGTTGGAGCAAAGAAACGTTCACCTGTTCAGAGTTCAGAGGTGAAAGTATTTAATTTATATTCAGTGTTGACAAGGTTCAGTGTTTAGTTCTCAGAAATAAATATTGCCTTGTGCCGATGTGTGGCTTGGACCACTGCATTGTACAGCCCAAAGTCTAACATCCTGTCAGTACAGTCGCGACTTGTGCAAATGAGGAGTCCTTCGACGTGGCTTACCAATGTCGGTGCCAGCATCTAGAGAGCTGAGCACTTTGATAGACAAGTCGGGATTCACTTTCCCAATGAGTTGAACGGCGTTGCCGTTGGTTAGGTGAGCATCCTACAACACGGTTCGTATCCGTCAATCTAGTCATGGCTGGTCAAAAGAGAGCAGAGAGCCAGCAAACTTACCCGATTAAGCACCACGGTTACGATTCCATCAGAATCGATGGTGGCTTGGTCACCACGAAGCTGCGTGACCTTGCCTACAATGGTGACGAGCCGGCCAACAAAGCTGTCCAAATACGGAGCTGTGATGCGCGGAGAGGAGAGTTCTGCCATCTTGGGGGGTATAGATTTAAATTGCCTTTATAAGCGCAAAAGTAGACAACGCCGCAATGATGGCTAGTGGCAACTGGTAATGAAGGAATTGCCAAATTCAATCGTGAGAGTTGGTGCCTCCCCTGCCGCCTTGGGCTCGAGAGAAGCGCGTCTCAAAACGCGCAGGAAACAACACGCTATCACGTGAGCAGCAGTGCCAAAAACCGCACCGCAATTTATCCCGCTTCGGCGATCGGACAAACCGTTGCCGACAAGTTCAGAGCTGTTACGCCAAATACTTCAGTGGCGGGCAGGTGCCAATGGGACGAAGTTTGTGTGACGTCTGTGTGCTGCGCAAGGTTGCCACCACCACATCTTCCATGTTGCTAGGAAAGCCATGTTGATTGGATTGGGATTTTGCATTTTAGCATTTCATCATGAACCTTGAACTGCGATTTTGCCACTCGCGGTTTCTTTAGCGACTCGACTAAGGAATAGGGTTAGTTGCACACTGCTGACTCGCGACTGCCAGGGACGACGGTGACAAACGAAGAATTCGTCGGCGCAGCAAGTTGCGAATGGGGGCCCTTTGGCCAAAGATCAGCGCCGGATGGTTTTAAATATCGCAATAATACGCCATTTGCCACCGCTCTGTCCACGACCTATGGCTCACGGGTAATTGCCGTTTGTCCAGCAAGCTTGGGAGGCATAAACATGAGAAAGGGGGACTTCGACATGAGCACATCCGTAATATTGGCCAGTTTTCCATTGAAAAATAATTTGGAGCCTCGAATTGCGAATCCGGACCAAATGTTCCGTTCTCCATGGGTCTGGCTGCCTTGGGCAACTTCTGGAACATCCTTGCGCCCATTCGCTGGGGGTACACCTTGACTGCTCCTCTTGACAACAGAACCAACCAACGGAGAAGGGAGATCGAGGCGTTCGTACTCTGTACGCCTTTAAATTGTTCCGCATTGGTCTTCGGTTGGAGAAGCATCAGACTTTGACCAATAGCAACACGCATCTTCGCCATGGAGGCGTCGGAGTCAACCCCTACTGGTTTCTGTGGCATGGGGAGGCTTGTTGCCTGAAGCGTTGGAAGTTCTCTTTGTTGAAAAGCAGGTTCAAAAGTGACAGCCGACGTGCGAGATGAGCCACAAGACGACGGCAGACACACCTATGACCTCACGACCGTGGCCCACGCTGGGGTGGCAGTGGTCGCCCTTCTCGAGGCGCCTCCTTTGAGGTTCCCCCTTCTCAAGGTGCCTTTTCTTGAGCTGCTGCCCGCGTGACTTTGTGTGAGACGACGCATGATTCCGAGTGCGTTGAGATTTCGTCCACTGTTGGGCTCTATCAGCTCTCGGCGGCCAGCTCACCATCGGAGCCGACTCCGAAAGTTGTCATTGGGTGTAGGCGGCTGAAAGACATCAAAGGCCAATACAGCCAATGCCAGAACACAGTAGGCTCTGGGCATGCAGGGCATTGCGGCTTGCCTGCCAGTATGCAAGCAAGTCAATTGGTGCTTCTCTGGACTGTGGACTTGGCCAGATCACTGTCCTGAGTGCCAGCCCCAGCATGGCGCGGTCGCATGCATTGTGAAACGCGCGGCATGGCGTTACTACTTGACCTCTCGAGAAGCATCTCTACTGCAGAGCGCAGGCGTGTAAGCCGTGCTATGAGCAGGGAGAGGAACCAGACTCGGGTCCCCTTGACGGACCTGATGCGGTGGCGACAACAAGTTCCCATACGGGCAAGCCCCGACAAACGAACAAGCCACGGGTGAATGTCCGAGGCGGATCAAAGTAATTGTTTGGAACACCTGCAGTCAAATCGTACCAATTCAGTGCTGCCAGGGTTTTATTACTTCCGTTTTGTGGAGAGGATCTCCTCCCAGAATTGCCCGAGACAGGCACCCAAGTGTCACAGTGCCTTCGCAGTGGCACACTTTGACAGCCACTGATATCAACAAGCTACATGACGACCCCTCAGGCTGTCAAACTTTGGGTGTGTAAAAAGGCCTGTTCGCTCGTAGAGGTCTCGGTGTTTGGTGTCTTCTAGGCTCCTGATGCAAGTTGTTGACCCCGAGCTCCTTCCATGTTCAAGGTGCAAGAAACTGTCATCAATTTGCTTCTACATCAAAGCGCATCCTTCTAACACTACTTCAACTTTTCTTTCCAAAACCGGCCCTGCCAGTCACTGGGCTACTCTATCCGCCAGACTCAGTTAAATCATATCGAGCAAACTACTACCCTTGCAACACGCTTCCCTCCTCCCCTTGCCCAACAATTGCGACCGTGACTGAGACGCAGGAAGTCGGCAGTGCGTAATACTTTACAAATCATTTTGTATAGTATCATCACTTCTTTCTCCAAGCAATTCAATAGTCTCACCGGTTATCTTGTCGCCGTTCTCATCGTCGACGCAGCCTCCAACCAAATACGATATGTCGACGGCCGAGCTTTTGATTGGACAGATGGCGGGGGAAAACGAGATTGACCCAGTCTTGTTTCGTCCAGACCAGCACTCCCTCTCCCAGTTTCCTCAGGCTGGCATCCACGGCGATGGGACACCGGATGCCCTGTTCTATCCGTTGTCCGGCCTGTCGGGAGAACACAAGGGGTATCAACTCGAGAGGTCAGACGGGAGTCTGTATTCATTTGACACAAGCATTCTGTTCCCCCCGACCGAATTGAATCCGGCGGCCTCTACGTCTGCTAGTTCGTCCAACTTTGTCAGCCAGACGCCGGCTTCGAGCGTGCTGTCCGCAGAGGATGGATCCGACAAGCCGAAGAAGACGCCCCCGCCTAAACGAAAAAAGAGTTGCACGATAATAAAGTCAACCAAAAAGAAGACGCCGACGGAAACACCGGCCAAGGCGGTGCCGAAGACCCGGACACAGCCAAGGCGCGGAGCAACCAAGACCTCCAACAATACAATCGAGGTGCAGACGGAGGAGAATAAGCCGAAGCATCGTCGCCAACGGTCCCTAGAAAAAAACCGGGTTGCCGCTTCAAAATGTCGAAAACGCAAGAAGCAGTGGACTGAAAACCTAGAACAGAAGAAATCGGGGCTGGAATCCGTCCACGCCGAGCTCCAGTCGGAATACATGGAACTTCTGCAAGAGACGTCTGAGCTGAAGAACTTTTTGATAAGCCATGCGAGCTGCCAAGACCCCAATATTGATATTTGGATAAAGAACGAGGCCTCGAAATATGTTCGCAACCTTGACAATGCAAGTCTCGTCAACTCGATCCATTCGTTGCCGAGCCAAGATGGTAAGTGTGCTGCAATATCCGAATACCAGGTGGGGATGACTGTTCCCCGGTCGGCGTTTGGTTGCTAACAATGCCACGTCAGGGGATGCCTTTACTTCACGACATGCATCGATCCCCAGCGCGATGGGCGGGCTCTCCCGAGAATCAACGGATCGCGAAACCGAGGAACTGAACAGCGGCGAAACCGAGGACGAGGAAGGTGCCTTTGAAGGGGACTTGGAGGACTGATCAGTGGCCTTGTGGAGGGTGAAACTCCTCCTCGATTTTAGCCGGGGATCGCCAATAGCCGCAGCAGATGGGTGGTGATGGACTCCAGCGACATTCTTGGCAGAGGTTTGGGTTTTTCAGGATGATGAGAAACTCGGCATTGTACGTTCAGACACTGACAGACTAGCATTTTGCTTGAGCATCGTATTGGAGTTGGAGAGAATCTGAGAAGCTTACACATGGACATAGTTTGGCGACTACTGAGGCTACGGTGACATAGTGGAGGGGGCTTTTGAGGCTCAAAATCGGAATGGACGGGTGGCAATTTGGGGGACTGCATGCATCATGACTGTTATGACGACCAAAGATGAAGGGCATTACCTGGGCTCCCAGAGAGCAATGGCGCCACTGGAGAAGGGCGTTTTGATCGACGGACCGGGGGGTTCACCATGTTCGAGATGAGCATCTGGTGTTTGCTTATCAGCTGTTTAGCTACCTTGCCGAAATCTACTTTCGACTTGCCGTTTCGCAGATGGTGTCTGCTACTGACTGGGTATGCATCTGCTTGTACCCAGCCTGTGTCACCGCCCGAACTACAACGCTCACCAACATCCCGACCGCCCGAGCCACACAATCATCATTCGGCCGTATTTATCCCACTCTCAAATCATCTCCCAAACTCGGCATACTTTGTTGGGCAACCGCGGCGCGAAAAAGGGGCATCTCCGTCTGAATTTGGAAGTTACGCAAGATGTCATCGGAAACACTCGAAGACAGGCAGTTTTTGTCAGATTTCCGATGTGCAAAAGTCGTCAAACCCAAAGATTAGATCTGGCGTTTACATCAACCAAGGGGCACGATGGACCAACGGATATGGCGAGCCTGTTCCTTCAGTCACGAAAGTGCCAGGCTCGAAACGCGCACATTCGACACTGTGAAGGGGCGAGAGCGGCGATGCAGCTTGTACAGTATCTCACGGCCAATAGACACCCTTACCATCCGATTGGAGACCCTTGCCAAGGGGGGTGGTGCGTGTATGACATGACAGGCGCAGACTGTGTTGCACGCACGGCTCCTCGTCACAAAAGCGAGATACACGTCACAAAAGCGATGACGCGATGATGCGCAATGAGAAGTGCATATACGAGACGTTGCAGCGTGTGCAAGGAGACTTTATATTAGGTAGCTTTCTAGCCGGTGGGCTTTGTTGATTCTCTTGACCCGTGGTATGTGTGTGTGGCGTGGTTACTCTGCCGGGTTGGAAACCAATGGCGAGCAATATGTGCCCGTGTATTTGTTTGTCGAGGGCTTTACAGACCAGGGGCAAGGCCCGGAAGATTTGGCCTTCGCGGCCATTATCCTTTTTCTTCTTCTGTCTTCCATATTTACCGTGAGTCTGGCACAATTTGGTCCGCAAGGGGGAAGATGCTGCTTTTTGGACGAACAGTTTGGGGAAGGTTGCAAACTGGTCCTGAAACTGTGGCTATGTAAATGATTCAATATTGATCTCTCTCGACTGGTGACGGTGATGATGTAAAAATCCCCCCCGACTGGATGGGCCGAAAGCAATTTTTGGTCACTTGTACATGTTCACAGCGCGGAGCGGATGTAGAGCATAGACGAAAGAACATATCAACCAACGCCTAGATACAGTTGACACTGGAACGTACAAAAGACCAGGCTTGGAGAGAAGTTCATTCAGAAGGCGAGCCAAACAGCTCCATGTGAACATGCCCCTCGTCCACGCCCATCAACATCAAAGCCTTGCTCTGCGCCTTTATGAACGGTAGCGGGCCGCAGATGTAGAAGTCGGCGCCGGGCAGGAGCACCACGTCCTTGATTTTACTCAGCTCAAGCCCTCCCGCAAAGTCGTAGTCGAAGCCCTGCTGGTCCCGGTCCGTCACCTCTTGGTAGAAGACGGCCCGGCGGACCTGGGGATTGTTGGCGACAATCTCGGACAAGGCGGCCTTCATGGCGTGCCCGCGGCCACCGCGCGCGGCATGCACAAAGACGACGCTCCTCCAGCTCGCCTGGTCCACGAGCGTCTTGAGCATGGCCATGGCGGGCGTCGCGGCGTTGACGTCGAGCACCAGGCCGCCGAGGGGCATGCTGACGTCGAGCTCCGCGCCTGCCGGCAGATCCTCATGGAGCACGCCGGCCGCGCGCCCGGCCGGACGGGCGTCGGAGGCGGCGGCCCCGGTGACCGAGATGCGGAGCGACTTTCCGTCGGGCGCGCCGGACACGCCGTACTGCCGCGGCTGGTACGACGCCAGCTCCGGGACGAAGCGCCGCACCGTGACAAACTGCCCGGGCTTGTGCGCCGGCAGGGCGCCCCCGTCGACCGGCGTCAGGTGGAAGGACATGATGGCCGCGTCGCTCTCTTGCGTCCTGTCCGAGACGAAGAACTTGCGCCACCCCTTCCAGCCCCCGGGGGTCGCGGCCGCCTGGCGGTACAGCTCGCCCTCGAACCGGATACAGTACTCGGCGAGCTTCTCGTACGCGGCTCCCCAGGCATCCAGGACTTGGTCGTCGGCGGCGGCGCCCAGCACCGTCTTGATGGCCGCCAAGAGGCCCTCGCCAAGGATGGGGTACTGCTCCGGGGTGATGCCTAGGCTGGCGTGCTTGTGGCCGATGCGGGACAGGGTCGTTTGGAGGGCGGCGGGATTGTCAATGTTGGATGCGTACACCCACACGGCGTGGGCGAGCGCCGCGGGCTGCTCGCCGGTGACTTGGTGCGTCGTGTTGAAGACATTTTTCAGCTCGGGGTGAAAGTCGAGGAGCCGCCTGTGCAGGAGGCTCGTGATGGCCATCCCGTGCTGCTCCAGCGCAGGGATCGTCGACTGGACGATTTTCATTTGTTCTGATGTGAGGGTCCTCCGGGGCATGGGCCCGAGGGCCAGCGGTTTACATGTTTGCCACGAGACACCGGGGCGGCGGATGGCACGCTGGACGAGCATTGTGCCTTGACAAGACGGTATTCAGGTATGTGTCATGTGAGTAAGGTTGAGCGTGAGCAAACGAATTCGTAGTCGAACCGACGTCGTTGGGCGAGTCCGCCGGATGCGGTTGTAGATAAAGCTTGGAGAGCTACCACGGATTGCTTGTCTACTCCACGTAGCGTTGAGCTCTGCAACTTACGGTACGATGAGTGGGAATGTTAGCTTCCGCTTCGTGTCTTGCAGCATCGAAAAAGGTGTTGGTTCCAAGATCGACCTGGGATAGGGTGGTTGTAGCTGGGGCCATGATGAACACGAGACCACGAGGGATATGGTATGAGCAACTTTGGGTTTAATCATTTGCGTAAAATTCGTTCGACACAGGTGTTGAGTGGCTTTTTTTCGGCGTAGCTTCCCCTCTCGCTCCGGAGATGCTGGCAGCATGAGCCGGGTTTCCCCAACATGTCAGATGTGGCTGACGTGCCGGCCAAGCCGGCGCAAGCAGCATGGCCAACTTCTCCACCTGATCGTTTCACTTGATATAAAAAGACGTTGAACGGGACGATGGACAATATTGTATAGACTATCTGATTATCACTTTAGCCAGATGGTGGGAAAGTAGACGTTGACAGTATCAATGAGACAAGCCACCATGTAGGTTGAACCGACCAACATGTGACCAAGTTATTGTCTAATATACAACATTACCATGTATTACAAAACCAATTTTCCAACGCAGGACGAAAATGCCAGAGGATAATTCTGAGTCCTGGAGAGATGAACAGGTCTCTAGACATCTGAAGTCAGGCCAGACAATATGGCAATTGACTTTTGTTGGCAACATGACAAAAGTCTGTGGCAACAACAACACAGCGAAAAATTACGTTGATTCGATGGGAATTATTCAAGCCAAATTCTAGGCGAATTCGGCAGCCTCTATAACTTGATAGGTACCTAGGGCCGAGCTAGCTTGTTGGATGGGTATAGGGGCCTAGCTGGCTAGAAATATTATTAGCATAAATTCTTTCCTTTATTCTTTATCTTTCCATAGTTTTGCTTCCACATCTTTTTAACTTTCCCTTACTCTATTTCTCCATCACTAACGTGCCATCTTTATTTTCTCTCATCTTCTTTAATAGCTAGTAAGATTCTCTTAGCAACACCCTGTAGCACCGAGCCTAGAAACTATCTTGTCCAAGAATACCCCATAAATAAATTATCCATGGTACAAGTCTACAAGCACTCATCACACTCCCGCGTAAATAGTAGCCGGCAAATGCGGGATATATGTGGCTCAGTGCAGGAAAATTCAGACTAGTCAATAGAGATTACATTGAGTAGAAAGTCAATCCAGAGGGCTTATATGGCCTCTTCTTTCTGTGTCAACATTTATTATGTACCTGCAAAACAAAGGCTAATTATGCCATAAACGCTATTGTACAGTCAGTTTGCGGTCTGTGGCATGAGACCAATACCCCCCCTGGTCTCCAGTACGTCATTTCTGGTCTCGATCTTTAACTCGCCCGAGTTTGCGGGGTTAGGATTAAGCGAAAACCCTAAACATGGGATTAGAGTTGTCATTGAAGCACAGCTGAAATAAGCTTGCATCGCAAGCTTCCATTTTTCAGACCACCCCAGATTGTTAAATAGGAATCAAGGCGTTCTAACTCAAAAATCAACAAGTATGCTTCCCCACCCTAGAGCTTTAGTGTCTGAGTTGAACGAAATCACATTGACTTGTCATCTCTAAGGCACCTTTCATAATAGGGCCTTATAAAGAGACAAGACTGTTAGTTTCATCCGGAACAAAAGTTTGACAGGGCACATAGGGCATTCCACAGGCTCTTTCCAGACGAATCCAGACTTCACCAAATTTTCTTGTTATGCTTGAATTAAAGTATTAGAGTTATCTAGCAGGATATCTGCGCGTGGCTATTTGCTCTCAAGGCTGCAATACCACTGAGCATATTGTTGCAGCATCTAGTGATGGCGTTCAAGAAGATTTATGTAAAAGGAACACACCCAGGTGATCAGTTCGCGCCAGTCGGGCATCTGGAGAGATTACTACTCCGCATCTTCCTAAGATTGGGCATGCAGAACATTTTGGTGGCTATACACTTTCGCATCGCAAAGTTACGACAAACCAAATACTGTGGATGCTGTTTATCGTCGCAAGCCAGCCGCGATAACACTCATCTTGCCATCTCGCATAATGCAGACAGGCAGACCGCGAGTTAGCGATTAAATAGTCCGTCAGCCTAGATGCCTTCTAGGCTCTAGCCGGGTATGCCACATGCCATGTTCTAGACGCCACCATGTCGTTCAGCTTGAGATGGCTGATTAGGGTATGGGGCGCCACGATGGTTCGCGCCATCGTTGATTATGCATAGTTTTGGTGCCATGCGGCATAATGCCGTCCTCGTGTCGTCGCGGTCACAAGCCAGAGACATTTTGACCCAGTCAAGATTGACTTCTAGATGGCGGCTGCGCGCAATTACAATAACGTACAAGTGCGGGTAGTCCTGTATGCTTCGTCCCTGGCTGGCGATGGCGTGCCAGCTGAAAGCGGTAAACTTAAATTGACGGTCATCTGGGTTTCAGCTGAAAGACGGCAAGAGAATGGCAGAATTGGCCTCAACGCTCGGCTGTTGATGAGCACTAACTGCCGGTAACATGAGATGAGGTTGCCATAAGTATCCGCCTTACTTGCCTCTGGTGTCCGGGCTCAACCATTAGTATCTTGCATAAGAATTATTTCTAGGTTACCAGGCAGTCTACACAATCACCGTTGTCTGTTCATTTTTCCAACCTTCTCAACAACCAAAACATGACCAAGTGGAAATCGAATAAAGACAAGGTTCGAGGCAACATCGCAGCGGGCGGGTGGGACGTGAGTTACGGAAGAGAAGTCACGTCTTTGGACCTCGTCGTCGGCGCCTTGTCCACGGTCACAGGCGGCGTCGGTACCGCGGCATGGGTCGAACTGCAACTCGCCGCTCAGCTCAAGAAGTTTGGGCAAAGCCTAGCCAACGTGCCCGGCAACGTGAAGAACCAGGTAACCAACATTCTCAAGGATGCCATCTTGAAGGGGAAAAAGGGCACGTGGGATATTGGCGGCCTGGGGGTTAAAGCAGGTGTAGCCACGTACGATCACTGGTTCAAACTTGGCATCGGGGGCTGGCAAAGGTCTGCCCCCTCGTTTCAGCCCTTTATTGGCTTTCGCCTTGCCAAACGGCTTGCAACGGCAGGAGTCCTTGAGTTGGCAGAAACCGAGCCTCCCGTCTTGCTGGCGACGGCCCTTCTTGACATGGAAGAATCTGAGCCAGAGCCTCCGCCTTCGCCGATCGCTACGCATGAGGATATACATTGGGTATACGGGAAAGAGGAGCCGTTGCCAAGCATTGTGATGGAAGGGTAGGTATCATTGACTCTCGCGGTGACGTCTGCGAGAGGCGAGACTCTGTTTGTTCAACATCAGATTGCCGTACAAGTGAAAGGAGAAGGAAGCTTGCAAGGATCAAGTCGCTCACTCGAGGCAACAGAATTTTGTTATACCGATGTCTGGCAGGCAACGGTGTTGCGATAGGTATTTAGTTTCAATTTACATTCACTCTCTTTGCATAGAGCATGAGGAGTCTGTCGTTGTGTCTAAAAGTGCTTGGTAATATAAGATATATTCCCGTCAAGTCAATTGTATAGTAGAGGCTGAGTACTACTGCCTTTATGGAAGGTATTTTAATTTACGAAAAAGTATGTATGTGTTTCCAGCCAATTTCTGTGATGAGTGGCGCACCACTGGTTCCATCAACTCTGTGATGAGTGTAAGTTGTGCAACCGGGCGGGCAATGACCTCGCGTCGGCGGCAGAGACCATCACCATGACTCTATTTCCAAGTACTTTCGTTTCCAGTCATTCCGCTCCTTGATTGCACGCTCCAAGTCCATGGCCTCTTCTTGTCGGGCGGCCCTCGCCAACATGCTACAGCCCGGCTTACACCTTGCAAGTCACAGACACAAAAGTTCCCCAAGTCTCTCCACGTTAAGGAATCCTACAGCCGGGGCCAGTGGATCGCAACCCACGTGTTCCCCACGAATCAAGATGCAATCGATGCTCGTGCAGCGACCCTGAGGGTTTGCCGACGCCGGCTGTGGCTGTACACAGTACGACGCAACGGTGACGGTGCCGGTGTCTCGGCATAGCGGCAAATGCCACGATTCCCAATTACCGTGTCACATCGGCGCAGAGTAGTCCCTACCTCGGCGCGTGATGTTAACGTTTCGAGGCTAGCGTGCGAGATGACTGGCAAGTTGTAGCCATGGTAGTATTCATGTCTAGGGAGTAGTCAGGACTCCGCGGTCACTATGTGTGATGCAACTGGAGCAAGTTGACATAAGCCATGTCTCGTCATTACTCAGACCGTCACTGCCAATATTCAATAATTCATTGTCCCGCAACGTCTCTTCCTTTGGGTCGGAACATGCCGTGGTGCGGCTCCCGGGACGTCTCGTATCGGCAACCCCAGTCCATCTATGATCTTGACATGGCCTTGCACGCCTATGCTCAACTGGCCGAGGCCTTCTCCCCATACTATACTCGACGCTTCTTGGCATTGCTATCCGTGCCATCGGCAGTTGCTTCTCGGGCAAAACGACTTCTGATGACAGTCTGGCCTGGCACGGGCCGCCGGACGTCGCTTGGCAGGTCGGCGGCGCAGCTTCACCGTCGCAGGGTGATTCCTAAAGGGGTTTAATTCCAAGGTTGCTAGTCTTTGTGAACTATGTGTAACTACATGTAATCATCAAGTGGCACCATCTTACTCTCCGACCTTCCCAACTCGAACATGAGTGGCTTCTCTTGACCGTCTAGAAATCCCCTCATGTTCCGTCCCGCCACTAGTTCCAGTTCCATCTCGTATTTGTGTTTGTACTTGGTAAGCCGTCTTCATCTGGCAAACTAGAAGCACGGGCGTTGAGTTCTCGCGACTGGCCTCGGGTGCGGCATGTATCTGCTATCACACGTCTAGCTCTATATGGCAGGTGTGTCTTGACTCTTGAGTGATAACTTGTCCCTATACGAATTTGTTGGAGTTTGGCCTGCATTACTACATGTAGCTAAACTCTGATTCTCTCAAGTGCTGCTACACGGATAGTTGCTACGCTTATCCTACTGCTGACGGCTTCTGTTGAGTGGCAAGTTGCCAAACCAAAGGTATATAAACCAAGCTACATACTTGCCTTGGATATTCCTCTCGAGTCTCGACAAGCATCTTCCAACGCAGCAAAGCCATAGTCCCGAGTCCCGAGTCCCTAGTTCACCAAAGCCATCATCGGAACTGCTCTTATCATTTCCTCTTCCCACAATGTTCGCCCTCGTGTCCCTCTCTCTCCTCATCGGCGCCTGCTCGGCCGCTCCCAGCGCAGCCAACCCAAGCAACCAACTGCCCAACTTCATCAACCAACTGCAGCAGTCCCTACGCACCGTCGACCAGAACAACCCCCCCTTCACCGACGGGTCCAAGTTGAACGAATACACGTGCCCTGCGCACGCGTTCGAATGCACAACGACCGACTTCTGGCAGCGGCAGATCATCGCCTCTGCCCCCGACCGCGTCACCATCACGACAAACATCCACACCGACGCAACCCTCATCAACGACGGCACCAAGGACGCCACCATCACGTCCTCCTTCTCCACGGCCGTGGCCATCGGCACCACCAGGGGCTGGACCATTGGCGCAAAGGTCTCTCTCAGCTCGCCCAACAAGGTCGGCAGCTCCGAGCTGTCGGCCTCCTACAGCGACACGTCCACCTCGACGACGACGGAGACAAAGACGGTCCAGTACGGCGCCATCTGCCCGGCCGGAAAGACGTGCCGCATCCAGACTGTCACTTTCCAGGCCCGTCTCCATGCGTACTGCAGGCATGAGTCTATGCTCGACTGCACGGGGGCCGTCAACGTCTGCAAGCGTCCGACTGGCGTGCTGCAGTGCCAGCAGTACGTCGACTACTACAACAGGAACTGCGTGAATCCTCCTTCCGACTCTCCGTGCAGTGTTGACGTCCAGCTTCGGGCGGACGATGGGAAGCTCCTCACCCTTATTATCATTTCGGAGGAGTAGTGTTTCCCCTGGCTTGGAATGGAGACCGGGCAGCTGTTGCGAAATCGTTTGGGATACAGGTCTGTATAAAATACTTCTGCAGGGCGCAAAAACGTGCAGTGCTGGATTTGGTATTCTCGCGACGATTGGTTGCTCCAACTATGCTGCATGTGTGTTGGCATCACGTCGATTATTCAAGCTAGTAGTAAATCAATACGACAGTACTTGTATACATGTTTATTTCGGGTATAAACTTACTCTTTTATGTAGACAAGCGTATTGTCTTTTCTACGCCATGTACACGTGTTGGCCATGGACGTGGTGAGATAGTCATGTAAATAAATTCAATCGCGTACTCCAAATAATGCCCTGTGTGGCTGTATACCAAGATTCATGTATACTATTGATAACGACTTGGACCAATGTATCGCTCAGAGCGTCTGGATATGGTGGTCACGGTAAACATCCTGGGAATCGACGAACAAACTACGTAATGGAACTAGATGCCATGGTACACGTCTCCCTGGACAGATTGTTATTGTTCTACACGAGGTTGCTTCACTCCATCAACACACCTGACAATATAATACAAAGCTTCCCGCCAAACCCTCACCCACCAATCACCTCCGCTTGATCCAGCCCTTGGCGTTGGAAATGCCCTTGATACGCTTGGTATACTTCCAAAGGTGGCGGTACTTGGGCCCCTGTCGCTTGGCCTCCCAACCGCGCGGCTTGACGGGCGGCTTCAGGCTGTGCACACGCGTGGGCCGCAACTCGACATCGGCACCGGAGATGCCGTGGCGGGCCATGACAGCGGCCGTGTTCTCGTCCCAGACGGACCGGAACAGGCTGAAGCCAAAGGGCGCGAGGCCAAACTTGTCACGCATCGACTTGAGGGAGAATCCGCCGCGTGCAGCGTATAGCTCCTTCAGCGCGGCGACGTCGACCTTGTCGCCGGCGCGCTGCTCGAGCAGGTAGATGCCCAGTCGGTGGTACGGGGCGCCTTTCTGCGAAAAGGCAGGCATCCAGGGGACGGCCAGCTGGTCCTCGGCGACGATTTTGCCCAGCGGGAGAGACGTGTCGGTGGGGCTGAGGGGGATGTTGGCAGCCAGGTAGTGGCATCGCTTGGTGAAGCTGTCGCCTTCGATGTCCGGGACGTCCGAGTCCACAACGACTACGGTGACCAGGCGCTCGCCCTTGTTGAAGACTTGGACGCGCAGGCGCGGCGCATTCTCGCTGACCTGGCTGTTGACAATGTCGCCAGGGGCAATCTTGGATTGGCGAAAGTAAAGCTGTACGTCGGCGGTGGGTTCCAGCTTGGGTAGAACGTCGGGAACAATGTTGAACTGCTTGATTCGCTGGGTGATGAGGCGGTAATCGTACGAACGCCATTTCTTCTCGGCAAGGGCACGGTAAATCGGCTTGTTCATGTCACCTAAATCCATAATTGTCAGTCATCACGGAGTATAAACTCGATGCTAAAAATACCAAACTCACCCAAGCCGTCCTCAAATCGCTTCTTGACCAAAGGATCATTCGCATCCGCCAAAAGCTTCAACCGCTCAACCTCCCTCCTCAAACTCGCCAACTTTACATCCTTCATCTTCTGCCCGCCCTTGACATCGGCAGCATCCTTTGCCTCCAATTTTGAAATCTTGTCCAGCTCCGCCTTGATCTTGGCCAGCTTGTCCTCACGGTCAGCCGCCAAAATCTTACGGGCCTCCTGAAACGCCTGGTAGGGTAGCTGCTCAAACGGGATATTCTGTGTCGTGCGCATGGCCATTCGTCGTCTTCTCGAGCCAATTGGCATCTTGCCAGCCTTGATCAGCTCGGCTTCGAATTCGGGAAGGACAGTAGTAGGATCGAGGTCCAAGGCGCTGGGTTCCCTGGAGGCAGCCGCAGCTTGCTCCTGGACCTCAGCGGCCCGAGGAGCGGCCGTTGTGAATGGCCGAACGGCGCATGACTGCCGTAATTGCCTTGCGAGCGGCCGCGCGACAGCCTGACACCGCGACATTTTTTTGGCGTCTGGTTCGACGGTTATGTGGTTGTGGCTTTCAAAGCTAAAAATGCTCGCCGAAATGCTACGAGTCGATAATTTGACATTGGCACGCGAGGGGGCCCACTTAAATTTTGGGGTGTCGGCGCGGAACAAGCCGTTTTCCCAGCAGACGGAGAACTGGGTCACGATTTTCGAGCATCCAAACCTCCGTTCCACGAACTTGCAATCGCCAAGAAAAACAGCTTGGCCGCGCAAGCCTGCACCATCAATTGGACTGTTCTGCGCCGTCGCATACAACTAATGATGGCGTCAAGGACGGGGTTAGGATGCCTAAATGAGGCAATGGCTGCACTGCGGGTGTCGGCCAAGGTGAGTTCCATCCCCATCAACATCAGAAAAAGACGGCCATGCTCACTTCCCATTGCAGCCCACCACCCTCAGCAAGTCCATCTCAAGATCAATGGCCACGGAGGCGCCCGCCCGAGATCTCACCCGATCCGCAAACACACAATCCCTCGTCCAGTCCTGGAACCCAGGTACGCAGCACCACTCCAACCGACTGACTATCCACGCAAGCTGACAGTAGCCTTCACAGTCTCAACCGTCCCCGTCACAGTCCACAGCTTCCCCTCGCTCGAACCAACCTCCCTCGAGCAGTGGTCCGTCCAGCACCTCTACCTCCCCCTCCGGCGCGACATCCTGCACCACGCAATCACCTTTGAAGGCGACAACACGCGCCAGGGCACCGCCTCCAGCAAAACCCGCTACGAAGTCCACGGCTCCCACCGCAAGGTGCGTCCTCAGAAGGGTTCGGGTCGCGCCCGTCTCGGCACCAGGCAGAGCCCCGTCCTCCGTGGCGGCGGCAAGACCTTTGGCCCCAAGCCCCGCGACTTCGGCACCAAGCTCAACCGCAAGGTCTACGACAAGGCCTGGCGGACAGCCCTCAGCTACCGGTACAGACGGGGCGAGCTGATCATCTGCGAGGACGGGATGGAGCTCGCCCTGCCGCCGGACTTTGAAATGCTCGCCGACAAGTACATGCGGGACGGGCTGCGGGAGACGTACCTCCAAAAATACATGACGGGCGTTTTACGCACGCTGGGTCTGGGGCGCGCCGACGGACGGACGCTGTTTGTCACGGGCGATCCGAGGGACAGGCTGTACGAGGCCATGGAGCAGGTCCCGTGGGAGGGGCGGGCGCTCGACGTGGAGGACGTTGATGTCAAAGACCTGTTGGAGACGGGCAAGGTTGTCATGGAGAGAAGCGTCTTGAAGGAGATGATTGAGAGGCATCAGAGCGACTTGATCACCCGCATCGCGGTCGGCGGGTTGGCCAAGAGCGCTCCTTCAACTGGCGAGGTAGTGTTGTGAAACCCACAGGCCGGACGCATCAATGTACTACTATATGTCCCTGTATTCAAAATATCCCCCCGGTAAAGCATAAAATCTCACCGGCATTCAACCTCTCAGTGACGCAAGAATCGACTGCTTGTCTTCATGTAGATCAAGGTAGAATATACAAATAGCCCCCCTTCCCCCAATGCAGCCCTTCTATACTGGGTATCAAGTCTATAACAAGTCCACAACGCACCCTACAATGCACCACCCACCAACGACACAATCCACATTGCTATTCTCACCTGCAGCCCAACCCTCCTCTCGTTCTTGGCAAAGTCATCCCGCGTCACTCTCTTCGAATGCTCCTGCAACCAGCTCTGCTCATCGCCCAACTGTCTCTTCAACGACTCATCCCTCGTCACGATCAGCGCGCCAACCTCCAAATCATGCGAATAGCTGCGCTTCGTATAATTCGAACTGCCAATGATGCTCATCGATGGAGACGTCTCCCCCGGCATCGTCACCCAGAGGCCCTTGGCGTGATATGTCCATCCGCCAACGTGGCCCGCCGTCCCTAGCCGCCACTCCTTCAGAACAATGTCCTGGTCGCGGCGGCTTTGGCTGATGTTGTCCAGGAAGCGGCGGGCGAGAAGGACGTACGCGTCGGGGAGGAGGCCCGAAACACCCTTTGACTTGTAGAAGCCGTTTGCTTCGGGGGCGGCCGTAATGACGGTGTTGTTGGTGGATGCTGTGCCGATGAGGAGTCTGGTCAGCGACGGCGCTGGGTTGAAATAGCCGGCTGTAAAGGTCCACGACGAGCCGCGATATTGAGGCAGGGCGAGCTGTTTCAGGATGTGTGTAATGACAGGCAGTTCGGTAGACTCGTCCGGTTTCATGACTTGGGAGAATTGCCCTAGCATGTATACCCTCGTATTGCTAAAGTCGCCCTTGGGCAGCTTTTCTGCTTGGGGCGCAACCAGTGCCTTCAACGTCTGGCTCGAGCTCTTGATGAAGGACTGCGGATCCTCGAGGGGACATGGCGCAGAATTGGTCCGAGGCCAAGTGAGCGTGAATCCGGCATCCTCCCGCGAAGGCTCGACCAGAAAGCTAAACGACGCAACTCCGCTATGAATGCGCCAAAAGTGTTCGGTAACCTCTCCGGACGAAAAGAGGTGGTACCTATCCTGTCTGTTGGTGAAGTAGTCCGTGGAGAGATTCGCACTACCGAATGTCAGCGCCCTGCCTAGTTCATGTCGAACCTTGCCGTGCTCACCCTGACATGATGATCTCGTCATCGACACCATAGAGCTTCATGTGCTGCAGGCCCCAGCCCTCGTTAATCCTCTTCGGGATGTACTTCTTTCTCAACCCCGTCAAGTTCGGCGTGTGGTACATGCGGATCTCGACTCTTTCTGCGCCAAACTCCGTAACGAGCGGTGCCAACAACGACGCGCACGATGAATCAGGTGCCTCTCTCGTACCGCGCAGACCGTCTGTCAATATGTCCAGTTTCAGCTCTGGGTTGCGCGAAAGTGCATCCCTCAGGGTTTCGATAAGCTCCTTCTCGGATTTTCCGATATAAAGAGTTGATAGGAAGATTCGTCGTTTGGCATTGCGTATGCGGTCCTATATCAATTAGCATCCATCTGCGGCGTCTAGCTCCATGTGCACGGCAGTACAGCAGTACCGTACCTTCAAGGTTTCGTAGAATTCCGCCGGCGTTCTAATAACACGAATGTCCTCCCCTCTCAGATCAAAGCTCGGCGCCATGCGATCCAACTCGCTCACGATTGGCACCAGCGTTCCTATGTGAAGGCCATTGCTCGGCGCAGCAACAGCTCCTGAAGGCGCACTGCCAATAGACCTGCGCTGCACCCGTGCGGAGTACACATTTGTCCGTAGTGCACTGGTGCGTGGCCGAGCCAGACACCTCGTGCAGGTGCGTGCAAGCATTCCCAGCAGAATTTACGCAATCCCGTCAAGGAATGCTGCAACTTTTCGCGGCTCTCGTCCCGTCACAAGTTTGGTGCTGTGGAGTTTATATACCTGGTACTCTACTCCGTATCGGACATGGAGCCAGCTCTCTCACCTCACCTATTGAACCTTCCCCATTGGACGGCCCATCTAGCCGATGTTTCCCCGGTCCATCCTACAACTCGGCTCTGAACCTCCAACGTACAGTTCCCAAGCCGTCTCATCGATCTGCCGGGCAATTGTCAACCGCCAAGATGTCGACTCTTCCCCGTACATTGAGCAACCTGCGCAAGGTTGGCATCAAGGTTCGTCTTCTCGCTGTTCAATTGCTACCCAGAGGCTAACTTGTGTAGGATTACTTCCGCCAAATGCTGGTACGTTTTGCCTGCCCGAACGCTCGATCCAGAAATTGAACAGGTCTACTAACCTCGTTCTTCCCTGCAACAGTATATCGGTACAGACCAGTCTCAATCAATTGCGCACGACGACCGAAATCGAATTGACCGGCTAACTGATGTGCAGGCGACACCAAATACGGCCGCCTGGTAGGCACCGATCGCGCCGGCAACAAATTCTTTGAAAACATGGAAGAATTACCCCTCCGTACACGCTGGGTCGAATACGCCAAGCACGACTACGACGCCGCTCAGATCGAACCAGGCTGGCACGCATGGATCTCGTACTCTGTGGACAAGCCGCCCACCGAGGATGCGTTGATCGCTACAGGCTTGAGGAAGTTTGAGAAACCATATGCCATTCCGAACTATACTCAGACTAGGGCCGCGTTCAAGACGTACAGCACGTAAGTCAACTCCCAGGAGGAGCACAGTCGGCAGTAGCTGTATGTCAGGATGGGTGCTGATGATTTCGAATAGGACCAAGCCCAAGGTTTCGGCATGGGAGCCCGTTGCTGCGCAGAGGACGTAAATGGTTTCGAGAGGCGGGTTGTACATATGCATTGTAGAAGTAGATGATGGGCTATCGACTTACAACATTTCCTTTATTATGCGCATTTCTCAATGAACAAGTTACGACAATTGTTGTATTTTAAGTTGCTCATCACGAGCCGATCCGATATTTCACGAGCTAACTAAACGAACATTTCACAACCACCGCACTCGATGCACAGAGAGTATCACCCATCAAGTCCATTGCAGCCATAAATCTTCACCAGGGCATGACACTCCAAAGCAACATATTTTCAAACATGTACTGCCGCCAAACTCTAACAGTTTCTAGCCATCTAGCTCATCTACTGTCACTATCAAAACACCAAAATGCGCTAAATTTCAACTCGCGTCATGCGTGCTCTACATCTTAGCTTCGATCGCTGTCTTGATTGCTGCAGTGAGTTAGCAAATCGTTGCATTTCCTTGAGTCGGCAAAACATACCTTCGCAAGTGTTCCTTGCATCACCAAACAACATCTTTGTGTTGGGCATGTAAAACATAGGGTTCGGAACATCGGCTATACCAGTTAGCTCAGTTCAATCATTTCGACGAGAAATACGTACCATATCCACTTGCCATGCCTCTCTTCATCACTACAACTTGCTTGCTCTTCCACGCATGCAGCACAGGCATACCCTCGATTGCACTGCCCTTTTCCATAGCAATGGGGTTCACAGTGTCGTTGGCACCAATGACAACAGTCAAGTCAGTGTCGGGGAAGTCGTCGTTGATTTCGTCCATTTCCAGCACAATGTCATACGGGACACTGGCTTCGGCAAGCAAAACGTTGCACTGACCCGGCATTCGGCCTGCCACGGGATGAATAGCGAACCGGACAGTGATGCCCTTGGATCGCAAATGCGAAACAATTGACGAAATTGCGTACTGGGCCTTTGCCACAGCCATGCCGTAGCCAACAACCAGAATCACTGATTCCGAATTCAGCAGTGCATCTGCCAGCTCATCCACGTTTGTTTGCGTGACTTCTCCTTGGGGCTTGAATTCTTGCACTGCTGTTGGTGTTGACAGCCCGCCAAACAAGACATTTGTGAGTGACCTATTCATTGCCACGCACATAATGTACGACAGGATAGAGCCGGATACGCCGATCAGCGCTCCAACACTGGTAAGGAGTGGGTTATCCAGCATGAAGCCCTCAGCTACGAGGGCGAATCCGCTGTAGGCATTTAGCACGGTGATGACAACGGCTAGACTCGATTAGCATGCTTCATTAACTGTAGACTGTCTGCACACATACGCATATCGGCGCCACCAATTGCGGCAGTCGTAGTGTAACCCTTGACGAAACTAAGTGCCGTGTTCGCAGCAAGAGCACCTGCAGCGATCAAGGGACTTCCCGGCGCCATGGTGATGAAGGCGCCCATTGTAGCTATATTACTAGCGAGCAATCCCCCATTTATCACATGTCGGCCAGGAAGAATCGTGGGTTTAGATGACATCTTGCCCGCTAGTTTCATGAACGCGACGAGAGAGCCGGTGAAGGTAATGCCACCTTCACAATGTTAGCCAACAATCCAGAGGGAAACAGTAGGAATGCCTGCTACAAACCGATAAGAACACCGAGATATGCAGTAACCAAATGCAGAGTTGAAATATCGGTAACGTCAGCCATGACACTACCAATGCTAGTCAAAACAGCAGCCAAACCAACCACGGAGTGTAGCGCAGCAACTGTCTGTGGAAGGTCGGTGGGCGTGATTCGCTTGCCTATTAGCATTCCTGTGATCCGTCAGCATATGGGCTCGAGTAGTCAAGCCGGAATACCTACCAGCTAATGCACCAACCGTGGCAAGTGCTCCAAATTGAGTCAGAACTTCAGGCGAAAATCCAACAGCGAGCAGGCTGGCCAAAACACCGGACCCGACACCAAGAATGCCTAGCATGTTGCCCATACGGGCAGTGGCCTGAGAAGCAAGACCAGAGATTGATCCAATGCAAAGAACGGAGCTGATGAGATATCCGGCTTGGACAAGTCCAGCAGCCCCAGTAGACGCAGCAGCAATAAACCCTCCACCAAAAAGAGCTGCAGGCACAGCATACAGCCAGGGGTACTCGGGGGGGTCAGTCGGCCCTGTAAATGTTAACATTTCAGCACTGACAAGCATCGAACCTGATGAGACGTACGCTTAAACATATCCAGCATTCGTTTGGTAATTACGAATCCGCCACCAACATTGACAAAGGCAAGCAAAACGCTCAGGGCACCAAATACTTGAGGAATCGTCTCAGGAACATAACCGCCTCCCAGGATGAAAAGTCCACCAACGCCAACCATGCCGGAAATAGCATTTGTAACGCTCATGAGAGGAGAATGCAGTGCGGGAGCAACTCCCCAAACAACACGATAACCAATCAAACTAGCCAAACCAAAGGTGAAAGCATTGGACATGAAGAGCGGGCCAGTAAACTTTCCCAAGGCGAGCACGCTTCCCATACCAGCGGTAACAGTTGCAACCTCTCTCGTCTTCTTCTGCCAAGGAGTGAGCTCGACAACCTCCACCACAGGCTCAGCGGTAGGTTTCACAGCAGCTGGGGGCGGAGCAGGCCGGGGAGCAGGGGGCAGAATTTCACCATTCTGGGTAACAATTGAGCCGCGCACAACTTCATCTGATAGGTCAATTCCGAATTCCTTGTCTTTGGGGGCCATTGAAAGCAGGAACTTGGTGATGTTATTCGAGTATAGGGTCGAAGACTGGGTCGGCAGGCGTGAAGGCAGATCAGTGTATCCTGCATCTACGTCAATACCACGAAAGGCGGCAACGGGTCACATTTTGCAGACAACTTTGAACTCACCAATAATTTTGACGTCTTTATACATTGCCAACTCGCCCTTTTTGGTAGCTTCGCAGTTACCGCCAGCCTCGGCCGCGAGATCAACCACGACGCTGCCAGGTTTCATGACATCCAGCATGTCAGTTTTAATAAGCTTCGGAGCAGGCTTGCCAGGGATAAGAGCAGTGGTAATAATAATATCAACCTCTTTGGCCTGATCCTTGAAAAGCTTCATTTCAGCATCGATAAATTCCTTGCTCATTTCCTTGGCATAACCACCGGCTCCAGAGCCATCTTCCTGGATGTCAACCTCGATGAATTCGGCGCCAAGCGACTGCACCTGCTCCCTGGCAGCAGGTCTGGTATCAAATCCACGAACAATGGCACCCATTCGTCGAGCTGTAGCAATCGCACTCAGGCCAGCGACACCTGCACCAATGATTAAGACCTTGCAAGGGGGGATCTTGCCAGCAGCAGTAACCTGGCCGGTCAAAAATCGTCCAAAAACATTAGATGCCTCCAAAACAGCCTTGTAACCAGCAATATTTGCCATGCTACTGAGGGCGTCAAAAACCTGCGCTCGAGAAATTCGGGGAATCATATCCATGGCAAATATGGTTGCTTTGCGGTCTGCAATCTTTCGAACCAGATCCTGGTTCTGGGCGGGTTGGAGGAGGGAAATGACAGTCTGCTTCTCCTGAATAGAGTCAACCTCGTCCGTGGACGGACTGCGAACCTTGAGAATAACATCAGATGCGGACCACACGGCCTGTGGGCCGTCAACCACGGTAGCGCCGGCCTCTTCATAGGCCTCGTCGAGGAATTCGGCCTGGGAGCCAGCACCGCGCTCAACGATGACCTTTTTGAAGCCCTTCTTGAGCAAAAGTGCGACATTGGCCGGCGTCAAGGCAACTCGACGTTCACCGGGGTAGGTCTCCCTGGGCACACCAACAGTAAGTTGACCATACGGTGTCGTCGGAGGTATTACAGCTGTAGAATGCTGCTGTGCTCCGACTTGCGGAGCTGTTGTCGTTACGACAGAAGCATGGCGAACCAGTGCCAGGGACTTGCGAGTCACGGACGGAACCAGAGCCCGCTGCTTGGCTTGTCCAGGGGTATTGTGCCACTGGCGGCGAGCACAGGACAATGGACGCACATCTACACCTCCGAAATCGGCGCGGTTAGTCAGTTATTGTCAATGGAGTTCATAGTATGCAATTGAAGCAATAGAAATCGCAGAGAGTAAGGAAAAGAGAGAGAAGAGGGTAAATGCAACCTTTGAGTCGTAGGCAGCGTGGCGCGAAGCGAGCAACGGTTAAAGAGGAATAGCAAAGCTCAGACGAGAGCGGGCGGAACGCGTTCGACGCCATCATGACAGAACAGTCATCTGGTAGTGGTCTTCATGGAACTGCGTCGAGCAGGGTCAATGCTTGAGGGACGACGCGCCTGAGTGTTGTTCTGTAAAAAAAATTACTCGGTACTGGGTAGTTGGTGGGAAAAAAACAAGTGTCACGAGGGCAAAGCTGAGTTTGTAAACGCACAAAGCATAGCCGAGACAAAGATGAAGGGGATGGCACCCAAGACGGAAATCAAATGCCAGGCCACTTGCAAACAGCAACAGAAGCTGTACTATTGCGACCTTAACTTCTTACTTGAGTCAAGAAGACGCAGGAGGTCTAGGCGAAGCTATTAAAGGAGGGGTAGTCTTGAAGTGGTGGACGTCAAGTTGGAGGACGGAGGCGGCGCTTCAGACCTGAGAGTGGCATGTCGGACGCACTTGACAGCAGGGCAGGAGCGGCTCGTTGGCGCCTGCCAGGCTGGGACCAGTGCCGAAACAAGTAGCACAGGTACGGAGTACACGAGTACGGGATATTTTGGTACCGGGGTACTTGCGTCTGGTGCTCAGGACTTGGCACCATGGGCTTCAATGTTGGTCAGCCGGACGGCAAGTTGCATGTAACATCAAACCTCAAACAGCTCAGTCAAGCCGTCCGTGCCGTATTTCATCGCCATTCACGCAGTGATATTCCATCTACGCCGTCACCAGTCCTTTCTCGGTCCGAAGACAAAGTTGCATGCATTCAAGCGCGTCAAGGTGGTCTCAATTGCCTCGTTACCTTACCCAACGTTACCTAGCGCAGGTGCATTCTGCACAGGTGCCCAGGTACCCAAACGTCCAGGTACTCCGTACTTGGAGGCCGAGTCGAGGTGAGCTGGTGCGGGGTTCCAGGGGTCTGCGGGCAGTGTGGGGCGTCTTGGCACGAGGCACTTGAGTCTTTGGTGTGCAAATCCTCCGCAAACCTGGGGAAAGCATCCGAGCCACGGCCATGCAACACCAGCACTTTGCGTCTGCCACCAAGTTTGTACACCATTCCGCCTGTTCGGCGTGTGTTCCATGCATCCAGCCTCAAACAAGGTCGCTCGGCACCGTTCAACACACCGACACGCTGCAGGGGGTGCGGTACCACGTCGGGCCAACATCTCGGCTCCGTACGGAGAACGACTTGTCCTCGCCTTGACGCCGACAGCCAGTGCATGACGATTGTGCCATGGCGTTTTGTCTTCTGGATCGGTATCCTCTGTTGCTCAGAGCTTCCTCTTTTGGATGACTGGTAACTAACCTACCAGCCCAGCTATGACAAAGCCACAATGCTCGGCCATCCGTGTCCATCCATGCCGCGGCTCGACACGTCGGCCGTGGTATTTGCAACTGCAGAGCTGCCATTCGATGAATTGATAGGCAACATGGCATGGCCATTCAACCCGACTCTGGTGTTGCTCAGCAGCCATTGTATCTCACTGTGATTTCGCCACCAACTCAATATCCCAAAACTGTACCGTCTCCGTCCACGAAGAAATCGGGTCTCCGTGCGGTCTGGCAGCAACTGGGCAAGTCCTCCCCTCGCCAAAATCACACTCGGAACAGCCATGAACGCATGAAGTACCTAGTCTACACACGTGAACCAAAAATCCCCCACCATGGTCTCGTGTAGATCAAACCTCCTGTCGTTGTTCCTCACAGACGGTCCCATGATCTTAACCCTCAGCTCCGGCACAGTTATAAATCCACTTGCCACTCACTATCAGGGACGAGCTTGACACGACCAATTCGTCCCCCTTGCCTGCTTGGAATGGATGAGACGCACCGACTATTCCGTCGCGGTAGAACGTCCTTAAGCGCGCTTCGTCAAAGGCTTCCACAAAGCCGAGGTCAGGTCTGCCGGGCCTCTCATCCTGAATGACCAGCGTCGACGAAGATGCGGCGAATTCGAATCCCCCCGGGGGCTCTCGCCCATTTCACTTTCCCTGTGTTAGAATCTTATTCACAATCAGGGTTTCCGTCACGCAAAGTGGGCATGGTTGCTGTATAGGTCGCGTACATGCGGCAGATTTAGGCGACGACGGCGTGAGGGCTAACGCGAATCTTATCTGCGTATTTTCCCTGGATTTCACGAGCGAGGGGGGCTTTTGGCTGCCGTGGCTGCTGGGCCACGGCCGGGAAGTTGGCGCGTAAAGATTCCAGTCTGACGTAGAGCTGGATAGATATTGGAGGCCATTGTTTCCTGGGGATCTCGGCAGGTTAAGCCTTCCACGATGACAGCAATGCCAGCCGGTCCAATATCAAAGGTTAGGTGCTGCTGCCTTCGCCTTACATGCCGAGGGGCGCTTCGAGATGAGCATGGTCTATAGGCTTGACGACCAATTTCCACCCCGGTGATTGAGTTTGTTGCACCAGAGGGTGAATCGTTCGGCTCGGTATACTTATTGCCACTATATAGGTAAGCAGACTATCTAAAAAGATACGAATAATTGCAGTGCTTCGAACCGTTCGGCTGACTCGTCCGTATCAATGTGAGTGTGGCAGTCGCAGTCCTCTCCATTGTTATCTTCTACAGATATGTATCGGGCCGATGCGTATTGATAGAAAACATTGGAAGACGGGATACAGGTCGAGTTGGTATTGGTACGGGGAGGAGGCCCATAGCGTCTAGGGGTAGAGGGGTGGTTGGCACGAGTTATGTGAAGTAGGATTAATATACGCACTTTTGCAAAACATGTCCATGCCTGCCCTTGTTCTGCAGGCGAGCTAACGTCTAGTAAGAACAACTCCTCTGGGTGGCTTTTACTCAGTAAACAATAGCTTTAGAACAACAGGATACCATCTACAATACTTTTTACATCGTACCTCGACGGCCCCAGTGAAGCAGTCATGGGCTGCAGGATTTAATACGACGTTTTGCAAAAACTTTACGGCTACATTTCAAAATGAAAATGAAAAATAATACAATTTACATGCAAATATTTCGTAAATTTTCTAGAAGCAGTATGAATCAAAACTCGCGGCTGAATCAATCGAGTCGATGATGCATTGCTACCCTACACGCAAGACGTGCAGTTGCCTCCGCGGCTGCAATTGCATATTCTGTAGGGACAACACTTCATTTGCTACCCATTCCAAGTCAAATAAACAGGAAAAATTAAAATTAATTGGATTGACTTGGGTTTCTGGAGCCATTCCTAAACTAAGGCAGTCCTCGACACCACAGTACCCCCCCTGGCTTAAACTCTCATACCAGTCTGTGACTCTCTGCTTTGATACCTGCGGCCCTTAGCACGGCTGTTCTAATTTCTTTTGCTCACATCATCATGCCTTGCACTGCCCAGCGTGGCACGGCGTCTCGCACCTCCCGCGGAAATCCGGCCCAACAACCAAGCACTCGTCGCACCCACACAGCAAGTCCAACTGTTTCCCGTACTTCTGTCCAGGGTCCTCACAAAGGCAGATATACAAGGCAGAGTTGATGCTCGTGCTCGGCTTGCCGCTGTTGCAGACGGCGTTTTGGGTGGCGCAGTATGCCTCTGCGAGCTGCTTGGTGGTCCACGGCTTCTCTGTCCAACGCGTTAGTGATACAGTATTTCCCTGGGTACTATAGCCTTTGCACAGGCTGAGTTTGAGACTTGCTCATGGCCATGAGGACTGATGCGCAGTATGTATAGCCGCATTCGCAGTAGGTTCCATCGGGTGGCGTGGGCGCCGGCGTGGTGGACGAGTTGGGCGCGATGGACGTATCTGTGATACGGGGGGATGCGAGAGCAAGGGTGACGATGGAAATGAAAGGAACAGCCTTCATGTTGACGTTTTTTTATTGCTGATGACGTTTGGTATGAGTGAAGGGTTGTAGATGGTGTTCACCCTGGGTGTGGTGAATGAGAATGGAATGGGTCAGGAGAGACGACAGCAACGAGATGAGACCGAATACCTCTATATATATAAGTTGTATTCCTTCAAGTCAGAGCTTGTATCAGGCCTTTGACCGCGTTGTTTGCAGAGTTGTCTAGACTTGTTTGTGTAAGACTCTGTTGTTCCACATGGAGTTGTTGGCGGACAAGCAAGTTTGCAGACGGTGGATGGTGCCTCTCGGAGTCTCGGACCATTGCGAGTAGGGAAGACAAACCGGCATGTCTGGTAAGTTTATAATACGCCATGGCGAGAAAACTCAAGCGATTAGTGATGAGATCTTAGGACTAGAAGCAGTTTTCAGAGTCAAGCTAAGAATCGTTTCGGCAACATTGAATGTCACTGTTCTGTCCCCCACCACTTGCAGCTAGCCCGACGGCCGTCAACGGCTGTCAAACTGCCCCGCCAACTCGGTGTCAGTCCAGATCAAGTTACCCCTCCATGCACGCACTTTTCCAACTCTGCCGAGCACAAACGTCTCGGCTCCGACAGAAACCACCTCGAGGTCGGCCAAGGCGACAGCAACCGCAAAAGACCTGCAAACTGCGACAACACAAACCGACCGCCATGGCGCCATCGACAATCACCGTCGGCACGCGCAAGTCGCCCCTCGCCATGGCCCAAGCCGAGCTCGTCGTCGCCTCGCTCCAGTCCATCTTCCCCTCGTCGTCATTCCCCATCCACGGCATGACCACCACCGGCGACCGCGACCAGAACACGGCCCTCTACAACTTTGGCGGCAAGGGCCTCTGGACCACCCAGCTCGAGGAGAAGCTCGTCGCCCGCGAGCTCGACATTGTCGTCCACTCCCTCAAGGACATGCCCACCACCCTGCCGTCCGACTGCACCCTCGGCGCTGTTACCAAGCGAGAAGACCCGCGCGACGTCCTCGTCCTGAAAAAGGCCCTGCGCGACGCAAACGGTTACAAGACCCTCGCCGACCTGCCCGACGGCAGCGTCATCGGCACCAGCAGCATCCGCCGCATCGCCCAGCTGGCGCGGCGCTACCCGGCCCTCCGGTTCAAGGACGTGCGCGGCAACATCCAGACGAGGCTGAAGAAGCTCGACGAGGACCCGGAGCTGAGCGCCATCGTGCTGGCCGCCGCCGGGCTCCTGCGGATGGACCTCGGCGAGCACATCTCGCAGTACTTGGACGTGGACAATGGCGGCATCCTGCATGCCGTCGGACAGGGTGCGCTGGGCGTCGAGTGCCGCGCGGGCGACGAGCACGTGCTGCGGGCCCTGAAAGAGATTGAGCACAAGGACACGCTGCTGGCGTGCCTGGCCGAGAGGAGTCTGATGAGGGAGCTCGAGGGCGGGTGCAGCGTGCCGATTGGCGTCGAGACCAAGTGGGTGGATGGCAAGCTGAGGCTCAGGGCGACGGTTGTTTCCGTCACGGGCAAGGAGGGCGTCGACGCTGACGTCCTAGAGACCGTCACGTCGGAGGAGGAGGCCGAGGAGCTGGGCAAGATGGTGGCCAGGGACCTGGTGAGCAGGGGGGCCGACAAGATTCTCGATGCCATCAACAAGGCTCGCCCCGAAGAAAAGTGACGGTGACAAAGTGGCATGGTTTGGCAAGGCAAACAGGTCCAAAAGCGGAAAGAGTTTGCTAGCAGATTTGTCTTGCAAGCAATAAAGGAGTACGCTGCCAGAGATGCCGGCGTATTCGCTTACCAGATGGCACCAAGACTCAATTGTATGATACACAACACAATGTTGCAACGACAATGTTTGTTCATGCTTGTCAAATATCTCTTTTACCCAGTGCTAGGTTGAACTGCGTCCAAATGTTAAAAAAAAAACAAGACAACAAATGAGAGATTCCATGGAATCCCGTTGATTTCCCACGCATTTTATAGTAGAGTCAAAAAAACACGATTCGTCTATATATGCCCCTCGCCCCCAAAACAACATGTCCACACTGCACCTCCACTCGGCGACACATGTAGCTTTTACTCCGACGTGAAAGTCTTGTAGGCCTCGGCATCCATCAGCTCATCAAACTCCTTGGCACCATGCTCGTCGACCTCGACCTTGACAATCCAGCCGCCGCCATTGCTATCGTCCTCGGGGACCTGGTTGATGGTGGAGGGCTTCTCCTCCAGCAGCACATTGCCCTGGACGACCTTGCACTTGATGGGGGCGTTGATGTCGCTGGCCGACTTGACGGACTCGACGGCGCCAATGGCGTCACCGGCCTCGACAAAGTCGCCCGTGGTCTCCGGGAGCTCGACGTAGACAACGTCGCCGAGCTGGTCGGAGGCGTACTGGGAGATGCCAATGGTGGCGGATTTGCGGTCGGCGGAGAGGTCGACCCATTCGTGGTCCTTGGTGTACTTCTTGGCGAGGGCTGTGCGTGCGGCATTGTTAGCAAAAAAAAGGATTCTCTAATGGACAGGTTCATGATGCGGCGGAGAGCTTCTTTTGGTGTTTCCTTGTTCTTTTTCTCGTGCACTCTCTTTGTTTCTCCCCGTGTCTGTGGTGTTGGAACCTACCCATGCGAGAAGTCGTAAAGGTGCGGACAGCAGCGCGGGGAGCAAAGCGCATAACCGCGGGCCGGGCGACGGCGCGCAAAGAGTAGGCAATTGAAGCCATTGTGTCCGGGTTGGTGTCGGGGCGAGAGGATAATGGGTGGGTGTGAATGACAAGGAGAGATTTGTCTTGTTGGACGGTTGAAACTGCGCACAGGCAGGCCAGAGCAAGAAGGCTTTTTTTCTGAGGCCGGAGGAGGAAGAGGAAGGTTGAAGGACGTAGCCGACCTCCGGCGGCGTTGGTATGGGCGTCTGCGGCCCCGGGCTGTTGGAGCACTGAGTGGTCAGGCCAGAGCAGGTGAAGGATATTTCTTAGTCATCCTTGCATGTTGGTGCCAATTATTTGCGGTTCTGCGGCCGAAGCCGCCTGCGCACTAAATACCGGGTGCTTGGCTGCTAGGGAGGTATTACAGCAGCCTCTGGGCTCAAATTCAGCGCTTCAACGTGGCCAGGCCGATGCAAGCCTTGGGCCATCTGGAGCAGCCATCTGGACGGGTCGGTGTGGGGAAGAGACCAATCATGGCATTGGAAACATAATAGTTTGCTCTGGGCCTTGTCCTCTTGGGGATGGAGGTTACGGGCTGCGAGGGCCCTGTACGTAAAGAGAATTGGAGACGGGAGCCGTTTTCGAGACGAGGCACTCGGATCCAAGCGAATTGGCGGCATCGGACCGCGCTGCGCTGGTTTGCAGTGGCGTGATAGCCGCGACGGATTGGAGTAAGGGAGAGCCGGAGAAACAATTTCTCCTGCGCAGTTCGTTTCCCTAAGACTCCCCGAGGCCTGCAAGACCTTTCCCTGTCGCTGGTGGTGGTTATAAGTATTGTATCAGTTGACGTTTATGCGCATGACAACCCATTGTTTATCTGCCTTTGAGCAATCCAATGAATGGGCCGGCATCAAAAAAGTAAACAAAAGCCCAACGATGAATGCTCGGCTCCCTTGGGCACGGCTGCAGTGCGCCGCGGCGTCGCGGCATGCTACACTCGCTGCAGACAACGATTGATGGTGCCCGTGTCTTACAAGCTGCCACCAGCGGTCGACGTCACGTCAAGCACGTCAAGGTCACGTCGCAGCCCGTTCCGTTCAAGCAAGGCCCCAGGGCGCACAGCAGAGAACTGGCAGCAGTGGCAGCGGAACTCGAAGCACAATCTGTGTCTGGCGTGGGTTTTATCATCTCGAGCATCTGTTTTTTGGCCGCTTTTGAAATGGCGGCCGCACATGCCCCAGGCTGGCGCCAGCGTCCAATGTTGGGCGTTTTCCCGCCCCAACGCCCAATGGTTCCTGCCCATTCAATGTTCTGACTGGCTGCTGCTCACGTGCTGGCTGGGCGCTCACCATTCATCACTGCTCAGGCGTGGGCTCCCACTGATTCACGTTCCACTGGCTTCAATGTTCCACTAGCGGGCATCCAAAGCCCACAACCTCGCTCCAGATGTCCTGGCGTCCCTGGCGAAATGGCCTCTGTCCACAGTGCTGTCTGGTGCTGCTGACGTCTGGAGCATTGACACCAGACCAGACACGCCAGTTGCCGTCCATGTCGCATTTGATCCTGCCCCTTCCTGTTCCTGTCCCTGTCCCCGTTCCTGTCTGTGCCTGGTCGACTGGCTGGTCTTGCTTGCACTGCCTTCGCAACAACCTCTCTCGACTTCATTGTCAAGATTCAATTCCCATTCCCCTCCTGTCCGAACCCCTCATCTTTATTGCCAACCCCCGGCCGCATCTCGAGCCACCGCCATCACATCCGGAAATAAACTCACCATCTGCCTTGCCGACCACCTTCGACCCTGCCCTCACCCCGACGAGCCATTGTCGAGCCTCACCCTTGCGCTTGGCCTTGCCCGCTGGGCGTTGCGGTCTTGTGTGGTCTTGTCGTTGTCTGTGTGGTGTTTACCCGTCGATCTCTCCGCAGCAGCTGACATCCTGGCCACACCTTGAACCTTGATCCGTCGACCAGCTTGACTAGCAACTACGCCATTGTGTATTTGCATGTGTCCCACTAGCTGAAGTCAGACCGTGACGTCCATTTCCGCCTCTCCCTTTCTCACCCTCGTCCGACGCTCTGCATCTACGGTGCTTGCATCAAACCCGTCTCCCCATTCGACCCCTGGTATTAGACGGGCCGTTCATTCCATCGACACCCATATCCATCTGGGCATCTCAAGCTGGATTCTTCAACAGATCGTGTTGCGGCCGCCGCACCCCTCGAGCACGCGGCTTTGGTCGACGACATGGAAATGGACCACCAGGTGCCAGCGACACCTGTCCAGGGCCACGACGATACACTTGGCGGCATCGAAGGCTCTCCCCATATTGCTTCTAATAATGGCTTTCACCACCAGCACAACCCATCACTAGACCAGTCAACGCCCACCAGCCCGCGACAAGACGACGACCCCGCCCATCGATATACTCCTCCCGTCTCGGGGCCCTCACACTCACGGCCGGCCAGTGGCCTATCCAACCCGACACACCAGAATCACAGCGACTATAGGCAAGGGTCTAATGAGCCGCCAAACGGCCGAAACCATGTCGTGATCAAGGTTGGCATGGTTGGCGACGCCCAGATTGGCAAGACCTCCCTGATGGTCAAGTACGTAGAGGGCAGCTGGGACGAAGATTATATTCAGACCCTAGGTGTCAACTTTATGGAAAAGACCATTTCCATCAGGAACACAGAAATCACTTTTTCCATTTGGGATCTGGGTGGCCAGCGCGAGTTTGTCAATATGCTGCCGTTGGTGTGTAACGATGCCGTGGCTATCCTTTTCATGTTTGACTTGACAAGGAAGAGCACACTTAACAGCATCAAGGAGTGGTATCGGCAAGGCCGAGGATTTAATAAGACGGCAATTCCAATCTTGGTGGGCACAAAGTATGACCACTTTGTCAACTTTCCCATTCAAGACCAGGAGGAGATTTCCAATCAGGTAAGCTACATGCCAAGGGGAGAGCACCAGCCGCGACGCGACATGTTGAGACGGAAGCAAGACAGCACCTGACCCCATATAGGCGAGAAGATTTGCCAAGGCGATGAGAGCATCATTGATCTTTTCGAGTACCAGTCACAGCATCAATGTGCAAAAGGTATGACGTAACCCGACTGAGACTGGTTTCGTTTTTTCCTCCCTCGCAAATGCCATCTGACCTGGCCATCAGATTTTCAAGATTGTTCTATCAAAAGCGTTCGACTTGAAGTGTACGATCCCCGAAATCGAAAACGTCGGCGAACCTCTTCTGCTTTATCAGTCAGTCTGATTGTAAGCCCGTCGGGACATTACTTATTTGGATAATGCTCTGCCATGCACCGTTATTGGCACGAGTTACCGGCAGTGCAATTCCTTTGATGCTGGAAAATATTGGCGGCTATTAGTCGAGGCGAATTGGCCATTGCCATGACAGCTCCCTGCGAACTTGAGAAATGCTGCCTCCTTTTAGCTGTACGATTATTCGCTCCAAATCAGATGCGGTGCTGTGTTACTGCCGGGCGGAGAGGGAGAGGGAGAGCGTTGAGGTTTTTATCCGTGAATTGTAATCATACTAACTATTATTTTCCTTTGTCGTTTTTCTGCCCTTTCACAGGCGATGTGATTCTCCCACTGGCTATTCAATTTTACCTGGGGAGATGAAATACGGAAAAGCCGGAACAGCTCATACTGAAAGAGCATAAAAATACAGTTTATACGAAGATGGCAGCTGTCGAGAGGAATCCGTGGTCGAGCCTTGCAACATGTGCTGTTTGGATTTGGGCTGGCCCATGAGGTCAATGGCACGGGTGGTATATGTGGTAGATGGGGGGAAGACAAAAAGCAACAGGGGTAGGTATACTACATTATTCATTGACAATTAGACTCATATACAGTATAGCATGAGCAAAGCGGTGACTATTGCATTTTGTAAGTCGTGTACTAGTCCTTGCCGCATCGACTGCAGGGCCAAGCTGCATATGGTGAGTTATGAAACAAGACCTTGGTGGAAAGGTGGTGTTCGAGGCACATGATGCAGTGATGCATCTCCCTGGCAGGACGATGCCGCGTATGCTGTTTCACACTGATGCCGTCTCCTCCATGATGCCGATATGCGTCAAGACTTTGAACTGTACCAAGGACAGAACAAGCCGCGTGTGCACAAGATGCCCACTCCTCCGGACAATGCCATCACGCTTGACCGCATCCACCCGCACCACAATGCGCGTTTTCTCGGCGCCTCTGCCACCACATGCGTGCCTGTACAGTCGCCAGGTGCATAGGCACCAGACGTCCAGCCAACCGTCCGTGGTGCGGGCAGATGCGCTCGTCCAAAACCCGCGCAGCACAGGCAGCCAAACCCGTCAGACGTCACTAGATGTGAGTTGCCAGTAGAGATGCCCTGGGGCCCGAAAACATGGACTGCCGGATTCTTTCGCTGCCTGGCCCAATCTGATGTGTGTCCGCGGGGGGGTTCGCATCCCCGCATGCAAGATTTCCGATTCCGTGCCGGTGGCCCTGGCAAGCATTCCAGCCGCCCAGCCGCCCTGCCGCCGTGGTCGCTGTCGTCGTGGACAACACCAGGCGGCATTGCGCAGCTCGTCTGTGGCTTGGACGTGGACTTGACGCGGACTCGGCGTGGGCTCGACGTGGGCTCGACGTAGGCACCTTGGAGAGACCACTCGAGGCGAGGCGAGGCAGGCAGGCAGGCCTCCGGTCCCTCGAGGAACATGCACTGTAGCTGAGCCCACTTGGTGCTCGCCCGGGATAGCGCGGCGACGAGATGCATGGCGGCGGGGCGGGTTTGCGCTGGCGCAGGAACAGGAACCAGGACTTACGGTAGTAGGCATTAGCTGGCGGGAGCTGCATTGTCTGTAAGTGGGCGGTTCATTTCAACCGGCTACTTTTAGACTTTGGGCTAACGGACGGCGCCAAAATTACACCACGACGATGACGATGACGGGCGACAGAAATGTCTTCCACGAGGGGCATTCACAGATTGACGGGTATGCTCGACACAAAGGGCCAATTGGTCATAGCGTCTATTCTATTCTAGGCGCATCACATATTTCTGTCTGGGTGTATGTCCCTGATCTAACGAATCGATCAATCAATCTCCTTTGTATCTGTAGAATGCCAATATACCCATGTATAGCTGCCCGTGGGTTGGGGGGTCTAGAACGCCGTAAAACGCCATGCTGTCATGTACATGGCTCTCTGCTGGTCCATCAAAAACGTCCAGCAGCCTTGAAATAATTGCAGCAAAAAAAAAAAAAGGTGAAAGAGGGACAGTAAAATGCTACCCAAAAAAATCCCGAGCTTCGAGAGAAATGTATGTACAGAAGGGAAGAAAATGGTTGTCGCAAAGATGTTTCGGTCGACGGTATTATAAAGTAGGAGTGAATCGGGACGTAAAACGCCTAATCGCCGCCATGATGATGCAGTGCTTGCAAAATTGATCAACTGTCCGTACGTCTTGGCTCACGAGCGTGTCGTCTGGTCACCCCAAATAGGGGCACCGAGGGGCTTGCTGACACCGAACCCGACTGCGACGGCAATTCCAACGACCAGAACAATAATCAGGACTTTCATCATGATCCTGGTACGTCGGTTGAACCGTTGCATGAACGCACAGGTGCGGTTTTGCTTGCCCGCCTTGGCTCGCTGCTTCCAGTCGCGCTTATTGGGCCAGACCTGGCAGTCCTTCTTCCTGGTGAGAATAACGCTGGATCGTGGTTTGTCTAAGGAGCTGTTGGTTGCCATAGCTTCGACATCTGTTTCAAATGGGTTGCTGTTGTCGGATCGGGCAGTTGTGCCGCTCGAGGTTCTCTCCAGGGGGGAGACCCGGGTAGATGGTCCCTTGGCCGTCTTTTCGGGTACTGTCAGATTGGTATTGGTCATGGGATAGCTCTGCGGCTTTTCTTCGCGCGAGGCCATGGTCGCGGTTGAACGTGAGGAGTAGATGTTTACGGATGTTTTGCGGACGATGCCTTGGTCGACCCTAAGCTTGAAGTTAGAAAAGGGGGTGGCGGGCGGAGGCAAATGGATGCAGGAAGGGACGACCGATGGTATTTGTACAAGAGATGCTAATCCTTGTGGCGAGTGCAGACAAAAATCATGCGACGGCAAAAACATTAAAACATTACAGTAAAGGGAACGCACGAGGCAAACAAAAAAAGAAAACGTGAAACGTACCAAGCTTGATCGAGGTCGGGGACTTGCGTGGTGGATTCACCCTCAATATGCAGGATGATACCAGCGCCAAGGGCAGGCCGAGTACAATGCCGCTACTACTTGGGGATGCGGAATGTAGAGAGCGTACTCCGAAGATGTCGGATGAGATGTCAAGTTGAAAGGGTATCAGGAGATACTTGAGGGAAGGCCTGTGTCCCTCGCCAGTACCTCTTTCGCGTTGCCCTCCTGCAAGGCGAGCTGTCTTGGCACAACAGGTGTAGTTGACTTGACGGTTGAGTGCGTATCAGCCAAAGGTGAATCGAGTGGACTGATACGTCAAAGGTACTCCGTATTTTGTACGGAGCCCAATCTCTCGAACCCAGCCACCTGACGACAATTGGTGAGGTTCCGTGTGACACAGCGCCGTGGCATGAGCGGGGAAACAAACAGAATTATTTAATGTTGCCTTCTGCAGAATAGTTTGCCGGACAAAGAAATCTGGCGGAATGGAGAGTCGGCGAGCAGTTTGGATTAATGAAAATAGAAAAGGAAGAGAAAGGATCGACTGTGGTAGTCAATTGCGTTTGGAATGAAAACGGGAACGGCCAAGGTTTTGTGACTCTGGGGTCACACTGTGGCTGGAGCGGCACAGGTCAAGCGAGACTGGCGCTCAGCCAGTCCAGGGAGAATTGATAAGACCCGGATGTGGAACTAAGGAATAACAACGTGAGCGTGAGCGTGGGCCATTGGTCTTGGTCCTGGGTTTTAGGCCCTTGGTCATGGGCTTTGAAGATTTACCCGTGGGTAGCAGCAATGGCACCTGGCAACTTGGAGCATTGAATGATGTCTGGTACTGTGCTTGATAGTAGTTATTGACTGCCAGACAAGTCATACAGCTGGGCACAGCTGCCACCGTGCGTCTGTAAAGGGGACGATGAAAATGCAGACCTTTGAGGCAGGTGCGACTTCCTCTTTCGTTGAACTTCCTTTGTCCTCTGCCCTCTGCCCTCCGCCCTCTGCCGTCTGTTCTCTTAACCACCGCCATGCAAGCCCCTCTCGACCTCGAGACTCCGCACGCCTCATCAATCAACAACAGCCTCTTTGCATTTTGCCGGGCCTATTCCACAGGCTGTACGGAGTACGGAGTGGCGAGTACGATATGGACATGCAGGCTAGGCACGTCTGCGGCCTCGCCAGACAGCTGCCACATACGGGTCAACAGATCTTGAGCGCCGTCTCCCTACTTGCCAACCTTGCCTCCCACCCATGCAACTAGGCCATCCCATGTCGGCCAATCTGCACTTGGATCCAAGCCCGCTGGGTCCCTTTACCATTACGGGCACTAGCGGCCTCGGACACGCCAATTTAGCAGCAAACGAATACAACCTTGCCCTGGGCTCTGGGACACTACTCCAGACTTGAGATGAAGGAGCTTGGGACCGATCACCATCTCTAATGGCAGCGATGCCCACAACAAACAAATCCATTGTACTCCGTAGGCTACTCCAAAAGGGTTTCCAAAAGCCATCGCTTGCATCACCAGTTTCGACATGGTCGAGGGCTCCAACTCGAAGCACAGCCGCCAAATGGCCGCCTGTTCTCAACCAAGGCGTACCTGAGTCAAGAGCCCAGGCCTGGCGCAGGCTTTTGATGAAGCCTTGGCCGCACCACACCGCCAGCCCGGCAAGGGTTCTTTGAATCGTCAAGGATCGTCTGTGGGTTCAAGCAGACAACTGCTTCCATGGCGGGCACCTGTTTCCACGCGGCTTCCTGGCTTCACCATTTTTATTATGGCGCACAGTTTGGGGTATTGGCAAGGGATGGAATCGCCCAGATTAATACGCTCCCTCATCTCCTACCAGTCCATTCTTTAGCTTTTACCGAGCTCGTGTTTCAGAATTTGAACCCGTCATTTATGTACTCTACCATTCGCTGGCTCACTGTTGCGGCGTCAGACCCTGCGGACATTGTATTATTGTTGCAGCAGAATTCCCATGGTTGAGGTATCAGTGTCCACTCGAATTGGGGTCTGAAACGGAACAAGCCGCAATGCATGGCTTGTCATCTCTGCTCGTGGCTTTGGCCTTCGTGCGTTGCCGCTAGACCGGTGAACCAATACGTCAAGTAGCTTTCAGTCTACATGAAGCTGGCGTATCCCTCACGTGTCGCTGGGAAGGCATGGTGCCAACCTTTTTATGCGTCGCGAGTCGCACCAGGCAGTCGTATTCGCTACATTTACGATTCTTGCGAGGCATGGAGCCGAGTCTTTGCACTGTGTATGCAGCAGGGACGCCACCGAACACAGGCTGCTTGTGTGCATGCGAATATGGACGACGTGTGCTCGCCCATCTTCTATGCCTGTCCCTTTTATATTATATCATGTTTGAATCCGGTATTTGTATTACCACACAAAGTGGTGACCAATAGTTTGGTCGATAGTTGGCTTATCATCTATCGTAGTCGTTAAAGTTCGACTGGCCCGTCAGCGCAGTGATGCTGCTCTTAACATGAACACGGGCGTGTGCTGCGTTGCGATTGCGCACTCAGCAATCGCTGCACGTGCCTTGAAGCTTTGGACGTTAGGAGCTCTCGAATGTTTCATTGTGGCCGCCATATCATGTCCCATTTGTACTCCGTATTCGGAGCCACATGCACGGGCGAAGTGCCTTTGGCCTTGCAATCTTGTCTCGTCTCACAAGGGCATTTTTTAGCAGTCGCCGCATACACACCCTCGTCATTTGACTGCTTCCAAAACTTCTTGGCCTCATTTGACATTACTACCTGTCGTCCCATGCAAGTTGCCTCATGACCAAGAGAGCGAACCAAACCGGGCATGCAGACAAGGGCAACCGCCTCATGGCAGGACTGTGCCATTGAACCCATTGGCTGTTTCCGTAACTTGGTAGAAGTTTGGTGTCGATGAGACGGCGGCGGCGAAGGGGCCAAACTGAATGTGCTTACGTATCCGAGGAAGGAGCTGCTACTGCAATGTCAACTTCTGAATTCTGCAAGAAGATAATTAACTAAATAGGAAGCCGCCAGACTCATTCAAGGAACAAGACGGCGGCCTGGCTGCCAGCAATGCCTGCGACTGCGACCGCACTTTCTATTTCATCTTGGCATAGAGCCGTATGTCAGCTGTTCCTTCACTAACTTCAGAAATCATGGCTACTTCCCATCTTTGGCTCACATGTCAAGTCCCGTTTGTTTACGAGAAGCCTCAAGTGCTCCTCTTCATCTTCATCTCTCAACCAAAGGCATTCTTCCACGCTGCACTCTCTCGGCATTCTACTTGGGTCCCAGGCCACTTCTTCTTTCGCTGTATTTCTTTGTATATCTCATCATACACTTCCCGAAAAGTCACATCATCTGCGTACAGTTGAGCCGCAAACGCCATACACGCTGGCATTTTTTCGACTATGACTCGTTGATTCCATCTGACGTAGGGCTGGTATTCTCTAGATCCTGTCTCTATCAATTTGGCTAGCCCTGGTTTTAGCAGCATCGTCAATCTCCTCCTCCTTTCCAAGAGAACTCCCACCCTTTTGAAAGAATGGGTCAGAAGGCTGCTGTTGACTGTGGACGTCAATGGCGGTGGCGGGAGAATGAGGGCAAGGTCGCCATCAACACTATGTCGTGGCTTGCCACATCCATCTGGCCTTGTGGAAGCTACTCACGAACCTCACATCGTCTCAAGGCTGCCCTCTCCGGACAAGATGCCGAGAAAATGACAAATAGTTCTTGTTGCAGTGCCGACTGCGCTCAATTTGCTCTTTGTCTTCCATGTGAGTCTGATCTTCCACTTTCATCCCGGCAGTTATGCCGTACGGGTGTTTATTAACGGATGACAGTCTATGGATGCTTCTTATCCAAGCTCCAAACCACGGTCCGATCGTTTTATGGCATTGATGGCAATGAATGCTCGGATTGGTACGGTGCCTGTTTTTGTCCATGCCTAACGTTAGTTAGGAATGAGGAGGAAATCAAGCTCCGAGAGCAGCACAGGAGGGTCAAAGGACACCATCATCACGAAGTCTCTGTTATGAGAGATAGTGGTTATCACTCAGCCAATCCAATGACGTATCTGAGCCCAGATCATCCCAGGTCTGCACAAAGCAAGTTGTCGCCTGGAGGAGCAACCAAGGCAGGAGACGAGATGGTTCATCATGAAAAACAACCACATGACTTGTGCAGCGATAAAGTCACAGCTGCCAACACAGTTGGCTACCCACAAGTTCACTATTTAGACCAACACTGGTACTTGGTTCCCCTTGGCAAGGGCAATGATGGAGCCAAGAAGGAGGACAGCAAACCCCTCAAGTCTGCAATTGCAACGATAGTTGGCAAGCATTCGCTCGAGGATCATGAGTTGGTTGTCACGGGCAGTGTTCGCTCCGCCCACGACCTGAAATCAGATGCCAAAACTCACTACCGCGGTCACAGCTCTTCGCACCAGCTTCACCATGATGCCACTACTCCTACAAGCACTTCCAGCCGCGCATCCCCTCACCTGCTGTGCTGTGATCCTGTAGCCGAATCAAAGACAGCGGTTCGCCATGACTTGCATGCTCATCAACCTGTGCAGTCAAGCCAAGTTGATCACCACCATGTCCTCGATAAAGACGTGTTGGTTGGAACCGGAGGTTGTGCCGTGAACAAGCATGACATCCATTCTCATGAGGTGGTGAAATCTCGTGGGACAGAACCCCCTCACCAGTTGAAGGATGACGGTACAGTTGGATCAAGCTGCAAATCTTGGCCACATGCTATGGAAACAGATGATGTTGTTGCTACAGGCCATGCAGGGCATGCCAAACATGGCCTTGACTCACACAAGCCCGCAGCAGTTGCTGGCAAGAGAATGGCTTCGCACGAGCTCTGCAAGGATTGAAACACGAAGGGCGACGGCAGGTGCTGGTTCGTATGGTGTTATGAAAGGACACCAAGTATTTTTTAGTCTTGGAATAGCTTTATGGTAGTATCGTTAATTGTTAGTTCCAGAGTATACACCCAACATTAGGCTCCTGCGAAATGTGAGGTGACGTGCATATATCGGTCTGCTGTGACGATGTCGAATGATGAAAATCGGTGGAAGTGCTAAGGGAGCATTCAATAAGTTTGACCTGACGATATTGTGTTGATGGGGAGGACTTGGTGATGTTGAACTGTTTTATGCGTGCCGCTGAGCAACGATTGATGCCATGGACAAGCCGGGCAAGGCGGAAAGAAAGCTGAAGCCTCACATGAACTAAGGAACGTTGTTTAACCCCGCAGAGCATTCGCGTAGACAGCATCGACGACGAGCGAGCCAATGGACATGACAAGGCTTGGGCAATGTGCGACCTGGCTGACGAGCTTGGGACGGGCCTGGGCCAAGAGTTCGTAGACGGGCCAGGCAGCGTGACTCGATGTCTCGACGGGCAGCAAAATGTTGCATTGGTTTATTATTCCTGGAGCGGCGGCAGCAGAGGCTGTCGATTGGCATGGGTTCTGTTCGCTTGCCATTTATGAGATGTACTGTCTGGCGTCTATATGGTGTCAATCTGGTACATATTTGGGACTGGGCGCTAGTTGAGACTGGACGGGCCAACTGTCATTGAAAATGGGCGCGTGCTATTACATGTATTGTGAGGGGGTTTGCAGGCCGAGACACCAGCGGGCTGTGGTGCTTGGTCGCAGGCCCGTGATGAGGCAGCTGGTGCGGTGGAGGTGGCGATGTCGACGTGCTGTCTTTTGTTCATTTCTACTTTTGCGGCTGCCGACTGTCTGGGGGCCTGTTATCACGACCTGGCGGGTGGGTGGTGTAGGTGCAAGTTGGGTGCGACGTCGGGCATGGCCAGTCTGTTGGTGGGCGTCACGACGGGTTTGAGGCTAGGGCTTCGCGGAGGCGGCCTTGCGCGGAAGGGAGAAAGGATGGATGGTGGTGAAAAGGTCAAAAGGTGAAGTCAAGTTTGATGTTTGCCTGGGGATGGGTGCTGCCGTCGAGGGATCAGCTGCGATGGCGGCATCGGGGCAGGCATCGTGATGGGCTTGTGATGGTGTCAAGAGGCACGGGTGAAAAGAATAGGCATCGAGGTTCAAGGCAAGGCAGAATAGATAGCCCCGGCGAGAAATGCAAGTGGCGAGCTATGAGTAGCGTGTGGAATGGCAAACCAATGGGTCGAGGAAAAGCCTCCCTCTCAGACAGCCTAGTGAACTACTAGTACTAGGGAGTACGGAGCAGTACTCCGTCTAATAAGTAGATAGAAGTCGAGTCTTTGCGGTCGAGACGGGGCAACGAAAGGCAAAGACGCGGCGGCACGTTGGACACGCGAGGGAGACACGATGGGCATAAGAGGGCTTTTATACAAGTCGCGAGCTTTGCGGCACGGACGTTGGTGAGGCACAAATGATCGAGTATTGTGGGCGTAGCCGAGGGGACCCCTGTTGGTGGGCGGACAAGGCGGGCCAATGAGACGGCGGGATGAGAGAGATGGTTCAACACGTCGATGCAGGGGGTTGAGCTGGTTGAGATTGCGGTCGAGACGTGGTCGGCTGAGGGTGGGTCTGTCGAGCATACAGGCGCGTGGTGACACGAGAGATGCTACAATTCAGAGGAGAAGGATGTCCATCGAGGCCGATGGACAGATGTGCGTTGATTGTCTGATGATGCAGCTCGACTTTTGCGCAAGTCAAGCTACGTGTAGAGTTAGACACAGAATGCGGAGGAATATGATGGCCAATGTGACGAAGCTGGCTTCCCTCTTCTCCCGTCACCACACGGAGCCAAAGCCATGGCCAAAAAGCACGTCCTTGGAACGCGTCTCAAAGCCACCGGGCCCAGTGAGCTGCAGATTGCCGAGTTACAGGCCTCAATGGCCTCAATGGTCTCACGGTCGCGGGCCATGCGGGCTCTTCGCTCTTCTCCTCACCTCTTTTGCTTCAAATCGTGCAGTAGCCGTGTCAACGTCGTCCATCCGTCTCCTGTCTTTTGTTGGCATTGCTGCTCCTCGCGCTTGATCAAACCATCGTCTCCTCATCGTCCACGACTTGGATTCCATCGGCAGCACCTTGAATCTCCCTCCATTTCTCAGGCCGACGCTGGGCCAACGCTGCCAAGATCCAGTGCAGCTCAGCCCAATTCCTGATCCAATCCAGTCGCCCCCCTGGCCCTTCGGTCGACCTCAATTCTGACCCTAGCGCTGCAACGCTGCGACACTGCGCTCCTGGCACCGCCTTGTTATACTCGACCCTTCTCACCGTGGCAGTCGTCTTTGTGTCTTGCAGATCGTAGCGAACCAGGAGCCCTGTCCCGTCCCTCTTAATACTGCCGCGTCCCGCGTTTTCCACTTTATCCCACTTCCCTCCCTCTTTCCCACAGCACACCACTCGATTTCCCTGTCTTGGATGGGAACAACAAACAACAGCAACAGCAACAGCAACGATAACGATTACACGCAGGAATAGAACCGGAATTGTAATAGGAGCTGTATATTCATTCGATTGAGCACCAGGGAGCAAACTGACTACACTTACTTGACCTTGCCTACTCTCGACCACGCAGCCATTGTGCTTCCCTTTCAAGCATCTTGCCCCCATCACCTCATCAACCCAACTGCCATTGTGAGCTGGACAAGCTGCGACATGGCCACTATTTCTCGTCAGCCTTTTGCTCCACTCGACGGAGCTCGTTTGCAGGGCTTGACGAGCTTGAAGAACAGACAGAATGGTACGTCTCGCCATGGGGAAGAAGCCGCTGGAGGATCCTCGACAGCCTATACCAAACAATGGTGCTAATCTTTGTAGCAATTGCATCCCCTTCCAATACCAAACGCAAAGCCGAGCTCTTTGATGCCGATGATTTCGAAAATGTCGACCCTCTCGCCTCTGCTAAGCGCACCAAAGGCGCCTCGGGCACCCCAACCAAGGATATCCTGAAGAAGCCCATGTCATACGTTCTCACCAGAGCCGCCACCACACCTACTGCCCATGTTCGAGCCTTGGCCAGCCCTGTAAAGCCTTCTACGGCACCTCGGCGAGCCCTTCAGCCCAAGTCTCCCATTGCCAAGCTCAACACCAATGTCACCAAGTCTTCGCCTATTTCTGCCCCCGCTGGCCGTTCGCCAACTCGTGGAAAGAGATCGGGCATTCTTTCCAACCGACGACGCACCGCCGGCCCTTACACCCGCGTTGACCCCCCCTCATTCTCCCTCGACTCTGCTGCTCCCTTTTCACTCGACGCCGCTCTCAAGGGCACGATTCCCAGCTATGGTTCTCGTCCTCGCTCCAATGCTCTCTCACAGGGCAGTGCCCCGTCTCTCGGCGAGCCTGATATGAAGGCCAGCTGGTTCTTTGACATCCACGAGGACACTCCGGAGCAGGAGATGACCAACCTCCTTCAACACGGCACATGCGTCTTGGACATTTCATCCGATGAGGAGAGTGAGCAGAAGGCAAGGCGAGAAAATGCCGAAGGCCGTGACAAGGAGAACATCCCTCCTGTTGATGATGTATCTCAAACATCTGCACGGCGTGCTCGCGCTCTTGCTGCCGATGACATGATTGTCGAGAAGGAGCGGATCGCACTCGGCGAGATGAACACGGCCGACTTTTACGCCGACGGGTGTGACAAGTCGTCTGTTATTATTGTGCCTGCAGATGATGAAGAGCAGGAACAGAGTGCAGACGAGGCACACACCGGGCAAGACTTTGCCTTTGCCCCAGAACTAGTGAAAACCAGCTCTCCCAGCAAGGATATTGAGGAGCTAATGGCCAAGTCTGAGTCACCTTCGAAAGCAGCTGTTCTGCGGCCCATTGAAGGCACTGGCGAAAGTTTTGATCTGTGGGAGAGCGGGAGCGCACAGGATGAAACAGAGCTCTCATGACACGTTTTTTGTTATGCTTATGAGTAGACGATGATTGGGCTTTGGCTTTATTGCGGCGTATTTTTGTGTCGGTTTCGTTTTTTTTGGGTTTTGGGCTTAGGTTTGTGTCTGGGCTGGTTATTCGGTAGCAATTGGTGTTTGGCGTTTTCATCATCGGTGTCTGAGCGGTGACCCGGAGTAGTGGGTATTGCGGTGCCTGCCTTGTTAATCAGTGCGATAATTTGAATTGTTTTGGTCCGAATCAGTGCTTGACAAAGGTGCGAGGTGCATGAATTCCATTTGCGCAAAGTGAATCGACTCGACATCAATGTGTCCACCGCATGCGGCTACACGCCTAGGTGAGACTGACTGACAGCCTTCCCCACCACCTCCCACCCACTCTCCTCCATCCCTCGACGCCACCAAGTTCCGCCATCAACCTCATGTGCCACGACTCGCACTTGGACAGCGGCTGCTCAACATGGCATCTATCAGCGATCTTGCCACCGCGGCAATGGCCTCAGATACACCGTCTAATGTGAAGCGCGGCGCGTTCATCGTGCTAGAGGGCTTGGACCGCAGCGGCAAGACGACGCAGGTGAAGCTTTTGGAGCAGCGGTTCGTCGAGGAGGGGAAGAAGGTCAGGGTGATGAGGTTTCCTGGTACGCGTCCCCCCCCCCTCTCTTTTGCCTTTCATTCTTTCCATCTTTTTTCTTTATTTGGCATATAGCTCTCATGGATCTATTCGTCGTGCTTGCGTCATGGTGTTTTGCCTCGCGACGAGAGTGACGGGCGTGTGCTAACCGTCTGTAGATAGGACGACGCCAATCGGCCAGATGATTGATGCGTATTTGAAGAGCGATGTGCAGATGGAGGACCACGTTATTCATTTGCTATTTAGTGCAAATCGCTGGGAGGCAGTGTGAGTGAAAAAAAAAAAACCCAACCCGCGCGTTGGCGAGCCATGATGAATACTCGAAGCGCGGGCTTATCCGGGCTTTGCTTCACAAGAGCGTGCATGAATGATGGTGTTTGTGGTTGATTTATACGTGGGACGTTTCAGCTGCTGACTTTTGACCCAGGGACCAGATCAAGTCCCTCCTTGCGGCGGGCACAACCGTGATATCGGACCGCTTCTATCACTCCGGCATCGTGTACTCTGCCGCCAAGCTGAACCCTTCGCTCCCGCTGTCGTGGGCGCGCGCACCGGAGCGCGGGCTGCCGCGGCCGGACGTAGTTCTGTTCCTGGATCTGGACGAGGAGACGGCCAGGGCCCGCGGCGGCTGGGGCGGCGAGCTCTACGAGAAGGCTGAGATGCAGAAGAGGGTGCGGGAGCTGTTCTGGGGTCTGAGCATGGGCGGCAAGGACATCCAGGGACAGGAGATGCTGGCCGGGCTGGGGGGGCTGGAGGGCGCGCAGTGGAGGCAGGAGGAGGAGGACCTGGTGGTGGTTGATGCGGGAGGGAGCGTGGAGGAGGTGGCGGACAGGATTTGGGGCACGGTGGAGGGGAGAGTTGCGCAGGTTGAGAGGGGGGAGGTGGGCAGGACGGTGAGGATTGTGCAGTAGTCGGGTGGTGAAGTTGATGTATTTGAGGCGCAATGGTGGTCGGCTAGGGTTTGGGTCGGGGTGTCGGAATCGACGGATGGGCTGAAGTCGTGTGGAAATACAGGGCGCTGAAGATAGTCGGGCATGCCTCATGGTGCAACAGTTACGGGCATTTACCGCTTCACGCTCTTGGTCGGAGTTTATATGTCTTTGGTCGTTTTATTTATAGTTCAACGCAAGAGCCTGCGAACCCGCCGACGCCTACGGCAATCCCAGACTACATGGTACAGGAATCGCCTCTTGACACTTGAAACAGTGTGTAAAATTAGGAGTTGATGTGTGTTGATCAATACGTATTTCTGCCTGTTGGGTTTATTCTGTGCCTGGTCGTGGGTAATCAAGGGAGTCGGTACAGAGTAGTACCTGTGAGGCTGTGAACAAGAGAGGGCAGTCTGGCGTTTATTTAGAATCAAGACTTGGGTATATTGTATATATATATATGTGTGTGTGTGTGTGTGTTGTATCATGAATTGGTGTCACAAGCAGCGGAACACATCTAAGAAGCGGGATATCCTCCATGGACTTCATCCTGCCCATGTGCATGGGGGGTTTCGATTAACGTGCGGCATGACGTCACGGTGCTGCGAGCTTAAAATAAAAATACTACAACGGTATTTACCGTGGCGGCGGGACAGCATGGCACAGGAGAGAAATAAAAAACGACAGGAAGAGAGCACTACAGAAGACGAGACTGCGGCTTAATTGAGAATGACTACTTTTATTCAATGCTGGTACTTGATCTTCATCGCGGCGGACGTGGCAGCAACGGCGGAAGCCATCCGACGATGACTCGCCGCATCAAGACGTCTGCAACGCCAAGCCGGCTCCGTCCACCGCAATCGGCATTCGGCATGTTGGACAAAAGCTGCGGGACACACACGCACAAAAAAAACACAAAGCTCCACAGGAATTCCCAACGACCAGACGTCTGAGTCACCTCGACGATTCCCATTCTCACTGCACTACATACACAACTCCCCCTCAGTAGCGGTGATAGCATTGGAAAAACCCGCACGCGCCCGCCATGCCCAACGACAACGACTACATCCTCACGCTCTCGTGCCCCGACAAGCCGGGCATCGTCCACGCCGTGACGGCCGTCTTCGCCGGCCACGGGCACAACGTGCTCGACCTCCAGCAGTTCAGCGACCCCGCGTCGCGGCGCTTCTTCATGCGCGTGCACTTTGGGCCCAAGGCCGGCGCCGTCACGGCCGAGCACCTCGCGCGGCCGTTTGACGAGCTGGCCGCCGCGTACGAGATGGCCTACGACATCCGCCCCGTGGCGCAGAAGATGAAGGTGCTCATCATGGTGTCCAAGATTGGGCACTGCCTCAACGACCTGCTGTTTCGCATGAAGACGGGGCAGCTGAAGATGGAGGTGCCCGTCATCGTCTCCAACCACGCCGACTACGAGCCCCTCGCCGCCTCGTACGGCATCGAGTTCCACCACCTCCCCGTCACAAAGGACACCAAGGCGCAGCAGGAGGCGCGGGTGCTCGACCTCGTGAGGCGGCACGGCATCGAGCTCGTCGTGCTCGCGCGCTACATGCAGGTGCTCTCGCCGACGCTCTGCGAGGCCATGTCGGGTCGCATCATCAACATCCACCACAGCTTCCTGCCGTCCTTCAAGGGCGCCAAGCCGTACCACCAGGCGTACGAGCGCGGCGTCAAGATCATCGGCGCCACGGCGCACTTTGTCACGGCCGACCTGGACGAGGGCCCCATCATTGAGCAGCGCGTCGCGCGCGTCGACCACAGCATGGGGCCGCAGGAGCTGGTGGAGGAGGGGTCCAATGTCGAGAGCCAGGTGCTGGCCGCGGCGGTGCGGTGGTACGCGGACCGGAGGGTGTTTCTGAACGGCTCCAAGACGGTGGTGTTTGGGTGATGGCTGGCTCGCGGGGGGCTTGGAAATGGTTGTGCGTTTGTTTGTTGGGGCTAGATGGGGTATTTGGATATCACGGCATGTTTTGGTGAATTGCGGGCAAAATAGAGTGTTGGTTGGGTACTTAAGGCATGCTATGGGTGAGTGCATCGACGGACATGATTCTGTATATAAACAGATATAAACAGGGCTGAAGACAACGGATTGGCCATGTCTACTGCACGTGGACGTGTGGTTGTGATAGACGAGTCCGCGGCATCCGGTTCACGCATCACACCCGTTCACGATGGACTACTCGGTAAACACAGGGAAAACCAAGGACGGTGTGGCGTCTTTTTATTTCGTATCCGATCAATAGCATGACTCCAGTTTCACAATCGACTAGTATACAGGGAAAACCAAGGACGGTGTGGCGTCTTTTTATTTCATATCCGATCAATAGCATAACTCCAGCTTCACAATCGACTAGTATACATGGAAAAACCAACGCGGTGCAGTACTCTTTAATCCAATCATGTACACAGGGGCTCAACCCCTCTTCTTTAAAACGCGCTCCCGCGCGACGAACCAAAGACTGACAGCCAGGCCCAGGCCAGCCAGGCCAACACCCATATATAGAGCCCCTCGGAACCCCCTCATCAGGTCGTCGGGCGTGTCCCCGTGTCCGTGAAGCTGCACCTCGACGGTGCCAGCGAAGCCGACGCCCAAGGCGATGCCGTAGTTGACGACGGTGTTGACGAGGCTCGCGCCGACGCCCTGGTGGCGCTTGGGGACGGCGTCGGACAGGATCAGGGTGGCGGCCGGGAAGCTCATGTCCATGCCAAAGGGCATGACGAGCATGGACACAAAGGTCTGGCCCCAGTAGGACTGGTCGGCCGGGGTGGAGGCGGTCAGGACGGAGCCGAGGGTGAAGGCGAGCAGGGCCATGGCCATGACATAGGGCGGCCGGACCTGCAGCGGCCCCAGCAGCTTGCCGGTGACGACGGCGGCGCAGATGCCCAAGAAGACGACGGGGAGGAACCAGGCCGTGGTGAGCAGCGGCGACAGGCCGCGCACGTCCTGCAGCACCTGCACCAGGTACAGCGTCCAGACGCCAAACGAGGCCCAGCCGCAGGCGACGGCGGCCAGCACAAAGGCCACGTCGGCGTTGACGGCGTCAAAGGGCACCAGCGGCTTGCTGCTGACGCGGAACTCGACGACGGCAAAGGCGCCCAGCAGCAGCAGCCCGAGCACCAGCGGCACGAGGATGGTGGGCGTGGCCCAGCCGCTGATGGGCGCCTGGGTCCAGGCAAAGTTGAAGAGCACGAGGGCGACGACGCCGAGCAGCGCGCCCCCGAGGTCCAGCGTCTCGGCCCAGCCCCGCCAGGTGCGCGGCGCCTCCTCGCGCGGCGGCATGTCGGGGATGGCGGCGAACCCGGCGACGGTCAGAATCGCCAGCCAGGCGGCCATGGCCCACAGCGCCCACGGCCACCAGGTCAGCGCCAGCAGCGACGCGCACAGGCCGCCCACCACGCCGCCGACGGGGGCCACGGCGCCGAAGCACGCAAAGACCATGGCCTTGCGGTGGCCCGGCGGGTAGGCGGCGCCCAGGATGGCCAGCGCGTTGGGCAGGCACACGGCCGGGCCGATGCCCTGCAGCACCCGGCTGAGCACCGCCAGCGTGTAGCTGCTGTAGACGCTGAGCCCGGCCACCAGCGACCACAGCGAGAACCAGGCCAGGCCCGCCAGCAGCACGCGCTTGTAGCCGAAGACGTCGCCGAGCCGCCCGGAGAAGAGGATGAAGGTGCCCACCGTCAGCGAGTAGCCGCCCACGAGCCACGCCAGCCGCGGCGGCGACGACACCCCGAAGCTGTCGCCGATGGTGCGCAGGAGCACCAGCGTGCCCATAAAGGCCGCCTCTGCCGCGTGTTAGCCGTCTGCTTGCGTGCCTATATGTAGGTATACACGGGGGAACCTACGCGTGCAAAACTGCGCCATGCACACGACGGCCACAAACACGGCCTCGCGTACGCCAGAGAGCGACTCCGACACCCAGAGGGACTCGGCCGTCGACAGCCGATCCGGCCGCAGCCTAAAGACATCGTCGTCCGGGCCCAGGCTCCTGTCGTCAAGGGACTTGTCGTCGATCGTCGTCGTCGAGCTCATGATGGGAATGTGTCAGTGAGACAGCAGAGGCGGCAGCGTGGGCTTGGGCGTGCAGCACATGCACGGAAGACGGGATGGTGTTCGAGAAGCGAAAAATCGGCAGTGCCAGATGTACATATATGCGTCCACGGGACGGGGGCATGATCGCCAGGGGGGGAGGTACCCCGATTCGCGGATCTCCTCGTATCGCCGCCCGCCCCCGCTCTTGTTTCGGCTGCTTGTTGGAGGTTTTGGCTAAACGATCAAATGGACGCGGAGAACCTGGCGGGGGATCCGTTCCGTCGCTGGGTGCCGTTGAAGCCTTTTTGGCTCGTGGTCCTCGGGGCTCCTCGTTCACAAGCATGTACCTACACCTACATACCTAGGTATGTAAGAATTGAGTGTTTGGCGGCCAGAGATTACCAATCGCGCGGATGGCGTGAGAAATGGACAAGTCGGCATCCCACTCCCGGTTGCTATCAATCGGTGGGTGCGGCGGTGCTTGGCGTCGGCGCGGGCGAATCGGGGGTCGCGGCGCCAGGGGCCGGCGCAACTCGACGGCGGGGAGGACGGAATAGGCTGGAACTTTTTAAATTAGCGGACGGCACTTGCCCGCCCTTGCATGGACTGCGAAGCTGGCTCGGCGCTAGTTGACGTTTGACGAAGACTCCATGTGGGTACATGTCGACGTGCGGAGTATCTTGTGGGATAACGTCAACGTGTTGGTGCAATGATGTTTTGCAGCGTTCACTGAGAGGTGTGAAGATACGGAGCAATGTCTGTGAATACAATGCATGCAAGTGCAATGTGGCCGTCCTAGACTCTTTACCTGCCGAACGCCACTCAGCCTTACCGGCCTGAACACGCCCAAAACTCGATGCAACCCATGCGTCTTGGGGTGCGTCTGCAGGAGCAGGGGAGTTGCCGGTGGGCTGGAGTCTGCGTCGCGCGCATCTCGGACGTGCTCGATGATGGGTTGCACTGCCTCGGACGACGTGAATAGCTTCTGAACAGAGCCATTGTAGTGTTTGGTCGTCGTTTGTTGAAATGTCAATGTTACGAAGCCGACTTCGAGGCGCCCGTGTCCTGGCAAGGTAGAGTCATTGACACGCCTTGCGCTGCACTCACATGGGATGAACCTCGAGCAGTCAAGGTTTCGTTTCTCTTTATTTTCTTTCAACTTTCTGTCCGGATGCTCGAGCAAGCGCTGCATCAGGCAGCGCTTAGTGCATTCAACACCGTGTGCCTGGTCGTAGCTGCACCCGAGGACTGACATATCACAAATTTGACATCGTGCCATCCATGCATCTCTTTGTTATTGTCGACATTGTCATTCACCGAGCACACCATCGTTGAGGCTGTAATTGTTCCGTGAAACCGTAAAAAAATCGCTGCATCGTGCATTACATGCGTATCCGGTCTGTTCGCATGCTACGCACTGGACATCTCTTTGCTTTGTGCTCCAACACATGCACCTTCACCAAGGCTGGTGTGAACCCCCAAGACTCGATTGTTTCCTGCGTCTTTGTATCTTTTTTTAACTTCTGTCAGCACGGGCCGTCAGATGACGGGAGAATTTCTGCCACAAGGCCCCCTTCACACATGTCACACTGTCTTTGTCCGCGCCCTCTTTCAACATCTGTTCTGTACATTACATGTCCACGGTACGCTGCGTCATTCATTGCATCTGTCGACGCAGCTTATTATTGTTAAAGGTTCTTGCTCCGGTTCAGATACGGTTCGGCTGCCATGTGTCTGATGCTGACCATCACAGTGCGTTTGTTACCGGTCATCATGACGAGGCCCAACAAGGGAACATGACCGGTTGTCACAGCTGTCTCATGACCCTTGGTGTCCTGCAAGGAGGGCGCTCGTGGATTCGACGACATGAACAGACTCTGGATAACCGACGCCCAGCCTCACTCCATCGACTAGCAACGGCAGCAGCCAACCCCCGTGAAGATGACGGCAGGCGGTCCAACTCGTAGCTTGTTGAGTGAACCGATATGCGCAGACGCCAGCGTAGTTCAGACTGTTTTTAAGAGCAGTATGATGACCACGCAGGGCCAACGACCACATCCAACAAGTATAAAAGGCTGGGAATCCTCCCCCTTTTCCATGTGGTCTCCAGGCAATCTCGTCAGCACCTTCAAGCCACCAAACGGCAGCTAGTCCGCAAAATCTTGCTACTTTGCCTCTACATCCACTCGAAATTCTCCTCCTCTTCCTCTCTATACCTACTCGGCAATCTTATCTCAGAACCAACATCTTGGAGCCATCAAGCGACCACGTTATTCGATAACGTCTTCTGACTTTGCCTCCTCACCCGCTTAACGACAAAACGAACTGCACTCGGACTTTTACTTTTACCGCGCACACACGGACAAGAAAAGTGTTGCAGATATTCCAGACCATTTCAAAAATGGCCTCGAGGTTCGCGCTACACCCAAGCATGCCAGTCGATGTGTACCTCCGGGACCACGAGACCCCCGAAAACTACTACCGACACAGCATATGGAGCATTTGGCTTGCAAACCCAGTCGACCTCTACCCAACTCGTGGTAACACCTACGGGGTGTATTTCCGGCGCGGCGAAGTAGTAAGACCACTTCGTTGCGCTGAGAACAGCCCGGATCAACCACATTGCAGGGCGATGGTAAAGTTGGGCAGAATTGGTGCACGACAGGCGGAAACATTTAGACGGGAATTTCTTCGTTTCACAAACTACGACCAGGCCGAGTCCGTCGATGACTTCATGGTGTACGCTTGGGTGTGGCTCCATGCGCAGCGGGTTTTGTCTCGTGCAGAATACCTACATGGATGGCTCGTGATGAGGGGATGCCAACTGAGAGACACGGACCCGGAAGACCATTTTCATGAGATGGTTGAACAGTGTGGCGGAATAATTTTTAACGACCACTCTACAGAGGTTTGGAATGACGGACAGGAAACAACAGTGTTTCATCAGTAAACACGGTACCAAGCCATGGTATCAAACATCAGATAGTTGAGAAGGGGTTTTTTACCCAGCCACCACCTTGCCAGCTGGCTTGGTGGCTTGGTATGGTTTTTTCTCCCCTTGACGTCTTGAAGGAGGAAATGCTAGCTACATGGGAGTTATGAATGAATCGACTACCTTATACTCGTCTTGCTTTATTTTTTACCTGCTATATGTTTGCTGTGAACTGTTATAGTGCGTCTCTTACTACTAACCATCGCAAGGCTTAATAAGAAAAAAGAATCAATCTCAAAGCTACATGATGACTGATAGCAAGAAGGCTACTTAAACACTCTGATTCACGATGTAAATTTACTCAAGATAGAGAACATCTAGCCTCGTTGTGTTAATAATAAATTAAATTTTGAGCTGTGTCGCTCATTACGGAAGTGAAATTACAAGCATGATACGAGTCTAGCCTCGTTGTGTACATAAGCAATAGCAGTGACAATCACTTGTAAAAAGAACACAGCCCTCTTGGATGAGGTGAAACTAACAGATTGTATTCATTGTTTAGGTGCGTTTTACTATCTTCTGACACATCGAGATGCGTTCATAGTGCACAGCATGGGATATTACGGTTCACTGCGTTGGGTGCGGCCAGGCACATTGGGCTACTTTCACTGGAACCTGCCTGACATGCTGCCTGCATGGGCGTTTAGATAATTCACATCAGATGAACGACTCGATGAACACGACGGAGGGGTGTGAATCTCTGATGAGAGGTCACTTATCACAAAGGGATGGGTCCAAATTTAGACTCACCGTTTGCTCAGTGAACCTCGAGGGGGCGGCGCGCTGACGTCCAGAGCGTGTTCAGGAGCAGTATCATGAACATGCCGCCTCATCTACGCACCAACATGCAGAGTATGTTCAAGAGCAGTATGAGGACCAAGCAGGGTCCCTCGCCCAGGCAAAAAAGTATAAAAGGCGTAGGATCTTCCCGTCTTGTCCTTCTTTCTGGCCACCATCCAACCTCGTCTCGACATTCTCGAACCACAAAACAAGCAAGTTTTTTTTTGCAACACCACACCTTACTCTGCCTCTATACCTACCCACTCGGAAACAATACGGAACCAAAGTCAAGATTCTTCTTGACCACCTACGCCCCAAGAAAGAACAAGAGCCCCCCTGTCGCTACCCCAGATCGTTGCAAAATGAGCGCCGCCGAAGCCTCGACTTCTCAACAGACCGAGACCGGGGGCGAAAAGCAATACGATGTTTGCCTTCAATATATCGTTGATGGCACGTATCTGTTCGGAGTTATAAAAAAGGACGCTTGCGTATACGCAAAGTCATGTGTTGTCTTCGGACCGGCTTTTAAAAAGTCAGGCGAGACTTCCGAGATAGATTACCCCCTGCGGATGGTTGAGAACTGCGAAAATCGACCGCCCTCCAAGGCATGCATCAAGATCTGCAACATCGGCACAGATGAGCTGCACAAGTTTGTTCCTGCGATTGTCACATTCAACTCGGAGGTTGAACCATTCCGCACGCACGAAGACCAAAGCCCTGGAAATTTCATGCGACACGCATGGCGGCAAGCTCGGTTGAACGGGGCTCTCAACAAAGCCCAGTACGACGCTGGGTGCGAGGTTTTTCGTCTGTGCAATCTGAAGGTTGATGATCAGAGCTGGCCCGACGAGGAGATTGGGCGGGTCCGCGAGCTCGTTATGCGCAAGGGGGGAGTGTGGTACGAGATTGATCAAAACGGCCGGTCGGAGCCAAGGATGTTCTTGAACGGACACCAACTCGAGCTAGATCGGTATACCGGGAAGCTACATGATGTAACCAGACGAACCAGAAGAATCAGACACGCCGGACGTCGAGGATAAAACACCAGAGAGTTGAGAGGGGTTTTTTTCCAACTAAGCAACTACCTCGCCGGCTGGCTTGGTAACTTGGTACCAGACGGTTTTCCCCTCTCTATGTCGGCCGTGTTGCGGGAGGATATACTGGCTACATGTATGGGGAGCTTTTGACAAATTGAAGACCTTGTGCTCGCATTGCTTCATCATCTTTTCAACTGTCATGTCTGTGAATGTTTGTTGTGCCACATCCCATGCTAGTCCCACTATCAACGAAGAAATCATGACATTCTCGTAAAACAGACGAGGCTAGAGTGTTACTCTTGAGTAAGCAGGTGCTGGTTTGGGCACCATACAAGTCATCTCCATCCGAGGACCAGTGCTGGAGCAGGGAGTCAATGTAATTGCTCCACGCCGGCTGCCCTAGTCGGTTGCAAGACCGAGAGTTGCCACTACACATGTAGGCTTTTATTCAATTTATCTCGTCATTGAGACCCTTCTACAACAATCTCACGCGGCCTCGGGGCCTTTCCCACTGAGACCTCAAGGCGGCAAGATTCATCACCCACGGCCTACTGAAAGTCAACTTCCTTCTCCAAAAGAACGTCTACTTTTATTAGTGTAGAATGCTTATGCTGTACCACCGCCAAATTGTATAGACAGATTCTTCCCCCATTCTACAGTTGATCCTACTTCTGTAATTCTAGGTGTCGCACCCAGTCATTCTCTTCTCGAATACCTCATGGCAACAGTCTCTTCGGCGTGCGAGGATAATACGCCGCGAGGTGGACGCTTGGCAGTCCCAGAATCCAAGCAACCACGCGATCAAGACCAATGCCACCTCCGCCATGCGGCGGCACACCAACCTGTTGAAACATCGCCAAGTACTCCTTGATGCCGCCACTTTTCGGGTCCACACCCTTGGAGCGGATACGGGCCTCGAGCTCGACCGGGTCATGAATACGTTGGCCGCCCGAGAGCACCTCCTGCCCACGCAGGAACATATCATAGGCATTTGTAACGCGGACACCGTCTCCTACCGTGGTACCGGCGTCGTCAAGCTTGGCGTAAAATGGCCGCGCCGTCTCGGGGAACTTATCAATGACGAAAAAGTCCGTCTTGTACTTGGCGCGGACGACTTGGCCAAGGGCCTTCTCTTGGGGGGTGCTCATATCTTCGTCGTCGCGTACATTTGCAAACTCCGGGGGCCCTTCCTCTCGTAAAAGCTTTTGCGCTTCGGCAAAGGTCAAGCGGACTTCTTTGCCTGGCTCGGGAAGGAGGAGCGGCTCTGAATGGTAAACGGCTCGGACTGTCTCAATTTCGTTTGCACATCGCTCTATTGGCGGCAAAACTGGTTAGAACATGTACGCAAACTAGTATATCTGACAGAATCTCGGCAACTACCATGTGGACGAGTACTGACCTTGGATTCCGCGGAAGATGGACAACAGCACACCCTCCAGTATGGAAATAACTTCGGTGTAAGATTCCTTGATTTCCATCTCAAGATCAAGCCCTGTAAACTCGGTCATGTGCCTCGGCGTGTTGGAGTTTTCGGCCCTGAAAACGGGGCCTATGCTGAACACCCGCTCCCTGCCGCCTGCAATCTCGAACTGTTTGTAGAATTGGGGTGATTGGGCCAGAAAGGCCTCCTCGCCGAAATACGCGAGTCGAAAGACGTTTCCACCGCCCTCAGACGCCGCGCCGATGAGGCAGGGCGGTTCGAATTCCTTGAAGCCGCGGGAGTCGAGGTATGAGCGAAAGAGTCTCTTCACTTCGATGCGGATATCCTGTGCCGTGTTAATGAGTACCCAGATCATAGCCCGTCACCGGAACAACGTACCGCAATGGCCTGCTGAACAGGAGCGCGCTTGTGCATGGCAATGTTGTCGAGATGAGTGAGCATGCTTGCGGCTGGCGCGGTATGCTCGGAAGCGGCCTCGGCGGCCTTCCCGGCGTCAACATCTCCCGCTTGGTCAGTCTCGTCGCTGAAATTGACAATGGGTTGGCTGGCGGTGCCTATGGTCATGCCGAGTACGGCGGGAGCTGGCGCGAGCACGAAGCACTTTGTGATGTGAAGCTCGAATCCCGAGACGCGGCAGCTCTTGACGGGCTCGAGAGGTTTCTTCACCTTGGCTTCAACCGCTACGAAGCTCTCGGGGTTGATGCTAGCTACCCATTTAACCATGCGACGGCTGACAAGGGGTTCCTCGTCAGAGGCCATAATGACGCCCTGGATGTCCCAGTTGCCCCCTTTGCGGAGCTCAACAAAGCCCATCTTGGCACTCTGTACGCGGGACTTTTGAAGCCATGCGCGCACAATGACCGTCTTTTCATTGTGTGTTTCGTCAATGGAGCGTATTTCGACTTCTTGGGCGTGCTGGCTGAAGGCTGAGGTCGTGGTCTGCTTGTTCCCGTAGTTGTCCTTGGCGGGGTCGTCCTCGAGATTGACGGCGGCGGCAGCGGCGGCGAGTTCTGCAGCACGCTGGGCTTTCAAGGCCTCCTTCTTAGCCTTGGCCTCGGCCTTTTTCGCGCCCTTCTTTGACGTCGGAGCGCTCGACTCTTCCATGATGCTCGTCTTTGTCGTAATTGGTGATTGTCCTCTACACGAAAAAAAAAGTCATACGGTTGAGGGGCAGTGGAGGGGTAACGAGGGGCAGACATGGAGTCATACTGCCACGTGACACTTTGCTGATTCCTTGGCCCCGTTTCCGGAGAGGCGTCACACTCACACCCCCCTGATCCAAGTTTAGATTCATACTCGGTACTTTCCGTGTATCAAACCAAAGACCGATTCCGTCACCAACCAGGATAGGATGAAGTTTCGTACCAAGAGAGAAATATCCAACGACTGACTACCTGCCAGACCCTTTACATGAGCAGTGAGACACTTGAATAGGACAGGAGGGCAGGGATCTTCATCTACGGTCCACGGGGCACGCAGCGGAGCGATACTTTAAGGAATAACCCTAACCCTAACCCCAATACATTGGTGCAGGCATTCATTCCGAGGCCAAGCAGGTATCAGATGAGTCAAAAAAGAACAAGTGCTTGATTCCTCTGCTAGTCGGCATCATGCTATCGCCATGTTGCCAATTGCTTCCGTCTGCTGAAACAAGGTTAGGCGGTGGCTTCGCGTGGCGGTCTGCTGGGGAGCCATTACGAGTTGACGCGCGGACAAACTTGCAACTCATCCAACTCAACCCACTGCAAGCCAGATTATGAGGCCATCATGACCAAGTTTGTCAATCTCATCGCTATCACGGCCGCTGCCACAGCTGCCGCTGCTGAAAAGGTTCCTGTGTATTACCTTATTCGCCACGCGGAAAAGAATGCAGACGGGACAGTATCCGTACAGGGCCAGCAACGCGAGCAGTGCCTGGTGAAGCTCTTTGGCAAGAGCAGCAAATACAACATCCAGCACATCATGGTGCAGACGCCGTATCCGGGAGGTTCGTCTCGCTTTTCCGTTTTTGAAACCCTGATGAGAATGCTGACTTTGTCTCTTTGCCGGAAAGATACTGCCGAAGACCACACCACCCAGCGTCCATACAACACCACGCTGCCGCTGGCCGAGTCGCTGGGCATCACTATTGACCATCCTTGCAATTATACTGATACGTCGTGCGCTGGTCAGGCGGCTTTGAACTACGCTGGTCCAGGCAATGTGCTCATCGCCTGGGAGCATGTACACCTGCCGGCTGTCTCGAAAGCCATCGGCGGCCAGGACGTGCCGAGTTACCCTGGTGAGAATGAACGATCCTGGCGCCGACTCTTGGTGTTATTAACGAGGTACTAGACTCGCACTTTGACCTCATATATAACCAGCCACTGCCGTACACAAAGGTAACAGTTACATCTGAAGATTGCGCTGCCATTGGTGCGGCCAGCATGACCGGTTCAAGTACAACCAGTGCGACCAGCACAACCGCTACGGCCAGCTCAGCCAACGTCGCATGGCAGGCAAATACACCAAAATGGACTTGTGGCATTGTTGCCGCGGGTATCGCGGCGCTGATTTCTTTGTAAAACAAACGATGCTTGAAATGGGCTTGAGTGATGGCGGCAGCTTTGTGCACTTCTTCCAGGAGTCCATGTTCATCATCCGTGGAGTTTGGACAAGGCCTTGGTTAATAATCCTACTCGCTTTTCAATTAACCGAGACGACGTGACAGTAAAGAGTCGACTCTGGGTACGGACGAGTGTCGGATTGGTTGGCAGGAGTTGTGTTGACAGAATGACGAATCTCAGTCAGTATATATCTCCAAAGTATGAAACTTTGTCTGTCTCGACCTCAGAACATGCGCCAAAATCAACAGCCTGTCATTCAAATTGTTCAATTACAGGAGAATATGGGAAATGTATCCAAAGCAGCAGACATAGCCACTGATATTTGTCTCATTGGCACAAGTGCTTCCGTCTGCGCCCACACTGGTGCTATACGAGCTTCCTAAACCAGAGAAACGCTTGACTCTCGCGAAACCCGATTTACCCATCATAATGTGCGTGTCTTAAAACGCAACGCCAGTTGGCGGGGCCGGAGGAATGATCATTTCGAGTCTCGCCAATTCCAGGACGAACTTTCCCAGTTTGTACAGTTGGCTTCTCTGTTGCACCTTAAGATAGATCCAACCGATCTCCTTCTTGCACCCTGCGCAAGAGACGACTCGAATGATGTACCAACCCGTGCTCATGAAAATCCGTATGGGGCGTGCCATGGTAATGTTGTAGACGTAGGTGATGAGAATGGCCGGGCCGTGTTTTCCCGTGAAATTCTGGGGGGTCCATCAGTACAAGTTGATTCAAAGAATGTCCAAGGGGAGTAGTGGAAGCGCACTCTGCTCTCAATGTCTCTTTCATGGCCCAATACGGTTTCGCACGTCGTGCAGAGAAGCATTTCGCGAGGCTCAGAACTCATGGTGATGGACGGGGGCTTCGTCACGCGTCAATGCAATGATTCGGGATAGTGGAAGGACAAGTTGGTATAAGAGTTGAGAATGTGAAAAAAAAAAGGTTGGCGCTATAAGACTACATTCTCCACGACGGAACCAATGCAAGGTGTGACCTGCATGTTAATGTGTGTTTAGGTTGATGCCCCAGTGGTTCCTCCACGTGAGGTCGACGTGTGTGTACATGCTGCCGCAGCTTGGCTTAGTGCGAGATGGCTTCGAATAAAGTTTTGTTCTATCTCGATGGAGTTTATAACTATTGGGCCAGCAAGAGCAAAGCACTGGACTTGAAGTACCAGACATGATATGGAGCTTTGTTTGGGCTGGGAATGGTTTTCCAGATCCGTGGATGGTAGAGCAGGACGCAAATTTGGAGCCCGTCGAGCCAATACGAGCTGTATTCGTTCTTCTCCGGGAGACTGGGATGAAGAAAGGAGGCACTAGGGTTCAAAGCAGGCCATGGAGAATCGAGACGCGGAGGCCAGTGAGGACAAGACCGACGCCGCCACACAGATGATAATGCCTTGTCACGATCGAGTCTCAATTGAGACGGGATGCGGGAACCAACCAAATTAGTCCTAGGACCTAGACTCGATCGCTCCTAGTACGTGGGGAAAACTTGATGGCTTCAAGCTTCAAACTCGCCTCTCGGCCCCACGTGGCGGATTGTCCGGCTTCAACTCACCACGTCGACGAATCCAGTATTCATGGAGCATGTCGTGCTTCCGAGCCGAGGTGCGCAGAGCAATGCGTCTACATCATTCATTCTCTAGCCATGCTCGCCGAATAGGACATGTGCATGCATCACGGTTACCGCCATGTCAACTCGTCGCGCGACTGGCATCGCGAAACCATGGCCAAGTCCCCTTTCCGCGGACCTACAGCTCCTCCAATGCGGCCGCCAACAGCCCGGCCACTACGCAAAAAGGGCTCTTCGACCTCGCCATTGACATCGCTCGAACGCCCATGAATGGTAATGTAGAGATGCAATTCACGCAGTTTGACCCCGCGGGCGCTGCCACTTCCAAGAGCCTGACCAAGGTCGCCATCGCCCACGAGTACCTCCTGAGCGCTCGGGACCTGCGCATAATCGATCTACCATCCAACGGATTCCCGCACATACTGATCCGGGAAAACACCCTGCTGATCCACCTGTTTGATTTACGGCTCCTCGTGCAGGCCGACAAGGTTCTGCTGTTCAACGTGGACAGCGTCGAGGGGGACAACACCACCTGCCGCGTCTTCACCCACGATCTCGAAGCCAAGCTTCACAGGCGGCAGGCCCCGTACAAAAAGGCCAATGAGGCGTTTGAGCTGCGCGTCGTCGAGGTCGCCCTCGCGTCCGTCACCTCGACCCTGGAAGCCGAGTACCTGCTCGTGAAGCGCGACGTGTCGAGGGCCCTGCAAACCCTCGACCAGCAAATGGCGGACAAGGAGGGGGCGCTCGTCTACTCGGCGCTGCGAGAGCTGCTCGACATTTCCCGGAGCCTCGCCCGCATCGAGAAGCGCGCGCGGCTCGTGCGCAATGCCATCCAGGAGGTGCTCAACGACGACGCCGACATGGCCGACATGTATCTCACCGACAAGCAGCGCGGCCGGCGGCACCTGGTCCACGAGCACCAAGAGGTCGAGTACCTGCTCGAGGCGTACTTCAAGGCCAACGACGCCATTGCGCAGGAGGCGGCTAGTCTGGCGGAGAATATCCAGAGGACAGAGGAGACGGTCAAGTCGATTCTGGACGTGCGGCGCAACCAAATCATGCTGCTCGAGGCCAAGGTGGAGATTGCCATGCTCAGCCTGGCCGCGGCAACGCTGGTAGCGGGCTGGTATGGCATGAATGTCGTGAATTATCTTGAACAGTGCCCCTGGGCGTTTGCCGTGCTCGCTTCGGGCTCTCTGGTTGGCAGCGCGTTGATATGGAGGTCCATGATTCGGCGTTTGCGGCTTATTCAACTGCGTACGACGAGAAAGGAGTAGTCGTCTGCATAAGACGATGTCCTCTTCAAAGTCCTCAAATGGAGGGAAATGGTGTAGAAGCCGCCGACGGAAGTCTGTTAAATGGCGAGTACCGCAAGATTAACCATCGTATACGTACCAGCACTGTAAACGACGCCGTCATCACCGAAACGCCTGCTATTCTCACATACCTCGCATCGCTTGCCCCGGAAGACACTTGTTCGGAAAGGATGCACTTGCGCAGGCCAAGTAGCCGAATGGATGGCGCATCTGTCAGGCTCTCTGTACGGAAAATGCTACGGAATGATTGTTCGTCCGGGGAGATTTTCAGAGATTTTCACCTGGTTATCTTTTGGTGCTGGAGTGTAGGGAATCCCTTCCGTATGCATGAGGAGCATTCTAATTACGGCCAATTGGTGAGACGCAGGGAGACAAAGACGTCTATTCGCGAAGTGGCCGAGTCGGACGGCAGGAAGCTTTTGTTGGCGTCGCAACTAGAACCGGAGGGATATAACCGAGAACATTGCATTGTTCCGTACACGTTTGATTTTAAAAGCAACCCGGCTCATATTGTGTGGCGATTTTTCTGCAAAAATCTAAAATCAGGGAAATAAGGGGAATCTGTCTACTCGTAGCTTTTGCCAGAGGCCATGGAGAGAGCCAATAGGTGCACACTTGTAGCCTGGAGTCGTGGATATTGGGATATTGGGATATTCGGCCATGGGCCACCATTGCTGCCTCTTTGTTCTCCAAATAGTGGTCAACGATAAGCACTCTAGTCGCTTTACGCATACTTCAAGGAGGACTTATTCCCTGAATCTCATTCACCAAGGTTCGCTGTTCATCCACACAATGCAACTTCAATAGCCTTTTCCAGCCATTACGACCATGTTCAAATAAAGTATATTGTTTACTACAGAAAATACATCCCCCACGGACCTAGACATCCAGGAAAACCTACAAGTTGGAGAAATACTCCACCACGGCAGGAAAGTCCGGCGTCCCCAGCCCAGTAACAGGGTCCCAGCCCTGGACAGCAGAAAACCCATTCCCATTGCAAGCCGCATCGCCCGACTGACTCCCCAGAGTCACGTCCTTGAACATAGCCGGGTTCTTATACAGCGCCGGGTTCGCAAAGCCAATCGGCTTCTTGCCCGCCTTGAGACGCACCTCATTCACACGGGTGAATATAGCCGCCACGATAGGCGCAGACATGGACGTGCCGCCGGTCCGGCCCGGCTGGCCGTTGAGCACAATGACGCCGTAGTCGCCAATGGCCGCAATGTCGGGGAACCCGCGGCCGGCGCGGTTGTAAATGCCCCCGTCGGTGGGGATCTTGTTCTCGCTCGTGTTGTAGCTCGGGAAGCCGGGGTCGTTGGAGGCGAAGAAGGACGCGACGGCCGCGCTCTGGTAGTCGGGCGAGGGCCAGATGTTGCTGAAGCCGCCGCCGGAGCCGAAGCGCTCGGTGGCGGACTCGGGGGCGCCGGGGGAGGTGCCGGGAGGGAGGAGCGTGGCGCCGACCGACGTCACGTACGGGCACGACGAGGGGCTCGCCGGGTTGAAGATGTCGCCGTTGCTGCCGAGGCAGTCGCCCCCGTGGCCGCCTGCGACGCCGCCGTCGCCGCTGGCGAAGACGATGGAGGAGCCCTGGAGGCCGAGCTTCATGAACTCGTCGCATTGGCGCTGCGTCCTGGTTAGCATGTCTCGCCGCGTGGGATTTCATGTCTAGTCTTGAGTCTTGACGTGCCTTGAGATACTTGGTGGGCCAGATGTTCTCGGTCAGCCCGTAGGAAAAGGAGATGACGTTGGCGGGCGTAAAGGTGCCGCAGGCCTCGTTGGCCGTCACGCCGTCGACGTCGGGGTCGTCGCCGCCGTCAGAGGTGCAGTAGGCGCCGTCGACGGCGTCGAGGAACTGGTTCAGGAAGCCGAGGTGCGTGCGCCCGTCAAAGTTGGACTTTGTCTGGTACAGCTCCGTGCCTTGGGGGTAGATGACGGGGATGGAGACGTCAAAGTCGAGCGCGGCTTCGCCTACGGCCTGGTTCGGGTCTGGCTTGGTGCTGCCCCAGTCAATGAGGTCAATCTTGGGCCCCGTGCCCTTGGGGATCTTGGAGGCGTATAGCCTGTAGAACTGGTCCAGATCTGACTGCTTGTGCATCTCGTTGTCGCTCTCAAACATGCCTAGCTGGTTGCCCTTGACGGCCGTCGTGGAGTCGGTGATGTTGTAGAGGGCCTTGATGCACGCGGGGGTTATTTGAGTAGGGCAGTTGGATGCGTCTGTTTTCTGTTAGTTGGTGACGTGTGGTTTCCGGTCAGGCTTTGCGGCTTACCCTGGCTGTTGACTGTGAGGCCGGGAGGAAATGGAGTAAAGGGAATCTTTCGAGGTTGGCCGGGGGCAGCTCGAGCTGATTTCACCTTGATCGGAACGACACCGGGCGTAATAAAGTCTACATGCTGAGAGACTTCGCTGGGAAGAGAATACGAATCGGCTCCCAGGTGCTCGCTCCTGGTTTTCTTGTTCTCATAAAGGTGGTAGTTGGTCTTGAGAATGTCCTCGAGCTGGCCAACCGTAGTCTCAAAGTCCAGCCAGCCTTTGCTCTTGGGAGACTTGATCTGGTTTTCAGGTACTCCTCTATCAACCAGCCACCTCTTGACAGTTTCAATCGATTCCGGGGCAGGAGAGAAGAGGTCAACGACCTTGTCCTGGGTGTAATGGCTTCCGTAGTTTTTAGACGATGGATCAGAACTGTCTGCTTGTTAACGGCGCAATCCGCGGATACATCCAGCGCCAAAACTTACACGTCCATGAGGTACTCCATGCCCTTGTCCAGATTTCGCTGCTTCAAGGCAATACGGACCGGAACCAACGTGTCGGCAGCAGCGCGCTTTGTGACCTGGCTGGTCACGGCATCAAAGTCACGCTTCTCGTGAATGACATCATGGCCTGTGGGAATGCCCAGAGAGGCAGCCACGAAGCAGCTAATAAAGATGGCGGCGGCCCTCATTTTCACAAGAATAGCTGAAGAAACAAGATGCTAATGACATGCAAAAGTGTGTTGAGTGAAGCCTTGACAGCGCGAGGCATCGTCTTCTTATAGCCGACAGCTTGCGAAGCCTCAACCATCGTCAACTGTTACACGAGGAACGAACCAACCAAAGAGCATAGATACACACTGCATTCTGTAATACGATACCCTTCGAGTTGCGACTATATCCAGAGGACAAGCTAAATTTCATCTAGAAGGTGGTACCATGGTTGTGCGCTTCGTTGAGTTCCTTTGTCATGGTATTCTACGCCCTGATTGTACAGATTCATTAGAGAAAGGCAAAAGCAAGCCGTGTTATCCGAGCGACGTCGCAACGGGCGCAATCACTTGATGCTGTCCGTGCAGCACTTCTTCCCAACTGCCCACGGCGCATCCCGTCAACGAGCGTACGACGTAGGCTAACAGCCATGCTTATTTAAACTACTTTTCTTGACGTCATTTTTGTGTATTGCGAAAAATATTAGCCAAAATCTTTGAAAGGAATTGAAAACGACATGTCAGGAATCATATGGCGACATTCGGCACTGTTTCACGGGGATAATGAGGAGAGGCAGTGAAATAGACGCAAAGATAACGCTAAACAGACAACAGCCATATGCGGCAAGTTTCTGGGCGATCCCTGACGAAGCTCTCCCATTAGGGAAGCCTCCTCATGGTCCCCCATATGCAATGCAACGTCTCGTATGCGGCGCTCGGAAGGCAGCTTCTTGGAATGGCAAGTGAGAACCCGGTCGGCCCTGGTCCGTGAACAAGTCATCTCCACCGCATGGACTGAACGAAGAGCGTCCTCGTATGGCGCCGGTCTTCATCCCCCGGAGGCCTCGATGCTCTGCTGAAACATGCCATGGCGGGCGCATCTTGGTCAGGGTTAGGGTTAGGGCTCCCGGGTCAGAATCCAGCCAAGCCCCTTGTTTTCGGAAAGTCGGATAAGGCTTAACGGGTGCCTGGGACCTGAAGAAGCCGTCGGGCCTGGCCGCTTTCATCCTAAGGGTCACGCTCCGCGAGTTATTGCTGGCTATGTTTTTTGAATGGTCGATCCGATTGCTTCCGATCCAACCATGGGAGTTTAAGCTATTCAGCCTAGGTACATGACCCTAAATGGCCGGTGAGTCTTTTATCAACATGTCATTTATGATTTTGTACTTTCTACAAACAACAGCAATATTGCCATGAGCGTCTCGAGTCTATACCTGCTCCTGCTCCCTCTCTCCTTGTACTCCTTTCCTTCTGTCATGCGTACATGACACTGCATTGCACGATGCCGCGCTGATTGGTCCTAGGAACCAGAGATTGTGACGTGGTTGGTTGGGTGACACAACTTGACGCGGTGATTGTATTGTTCATGTAGTGTATGCCCAAGACGGAAACTAAAACAGGCAAGGTCTGTGAATGCCCAAAGTGTGAATGGCCCAGTGGCCAGTGTCTTCTGCGCTTGCACTAGCGGTTGTCCCAAGAAGCAAGTATAGATGAGAAGACGGTGGTGGTTAGTTATTAGTTCCCGAATCGGGAAGCTGTTTAATCCAGAGCTGCCGTTGCGAGTTAGCCAGTGGATTTGCTAAAGGTTGCCAATAGCCTCCTCCTGCCCTTTACTGACAACTGTATGAGCAAGAAATGCATCTTGGAAATCCCCCGACGGGAATGCCAGCGACATGACAGCCACCACTTGGATACTATTCGGGTCAGTCCCTACTGGACAACTGTTTACCGATCGCCAAGACGATGCGCTCCATGCTCGGATGATGGATCAGGCGCTTCCCGCCCACGAGGCGTCGCCGCCGTTGCATTGTGTCCATGGCACCGACCGAGCTGGCAATGCGGCGAAGCTAATGAAAACGCTTTGTCTCGGTTGCACAAGCGTCAGCGTCGTATCATCGTACGAAGCCAAAGCTGACAGCACGTGACCACATCGGTCCTTGGTCGAGGGCCGAGGCACGTGGAGCCGGACATGGACGTCGCAGGTATATCTACCACCAACAGTCCAGATGAGTCGTCAAACTCAACCCCCCCAAGCGCGACTGGGCACGGCTCTTGTCCTAGGCGGATGCGGCTTCTTGGGGTGGCATCTCGTAGCACGGTTATTGAGCTGCCGAGACTATGACCACGTCTACGTCTTGGATCGCCATGTGCAGGCGAATCTCAACCGCGGCGCGACTTACGTCCAAGGCGACATCACCGATGTGAGTGCGCTACGCGCCCTGCTGGACGAGATCCAGCCCTCGGTCATTTTCCATGCGGCTTCGCCCATCGCGTCGCTGCCGGCCAGCAGGCATGGCGAGTTCATCAGGACCAATGTCCAGGGGACCAAGGTCGTCATCGACCTGGCGACGCAAAGTGCCTCAGTCAAGGCCCTCGTGTACACGTCTACAGTGGACGTGTATGCCCATCCGCCTCATGAGAATGTCTCGGAAGACCACCCGCTTTGGGCGCCGTCAGACAAGTCGAATGAGTACAATCGCACCAAGGCCATTGGCGATAACCTGGTTCGCGCTGCCAATGGCGCGCAGCTTCGCACAGCCTGTTTGCGTTTAGGGCATGCGTATGGGGAGCGACAGTCGCAGGGACTGGCCGAGATTCTAGGCTCCTGTCAAGGAACTAGGCCGCTTGTACAAGTTGGCAACGGGACCAACATGATGGAGGTCATGTCGGCCGAGAATTGTGCGTTGGGCCATGTCCTCGCGGCCAAGGCGTTGCTGCACGAGCCTCAGCCAGTGGATGACAAGAGCCGAGTGGCCGGCCAGGCGTTCAATATATCGGATGGAGCGCCCGTGCCTTTCTGGCACCACGTAAGGGTGATATGGGGTGTTTCCAGAGGACCCGAAGCCCTGAATAACGTCACCGTTCTTCCGGCGTGGGTCATGATTGTGGCTGTTGTGCTTGTCGAGTGGCTGCTTTGGCTGTTTACGTTTGACACGGTGAAGCCCCCGACGGAGCTGCGGAGAACAAGCCTCGAGTATTGCATCTACTCTCACACATATACCATTGATAAAGCAAAGAAACGATTGGGGTTTTGTCCAGTGGTGGACCACGACGCCGTGCTTGCACGTGCGGCGAGGCTTATGCTTGACCAGCGAGCCGAGTTGGCCAAGGTTGATTAAGTCCATCACCGCGAAGAAGCCACAAGAAGGTCCTGAAATTAGTCCTTGATTCGTGGAATTCGTTCTCCAATTTGGTAAAGCGGCAATTGTTTGTAAAAGTATCTGTTACACGGTTGGGACTTGATGGAAGGTCCAACGTCATTACACAATGTAATCATGGACTAGCTGGAAGCCTCAGGTGTCTTTTTTCCTTATATCTATTTAATCTACTTCTTACTCTCTTCTTCTTCCTGAGAAACTAAGGGCCTTTTATTATCCTATAAGATATTCTTTAAATAAAGAAGTTTTTCCTTAAGCTTTTATACTAATATATACTAATATATACTAATATATACTAATATATACTAATATATACTAATATATACTAATATATACTAATATATACTAATATATATTATATATTAATATTTAAAAAGAATAGCATATAAAAAAAACTTTATATTAATATATTATAGATACGCACACTAAATATGCACTAAAATTATTACAAGGAGAAACAGAAGAGATACCGAACTGAGACGGCCTCTGGAAGGAGCACTTGAGGCAGAGTTGTTAAAACCAGACATGTGACAAGGGCAGGGTAACTGGGCTTGGAACGGAAGATTCAATTCGACCTCAAGTGCTATCATAATCGACTTTAAGTTATCAAAGGTCCTTGGTTTGGCACGAGGCCTTAAGGAACGGAAGGTCCCGATAAATATAGGAAGTCGGTGAGGCTGTTCACCTGAGGCAGCCCTTGTTTGTGACCGATTTTGGGCCTCGTAACCGTTGCCTTTATTGTTGTGTAACCTTTGTTGGCCCAACGCCCTGTGTTGTGTGCCAACCTCGTAACAAGACATGACAGAAATGACCGTTGGTGCATATTACAAAAACAAACAAAATGATTGCCGTGGACGCAAAAAAATAGGTCCCATTCCAAGAAAATGCAAAACTCGACCGCAACAACTGTAAGCAACCCGTACTACCAGACGTCCAAGGAAGGAATGACCCCTTGCATCAGGTCGGGGAAAGTGATAACCGCAAGACTTGTACGACAGAACTGATGAGCATCAATGCCTTTACAGGCCGTGTCGACTGCAGTCGGCACATCGAGCATTGACGTAATATCCGCGGACAATTTGTTGAGGTGCGGGAGACTTGCAGAAGGCAGTTTTCCCAGAACGTGCCGTTGTTCGACCACACTTGTGTGGATATTTTTGGTACAAATGACCGCAGTTGCCATAGAAGCAGTACCATCCACACGGGCATGAGTTGGGGTTTCGACTGTCGTATACAAGAGAATAATTTTTGGCGTCTGGGATTTCTGATGGAATGATTGGCTGAGGTTCGTATTGCATCTTGAAAAGTTGAAGGGTTGAGGAAGGCAGGTTGGCGTTAATAGAAATATGCAGCTGACAGTCTTTGAAGAGAGTGATGCTAGAGCAGTTTCTTGTGCTCGGCATCCGACGACTTAGGACAACAATATATATATACTACAGGTCATGTTTCTCTTTGAAAGGCAGCTTCATCAAGCCTCGTTGTTTATTCCAATGTGGGATGTAAGAGGAACCAACACAACAGAAGCTATCATGTATTTCAGGACCACTCCAATGCGTGTATTCATTGGATTCAAACTCAAAGCACGTCTGGTCCCTTTCTAAGCGCCGGCCATAGATGCTGGCCGAGTGAGCCTGGTATAACAACATCAGCGTTCCTTTTGCACGAAATTGCACCAGACGTCGACACATACGCGCTGACCTGAATCTTGGCAGATGAGTACCGTACCAATGAGTCAATGACAGCTGTAACCTGCCTGGCGCTATGACTTTGAACGTTTCGCATTGACTTGATTCACAAGTTGACGTGTCGGCATGTTGCTGCCGGCGTAGCTTGCGCAAAGTTACCATACGGCACCGTGGGAAATACCGAAACCGCTGGTTGGTGGAATCTGAATGGATGGGTTGAAAATGGCACTGACCATGGTGACTCGGTGAGACCACGTCGGTGACCAACGAGGAGGTCATCGGTCGCCTATTGGATTGACAACGTTTCACATATACATGCATATGTATGTATTACATACATATGTAGCCATCAATTGATCTGTGCATGTGCTGCTTACTTAGCAAGGGCCCAACGGGCTCAAACGTGCAATGTTGGCAAGCTCGGGCCATGACTTGACATTTCATCCAACAGACTGCTGCCTGGCCTGGCTTCCTGCCTGGCGCTTCCTTTCGTCACTTCCTGCCTTTTTCCATGTTGCTGCTGCGGGCGTCATTCTTACCGCCATTCCCTATTGTGGCCGTTCCTTCCTGCCTCGTTTCCCCTTCAACTCGTCCCCTCAATATTTTACATTACTGACCGTTGACCTTTTTTATTTGTTCCAAACAACCAAGAGACATGATTGACGAGGAATGGAGATATTTTGCCCCTGGAGGAGCCATCACGCCGGGGGGGCCAAGCACATGGTTTATCCTCGATTGGGACCAACGACGCATAATTGCTGTCACCATGGATGAGGAGCAAGACAGCGAGGATGTTGCCGTCAAGCACCTCAAAAAGCACATCGATACTCTGGGACCTGAAGTATACGCCATCCATGTATCGCCGGACGGTGAATTGGTCTCCGTCTCAACCAACCCCAAAGACGACGAAGCGACGTGTGTGTACTACCCTCCGCTTGAGGCGATTCAGCGACCCAACCATGTCAAAACTGTGCTCCGTTCGCATCTACTCGAGTTGGATCGACTCACGCCCGATGTCGACCTTGTTTCCTACATGCCATGCACCGACGCAACTGAGCCGACAAGAGCCGTCTTCAAGTACTACTTCCTCATTCAGTTCCTCCACAGGTTGTGGCACGAGATGAACATGTGGATGCGCCTCCCCACGCATGCACACATTGTCCCGTTTGGCCGACTTGTGCTGGACGAGCTACACGGCCGCGTCGTCGGCTTTACAAGTCTCTACATTCCTGGCGGCACCATACGTCAGAATAAGGCGCGTGTATTTGAGCTCGAGTGGCTCCGGCAGCTGACTTGCGTCGTCGACGACTTGAATCTCAAGTACGGCATCGCCCACCAGGATGTCGCGCCGCGGAATCTTGTCGTCGACCCCAATACCAACGCCCTCATGTTATTCGACTTCAACTACAGTGCCCAGATAGGCGGCAGTGGGTATGCAGAGGGCCGGAACGATGTCAAGGGAGTCATATTCACCCTCTACGAAATCATCACCCGCGACATGCATTTCCGAAACGTTCCATTCTATGAACAAGATCCGGCCGACGTACAAGGGCTGGAGGAATGGGTACAGCATCCGGATGTTAAACTCGATCACCCTGTTTCGGAATACCGCTCGGTATTAAATGATTGGGTAGACAAACGACAGAATGGAAGACAGGTTTCTCATTATACAGAAGCATCCGACTATATTGACTGGCCAGATTTCCCAGAGCCACCCCCAACGGACTTGGTATTTTCAGATGGCAAAGGGTATTCTTATACTAAAACAGCCGTCCTCCTAACTGGCATGCGCCGTAAGATGCGAGAGAAGGGCATTGCCGTCCTCAATTGGGAACGTCCTGCGCAGGCCAAGCTTGGGAACGGGGATCAGGTACTTGCCAATGGACAGTCTGTACCCAACCCGGAGTGTACAGGGTCGGGTGAACCAAACACCTAGCCAGGTCGGCCATACATATTAATACATCTTGCCTGCCTTTTCCTGTGCGTTGGAGATTACTATTACAACAATCTGTTGAGCAACAACTCACAGCTCCAACGGCATGTCGTTCACATGGCCAACAAACTACTATTGCATATGCCTTGTCCCATCATCTGAACCACCATGAGCCAAGGAGTACTCATCGTCCACATCAAAGCTTGGCGCCATGTTTCTCTCACGCTCTCCCCTGTTATTGCGTGTACTTGTCGAGGTAATTACCGTCTCCACTTGAATCCCGCCGTTGAGTTTCCCATGATGACTGACAACCTTTGTCAGTTCCGACAAGGAATCCTCGGCTTGCGTTTTGTTGACGGTGTGCATAGGGTATGTCCTTGTCTGGTTGTCATCATCTGCATCCTCGTGTGTGAATGTTCTATGGTTCGACGTGGAGGGCGGATGGGTGTCCGAGTTTTCGCCTCTGGCGAGTTTTGTAATCAGGTCCGCCATTGTCATTTCAATATTCAGCTTCACCATGTAGGCGACTGGGTGAAATTGTATGTATACAATTTGGTTGGGCAACGACATGAGACCGATAAGCATCGCCTAATGAATTCCCTTAGCTCGAGACAACCACACAGAACGGTCTGCAACTTTAACTAAAACTTACGTCCATGAGGATGGATACCACCATCAACTTGGCGTTGAAAGAGACCAAAGGGGCGTATTTGGTCAAGCCATGTGTCAAGACGAGTCGTCGCTTGACGGTCCGGAGGAAGTAATAATTGAGGCCGGCGTCGACCAGCAAGATGAGTACTTTGGAAATTCGATCCCAAATTTCATTCAACTTGACATATCTATTCGTTCTCTTATTAGTTTCAAGATGCCATGTAGATGAAGTGAAGGCCTTACAACTCGCTGGCCGGTGGTTCAATGTGAGCAGGGATCCAGATGCAAAAGACGGCAATGTTGATGCAGGTAATGACAACGGCTGTGCCCCATTTGAGCCTCGTTACGGTTCTTGTGTGCTCTGCAATAATGGCAATTCGATTGACAATGATTTGCATGAGGAGCTGGATTTCAAACACCCACAGGAACAGGATGAAGAACAAGACGGGAACTCTGCAGCCACGGTGAGAATCAAGTAGTAGTTGGCCCTAAATCGAGCACGAGGAGGATGTGTGGTGGACAAACGTTGGCGACAGCAGCCCGTCGAGAAATACCCATCCGATGATACCGATGGCGAGGTTGGCCATAATCTCGCCCCAGATCATGTACACATAGATACTTTTCCATGGCCGCTTGTTTCTCCTGGTTTGCTGGATTGCCTTCCACGCAGTCAGGAATCCAAAGCCAAGCGTGAAGCCGGCAGCGACCGACGCTACTTGAATGTCTTGTTTGGTTGCCATCTCCGGCGCATTGATACAAGTTGTGCTGATTCGACAATGGTCCAGTGACCAGTGGAAGTTTCAAAGCCGACAAACAGGGGCAGATGATCTTATTTATCTCAAATTCCCACCACCACACTGAGAGAGCGCTCAGTTCGTTTCTAGTGATTCAGTCGACCGTTGCATATTCTAGGACCTGCATTTGGCGCAGAATGCGGAGCCTTTCCACTTTAGGCCGTCAATGAGACCCGGGGCCGGCTGTTCGACTCGGGATGATCTGGGGGTTTTCCCAAAATAGCTCTAGACCACGGCTTAGATGCCCCTGACGGTCAAAGCCACAAGACATTTTGACGTGCCTGGTTGCATTCACACCGTGATTTGGGTAGTGTGGTGGGACGGATCTTCAGAGCCGGCGGCCGCCACGCAGAACAAGCGTGGCATTGGAGCAACGGCACAGAATCTCAAGTGCCAGTTCGTGGCTTTTGTGGCTGGCCTACGAGCATCAAGGTGGAGGACAAAGTCCGGGCCTAGAGAGCAAGGCGGGCTAGAACGGCATATTCAATGTTCCATTGTCTGTAGTCCTCGGCCACGCTGTGGCAAATTAGAGATGCTACCCTTTTTTTTTTTTTTCGGGACAGGGGATTAAATATCTCAAGGGGCAGGATTTTTCTGTCCTAGAAAGAATAGCGGGGCACTTTTACTCGAGCTTGTGACGGTTTTGGAAAACGTTGCGGTAACGGCAATTCCTTTCGTGGTGTTTCGGCACGGCGCCATTCATGGATAGGAGAGCAGCCAGACTATCGATTTTTTCGACGCATATATATACAAAATCATCTTCATCGTGGTGACATTTGAAAAAAAAAGGTTGTCCCAGATGATGCAACAAGTCGGTAAATAGTGACACTTGTGAATCGCATTTCAAAATCCCTAGCCTTTGCAACACCCCTGAGTTCGTTATTATTCGCGCTCGTCCGGGAAACATGTTGGGTTGGGAGCATTAAACAGGTTTTGCCATTATGCGCTACCTTTTCTATTGCATGTAACGGAACCAAGTCACCACAGGGTCCAAGCAATAAACTATCCGTAAAGTTGGGAGCGAAACTTGTCAAGTCTATAGACGATGTTACATGTCTGCGGTGGGACTGATGAATCTTGACGCCAAAAGACTCGCCTAATGGGGAAAGGGTCTTACATGCTACCAGACCCCTTAAAAATCCAAAGCGATTCCCTTCGTGCGAATCCCACTCTGGGGTTACACAACACACAAGAAGTACCCCAGTTCATGACGACACAACGTCGTATATGCTTGCTTGGGCTATGCGTTCATACCCGGCACAGCAGTCGTGAGTTGGTTCAAGTTGGGATTCAAATACGCCGAGTTGGTTCAGTTCCTCGCATGATTTACGTTAATGTCTTTTACATTTTAGGCGTTTACATGCTCCTTTTGTTCCCCACTGTGGGTATCTTTCACCTATGTCATGTTGGTAGGCCTGGGCAGTCGCACCAATACCTGAATGAGGGTTAGGGTTGTGCATCATGGTCCAGATATTATTAGTCCAAATGTGCGCGTAGGCCGGACTATGGAAGGAGGGGTCGACATGATAGCATTTGGTAGCTTTCTCCATTTGCAAGCTGTTTTTTTCTTCGTCTTCCAAATTTGCATGCGCGTTTTGTTACATGGAAAAGGCCCAACTGGTCGTGAAGACCAACAAAGGGGCCTGGCTTCACCAATACGAGACTTATTAGTTACACGTTGACAGCTTAAACACGTGCCCGGGCAAGAGCCATAGGTATGAGCGTTCCTTTATTGTATACATATATATAGCGGTCGTTATTCCCCTCCTTACTCTTGGCAACCCAGGGCCTTTGAGATCCCACGATAGTATTATTGAATTGAGCCTTTTTGCTCCAAGCCCTTTAGTCAAGCCCTTGTCATACGTTGCATCATTTATAATTGGTGCATTGCAACCTCTACTTCGGCGACCTGAAGCAGCTTGTAGACTATGAAATTTGTCAAGTCTCACCCAATTCACCTTTTCATCACGTCTGCAATACTATATCCATGTGGCGCATCGGTTGGGGTTAAACACCAGACTGGATAAAGTCAATAGTAATTGGACCCTTACGTTCCAAGCCTGATATCCAGCCCTTGTCACACCGTTCGACCCGTAGATGTGGCATTGCTACGTACAATTGGTGAATGCATGTTACTACACAGCATTCAGTAAAGAGGTGATGTTGGACATGGACAAGATATCAATAGTTATCATTTTTACGCACCAGGCGTGGCACACTGGTGACCAAAAATAAATGCGCAGTGGTCCAGGAGGATGTCCCAAATATACACAACAACTATTGCAAATCTTGACCACTTTGGCATCTCTAATCCCACCACTTGCGGAATGATATCGATAGAGTCTGCAGAAAACTGGTGTCAGGCCTTTGGCGAGCTCAGAATTTGATGCTGGAGAAACGCGGTAGCTAAAGTGTAATCAGGCAACAGCCTATTGGTTCAAAATTACATCTCAATTGATATTCAATTGGAATACATTATCCACGGACCACGTCATGTAACTGACCTTGATTCTCTGTGGCGCCAGACATATCCGGACGTTGTCCGCCCATCTCCTGGACAGTATCGAGTTGGGAGTCGGAAACATTCTCGACCAAGTTTGCGGACCCGGCGGCTAAATAAATTGTCACAAAATGTAGGGGTACGCAACATAAAAGCTATGTGCCGTGGCCGCGCCTATTTTTCGGTGCAACATGAACCTTGCTCGCACGGCGGACCCACCGCATCTTATCAATCTGATAATAAAGCGCCATCCCAAACTACGTTTCTTCTTGTCGTCGTCCATCTGTTGCAAACTTGTTGGTGGGATTTGAAACCATGGATCCAAAAAAGGAAGCAGGCGCCACGGGAACGAGGTCCTGGCGAACAATGACGAGCAAGCAAGTGTGCCGAGCAAAGACGACACAATCCCATGGCGGATCAAGGCCGTAGCCGTGGTGCTCGTCAGCCTGATTGGATTCGGGTCCCACTGAAGCAGCGATGAATATGACGACTCTGGAGAGAAACCAGCGACTAAGCATGACTTGTTTTGGGGCAGTCATTCTCATGATACTGGGGTCCCAGGCGGCGTATTTCTGTGGAGTTGCTACGGGCAATAATAAGTAGTGGCTGCAGACTTTATTTTACCGCGCTGCTGTTTCCCTAGAGATGGCTTCGTAGTCTGCAACAGCCCATCGCAGAGATCACTGCAGAGTCTGACGAAATTATGAAAGTGCTGCTGAAGAAAGTACTTGATAAGCAAAAGAGAACACCCCCACGTCTCTACATATCGACAATGTCTCTACACCGCATTTCCGTGTCATGAACAGAATCAAACAAGTCTACAGAGGCACTGGTAATTGTGACAATGAATTCTGACACAAGGTTCAAATTATCAATCTGTCGCTAACCCAGACCGGTCCAAACAAAGTAGCAAATCATTCAAACCGCCCGAATCCCCCCGTCCAAGATCCCATTCCCAAGCTTCACAAAACGCCATACGCATCACTAAAAGGATTCGCAGCCCCCCGAAACACATACTCCTCCCCCCTAACCACGCGATCCACCTCCTCACGCACCATGGGATACACGTCCCTCCACGCGTTCCGTCCCATCCAGCCATCCAAATGCCCATATCCCGGAATCACCCTCCTGCGGTACTGTATCCCCCCTCCCGCCCTGCCCGCCGAAACGCCAAACGTGCCACACAGCCGCTCGTACGTCTTCTGCGTCGCCACGGGCGAAAGCACGTCGCTGTCCCCCCCCGAGAACAAAAAGATCGGAATGCCCCTCAGCCGCCGTACATTCTCCGCGCCCGTGAGGTCCTCATACGCCGGGCCGTTGGTCGACACGGCCCCCCGGAGGCCCATACGCATCAGCAGCGGCATCAGCGTCATGTTGGCGCCGTTGAAGAAGCGGTCCACGTGCCGGTGCGTCGCCTCGTTCAAGTTGCCGTGGCTCCAGCACCGGCCAAACAGCAGACTGATGCGGTGGCACGACGCGCTGCTGCACCGCTCGCCCCTTTTCTCGGGCACGAGCCGCAGGAGCTGGTTCACAGCGCCCTGCAGGGCCCCTTGGTTCGTGGTCGGCGCGCGGCAGCTGAACCAGGGGCCGGCCAGGCGCGTGTACGCCCTGTCCAGCTTGGCCGAGGCCTTGAGCCGGTTGGACCTGCTCCAGACCGGGTTCATGAAGACCTGGCTGCATGTGATGCCGAGAACCCACGACGGGGGGATGGTGCCGTCGAGCAGGCCGCTTGCGAAGGCGACGGAGCCCATGCAGTGCGCGATCGTGTAGATTTTGTCGGTGTTGTGGGACGCGCGGATGTGCGCGAGGCATGCCTTGATGTCGAGACGGGCGTCGTACGTGGTCCATTTCTTGTCCTCGGGCTTGTCTACGATGCCGATTCGGTGCACCGTGACGAAGACGCGGTACCCGGCGCGGGTGAAGTAGTTGACGGCGTTGAGGGGGATCGTCGGCAGGGCGTAGATCTGGTGGTCGACGGCGGCTCCGGGGATCATGAAGAGATTCTGGACCGGGACCGGACGGCCGGATTCGTCGCCGGGGATAAAGTCCGGGTCGGGCTCCCACATGTGTAGTTTTGTTTGTACCCCGTCGCTCGCGGTAACCGTGTACGTTTGCGTCGGGGTGGTCGGGTTGATGAAATCGGGGTGCTGTGTTGTGGTATATTGTAGCGGAGCAAGGGGCAGGAAGAAATGAGGCAGCAGTTTGCCCGAGAAATAGTGTACAAAACTGCCCAGGGTTGCGGCCCTTTGCAGCAGGTTCTTGCCTGTTGGTGTCAGTGTCAGGAGTTGCTTTCGAAAGTCGCCCAATCGAATCTTCAAAATGCCCGCGGCAATCACTTTGGGCCCTTGATCCGGCCCCGTCGTAGGATGACACCGGCCGGGATTATGCAAATCTGAAAACGTGCCGCCTGGTCTGCAAGTCCCCCCTGGCGCGAGGCCATCTTGTTCAGCCTCGGTAATGGTAACGTATAGCGTAGTTGTTGACTTCCACATCTCCCGTATGTCCATGGATGCCGACGAGTCGATCTTCTTGTATCCGTGAAAACCAAGCCGTCGCCCGTCAATGCCCATCATTTCAAATTGGTACGTCACCGTGCTTGTCCCCGACAATTCATTATCTTGTCCAAGAAGTTCCACTTCGCCTTGCGATATCATGAATGGCGAACCCTTGATCGTAGGGCACACAAAGGTCCCTTTGACCATCCCTTTGTACAACCGGCTCGTGTTGCGGCATCCGGGCGACTGCACCACATACATGACATTGCTTGTGAGCAGCCGTGCCGTCTCGCCCCGGCTTCTGGCCGCTTGAAACGACAATTTGTGTCCGTCCTTGTCGTGCAGTCGCAAATTGTGACCGCTGTGCACAAAGCCATTCATGAGCTCTGTAAACGCGACAGTATCAGGGGCACCGTAGCGCACCGGGTCAACGCGCCGGACCGCGCATTGCGTGCGCTCCGTCTGCGTTGCGCTCGACACGGAGTTGGATTTTTTGGGACTAGACTCATACGATGGACCTGGCCGTGGGCGATGGGCCGGTGTTCCGTACAGGTCAAGCACGCCGTTTGATTCTCTGCTGATGACCAGGCCATGCGCCCGCGCATAATGCTCCACGGCTCGCTCAGCCAGGGCCGCAATGGTTGCCGCCGGGTTCACACAAAGTGCTCCGGGAACAAGCGCGCCGTCCACGACGATGAGCCCGGGATGGGTTTCAGACGTGGCACTTCCGGCGAATACCTCCCCAGCGTGGTTTGTCACGCCGCGAGCGCCAGTATTGTCTCTTGACATGGGAGCTCCGCTGAATGTCGGTGTTAGCAGGTGCAGGATGAGGATATCGAAGCCGCCTTACCCGAGAGGATGAGCCGTTATCTGATGTTGGTCGCCGAATACACCGTGGAAAGGATTGTCGATGACTCTCCCGCCAACCGACTCTGTTGCCTTTGCCAGCAGGGCATGAAGCCGCTTGACTCGATCGCTGTGGCCAACCCCGACAAACTCGAGCACCGGCTTGTCGTCTTCGAGGCGTAGGGACGCCTGGCTGCCTAGTGTTGATTATCAATACACTGTCCGGCCACGTTGAGCGGTACACGGCAACTCACCATCGTGAGACATGATTAAGAATATTTGCGTGTTTTGTACAGCGCCGCCACGGACATACGGACCGAGCAATCGGCTTTTCCATCTCGCAAGTGCCTTTCTAGCCCGCTGCACCATCTTCTTTTTCGGCCTGCCGCCAGAGGGCTGCACATCGACAATGGTTTGCATGAGCCGAGAAAGCGCCTGCGGCACAGCCCCTTCCTGTATGACAAACCCGTCCAACGGGTTGCCGGTCTGTCCGCGCATATCAATGGCGGCGTTGATTGTTGGTCCTACCGGACTGTCGTGGCTCGGACGCTGCCGGCCAATGGCATTGACATGACCATTCGTGTTGTACCTGCAAGTTGCAACCGTGTAAGCCGCTTCACCATATCGACGACACGATGCGAGGGACCACGTACCCAAACGTCAGCATGTCCCCGTTGCCGCTCATCCCTTGGCCAAGACAGTCGCTCACGGACAGGCCCATCTCCTTGCTCCGCAGGAGAATCTCGGTGGTTCCCAGACTTCCCGCCCCCAGGAAGACGGCTTTTCTCGCATGCACCCACAGCAAGTCCTGGTCGAGCCCGTCGTCAAACTTGCCGCGCTTGCGGCCGTGCCAGGAAAAGTAGACAATGTAGCCGCCCCGGGCGTCGGTGACCTTTTCGATATACCGGACTTGGCACTCGCAAAACATCTGGGCGCCCCAGTTCCACGCATCGGCCAGATACGTCACCAGGGTCGTCGTCTTGGAATGATCGTTGACCCCTGTTGTATCTTGCCCAGTCAGGGTCGACGGCAGCATGTCCACCCCGCAGCTATTTATTCCCGGCCGAAACCGTGTCGTCTGTGGAACTTTGTAGTATCTGCTGCCCAAGCCCATCCGCTGCGCCTGCCGCTCAAAGACGTGCATCTTCTGGATCCTGGGCCAGTCGTCGGGGTACGGCGTCGGCTCCAGCACGTCCCTGACTCTCTGGTAGTCTACGCCATGTGAGTTAGTCCCCGCCGTACGCGTCGCTTTTTTCAAAAGAAAGACCAACATTCTTTCAAGCAGCCTGGGTTCTCTCGGATTTCCGGCGGCCACGTGTCCATGGACAGCGTGGCGTCGTCGGCCTCGAGAAACACATTGGCATTGATCAGACTGGTGCCCCCTAGACCTGGAATAGCTGTGCCGTCAGAAAACCCGAGTCCCGGCGGAAAGGGGGGGAGCGTCATACCGTTACACACCAAGGCGCTCTGGCCTTGTCCCGCCACGATGTGGTACATGCCAGTCGGCTTTCCGCGCCCAAACGGCCGGACGATGGAACTCCCCGTCGTGTGGAATTCGTCAAATACTTGTTTCAGACACACGGGATACTCGCCGGGCCATCTCTCTTGTCCTCTTTCCAGAACGCAGACGGATTGTCCCGTACGGGCCATCCGCGAGGCTGCGATGCCGCCGCCGTACCCGGACCCGATGACGACGCAGTCGTACGAGTCTTGGATCAGCTCTACCGGTTGTGAAATCCGCGGGGAGCGCTGCGGCTTAGGTTTACCCGGACAGCTATTCTGCCGCTGGCCGCAGGCGGACGGCACGCGGCTATAGCCACGGTGCGTCTTTGTCGTATACATGCCCTCGCTGTGAAAGAAGGGGGCTGTGTACTTGGCGCAACAGGGAGCTTCAAGCAGCAACGGGGACGACAATGGAAATAAAGGCGAATGATGTCAAGTAGCTTTGGCGGCTGGCCACGTTTTGGCTTCGCACCCGTGGATTGTAAACAGGGTGCTTCTCTACTCGAGTATAAATATAGAAGCCCATTGCCGATCTGGCATCTGGACAAAGGCATTTGAAATACCACCACCCCCGGTCGTGAGATACTGGCCGCCGGTCCGCCTACACACCCCCTCCCCTCCCTCCGGTCCATAAATGTCTAGTATAGAATTCTGAAAGTTGGCTGACTCTTGTGCCATGTATTCAGTGCATTCTG